TGTCTCTCTCTGCTTGCCTCTTCTTCAAACTGTCTCTCTCTGCACCTGCATAGCTCAAGTCTGAACAAAAATGTAACAGTATCCAAAAGTCCTAGGCTTAGCCAGCTCCACGGGCATTGCCTGGCCAATCAGCTTCATGCATCTTGTTTTACAATTGACACACACGCCCACAGATTCCTTGCATGCTCCAACACTCCTTGCTTATGAAATGCATGGGATCACTATATGTCAATAGGCAACTTGAAGATACATACATAGACACGCATTCAGTGAAAAACATCACTCCAGGATGTGTTTTGGAAGAAGTTTCTCGTTCAACAATATCTGGGGACCCAAGCTAGACAAAAAGGAACACCGACCATTATGTAAAAAAATATATAGTTTGGATTATTATTTTATATGTCCCAATGAATGTATAGGAAATTTATACAAATGTTTGTTTCCTTGCTGTGTGGGTTTTCTGATGAAAAGCCAACAAACCCTTCTGGTTAAAACTCTTTCTTCACTCTGAACATTGATAGGGTTTCTGTGTGTGTTAACATCTGAAGCTTTTTCCACACTCAGAGCATTTATAAGGTTTCTCTCCTGTGTGGGTTCTTTGATGAGCAAAAAGGTTGGCTCTGTGGCTGAAGCCTTTCCCACACTTAAGAGCCTTTATATCAGGCATGGGCCAACTTGGGCCCACCAGGTGTTTTGGACTTCAACTCCCACAATTCCTAACAGCCTACTGGCTGTTAGGAATTGTGGAAGCTGAAGTCCAAAACACCTGGAGGGCCCAAGTTGGCCCATGCCTGCTTTATATGGTATCTTTCCTGTATGGGTTCTTCTATGGTTCTAGAGCGCACCCATCTGTCTAAAAGTCATATTTACAAAGGTTCTCTTCTGTGTGGATTCTTTGGTAGTGAGCAAGATGAATCCTCTGGCCGAAGCTCTTTCTGCACCCTGAGCATTTATGTGTTTTCTCTGGCCGACAGGATCCTCTCCTGTGTAGGTTCTTTGATGAGCAAAAAGGTTGGAACTAGCCCTAGCAAATGTGGATAGCTACCTGTAGTTTGTAATCTGTAGCTTATCTTAGTGATATCTGAGCTGCATTATTATTTCTTTTCAGTGTTATGTAAACAAAGAAATGAAAATATTAAAAATTGACAAATTTCCTGCAAAAAGCTGCCTTCAAGTCAACTTATGGTGTGAGCTTGATTTTTACTCCCCAGATCTTCCAGAGTCTAACAGATGAAGACAATGGCACTTCCTATGCTGACCAAAGTGGCAGCTAATTGCATCCTACTTTTTTTTTTGCATCATAAAGGTATTACCTTATATAGAATTTATTTTTCTTATATCATTGATGTCTGCTATCTCAAGCTTCCTCATTAATAACCTTTCTCTTTTTTTGACCACCTTCTGATGTTGCTTGACCGGACACATCTTGGTTTTCATCAGTGGGTAGATCTCAGACTATGAAGGGATCCTAAGGGTCATCTAGTTTAGCCTTTTGCAGACAGAGGAATCCAGAGCTGTGGATTTCACTTTGTACTTATTTCTTAGGTGATCCCTCGTTGTCCGAGTATGATGGCCTTCCAAGTGTAGTGTCCTAGCGGTGGATACATAGGTGACTGTAGAGCTCTATACTTGACCCGCATGTTCTTCCACAGTGAGGACATCTGTTTCCAGGCGGAAGGCAGTCCTGGTCAGAGTTGGCTTGATGTGACTTCCTCTTGGCACGTTTCTCCCTTTCGCCCTCCATTCCACTTTGTATTGCCTTCTGGCCATGCTTAAGTCAAACGAGCTACGACAGTGCATGGAAAATTCCCAGAAAAGTGATTGAAATTATTAGATGGCTGAAATGTCTTTATAAAGAAAAGTTGGAATATTTCTTTAATTATTTGAGTTAAGTCCCATTAAAGATGTTGCATTGGAAACCAGGGTTCAAATTCTTCTCAGACATGGAAACCCATTGTGTGAAAAATGTGTGTGTGTCTGTGTCTATGTACGTGTCTGGATAGATAGATAGATAGATAGATAGATAGATAGATAGATAGATAGATACACACACACATGATGATAATGACATGAAATTGAGAAAGGAAATGGACTTTCCTGCAAGTGTCATGACCTTATTTCCTGGTTTTTTTGTTTTGTTTTTTTTGTGAAGCCAGTAAATTAGGCCATGACATACACCTGGCCTGGATGTATTTGAAACAAGGGAGAAGGTCAACATGGAAACGGGAGCAATGAAAGGGAGGGGCCAGGATGAGGGATAGGAGGCATGAGGGAAATAAACTGTCAGTTGGAATTTTGTTTCGTACCCTAATGTATGCTTTTAGAAAAATAAAGCCTTCCCGCTTTGTTCGTGAGGTAATTTCTTTGTCAGAAAGCTACAGATCTGGACAGCAAGAAAATTGATATCTTCAGTGAATAATAATAATAATAACAACAACAACAACAACAACAACAACAACAACAACAACACTTTATTTATATACCGCTCTATCTCCCCGAGGGGACTCAGAGCGGTTCCCAGGTAAAAATCACAGAACATACAAAGTAAAAACAACATAACCATAAGATTAACAAAACAAAATATGCATAAAAATTGTCGCCATAACACAAATATATTAAAAATAATCCTGCCTGTTCAAGGAAATTTTTAAAAAGTTTAAAAGGCCGGGCCAAGATTTGTGCAAGCCCAAAAATTCTAGGGGGCCCAGGAATTAAATGCAATGCTATGGCAGGCAACAATAATATTAGGTACGGGTCTGTGGCTGTAGATGAAATAGATGAAAAATTGCCAAGGTAGAATGACCAGGGACAACATCCAATTACAGAAATAATACCTAGTTACTCAATTTGTATTTACTGATATTTACAAGTACATCGAGCCCCCCTTATCCACAGTTTTGCTTATCTATGCTCCAAAAAAAAAAAAATCTCCTCTTAATGTCTTCCAATGCTATTCTATGGGATGCTTCCAGTCTGGGCATCATCAAAATATTGGATTCTCTATTATCTATGGTTTCAAAGTGTCCTTGGAAGATAAAGAATGATTATGTATACCTCAATTAATGAAGTAGATGTGTCCCTAGGCAGTACTTCCGTAATTTAATAAAAGAAACTGGAGATAGAGGCTGAAATAACATGGAACGAACAGGGTTAAGTTATGATTCTATTTATTTCTGTCCCACTTCCTCCCAAGATTGGACCCCAAAGCAGCTCACAACTTTAAAAGAAGGACACAATTGAAACCATACAAAAAATAAACATTACAATAGTATTAAACTATTTACAATGTTTAAAAATCTGAATAAAAGGCTAAAATACAACTTAAAGGTTTGTAGAAAAAAATAGTTAAAACAATATAGCACCGCTTTTGAAAAGGGCTCCTAAATGGCAATAAAAAGGGGAGCAGCTTCACACACTTCGGCAAACTCGTTATTCAAACAATATGCAAATGAGAATTGAAACCGCTTGGAAAGTAGCCTATATACGAGGCATGGGCCAACTTGGGCCCTCCAGGTGTTTGGACTTCAACAGCTGGTAGGCTGTTAGGAATTGTGGGAGTTGAAATCCAAAACATCTGGAGGGCCAAAGTTTGCCCAGGCCTGCTCTAGAGGAATCTCAAGGTCCACAAGTATGATCCCGCAAAAGTCATGGAGTCCTAGTTGGAAGAGACCTCATGGAAGAGACCTCGTGGGCCGTCCAGTTCAATCCCCTGCCAAGTAAATCACATTCAAAGCATCCCCGACAGATGGCTATCCAACCTGTCTTAAAGCTTCCAAAGAAGGAGCCTCCACCACACTTCGGGGCAGAGAGTTCCACTGCTGAACAGCTTTCAAAGTTAGGAAGTTCTTCCTTATGTTCAGGTGGAATCTCCATTCCTGTCGTTGTAGGTTTTTTGGGGCTATATGGCCATGTTCTAGAGGCATTCTCTCCTCATGTTTTGCCTGCATCTATGGCCTCTAGAACATGGCCATATAGCCCGAAAAAATCTACAACAACCCAGTGATTCTGGCCATGAAAGCCTTCGACAATACATCCTTTCTTGTCGATTGTTCCATGTCCTAATCTCCAGGACAGCAAAAAAACAAGCTTCCTCACTATGACTTCCCTCACATCTTGATCCATGGCCTTCATGTCTCCTCTCAGCCTTCATTTCTGGAAGCTAAACATGCCCAGCTTTTTAAGCCGCTCCAGATAGGGCTTGTTCTCCAAACCCTTGATCCTTTCAGTTGCCCTCCTCTGGACACCTTCCAGCTTAAGTGTCAACATCTCCCTTCAATTTCGGTGCCTGGAATTGGACACATTGTGATTCAAAGTGTGTTCTGACCAAGGCAGAATAGAGGGGTGGCATGATTTCCCTGGATCTAGGCACTAGACTCCTATTTATACGGCCAAAATCCCTTTTTTTTTAACCTGCTGCATGGCTTTTTTTTTTACCTGCTGCATGAATAGTGGTAGGGTTGGAGCGGAGGCGGGGGGGGGGGGATTGATTTTGTCATTTAGGAGTTGTAGTTGTTGGGATTTATAGTTAACTGCACTATAAGAGCGTTTTGAACTCCATCAATGATGGAATTGAACCAAACTTGGCACACAGAACTCCGATGACCAACAGGAAATACTGAAAGGGTTTGGTGGGCATTGACCTTGAGTTTTGGAGTTGTAGTTCACCCACACCCAGAAAGCACTGTGGACTCTGGCATTGATGGATCTGGACCTAACTTGGCACAGAAACTCAATATGCCCAAATTTGAACACTGGTGGGTAAAATAGACCTTGACATTTGGGAGTTGTAGTTGCTGTAATTTATAGTTCACCTACAATCAAAGAGTATTCAGAACCTCACCAACGATAGAATTGGGCCAAACTTCCTACACAGAACACCCATGAACAATAGCAAATACTGTGTTTTCTGATGGTCTTTGGCGATCCCTCTGACACCTTCTCGCGACCCCCCCAGGGGTCCCGACCCCCAGGTTGAGAAATGCTGTCTTAAAGTGATAATGGATTTTGAAGGGAAAAGCTCCCAAAACAGCCACTTTAATCAGCATTGAACATTCAATTCAGCAGGCATCATGACCACTCCGTTACACATTTGAGCCTGGTGACGAGTTAGCTGTCTGGATGTCGGCACTTGGACCTTCACCGATAAAGCGAACGCTGTGAATTCTGGCCCGTTTCTTGAACTTGTGGAACCACCCACGGGAAGCCACAAATGTTTCCGTGGCGCCTCCGTGTCCCTGGGCCTTTAACTGGTGAAAGAGGCTTAAGGCTTTGTGCTGGATGGCCAGTTGGCTGACGGGCACGCGGTGCTGCCTCATTTCCTCCACCCAAATGCTCAGCAGCCTCTCCATCTTCTCGATGACGCTGTGCCGGGTGCGCGTCAAGATCCCCACCGTCACAGCGCTGCAGTTTTGCACGGAGGACTTGATCTTGTCCGACTGGTTTAAAATAGTCTTCAGAGTGGACTGGGCCAGCCCCAGAGACTGGGCCACCCGGCTTTTCCTCTCTCCGGCCTCCACTCTTCGTATGATTTCCATTTTGGTGGCTAAACTTATTGATCTGCGCTTTTTCGACATGCCGGGAGTAGCCAACGAGGGGACCTTACCTGCCATTCCAGCTTCGGTCAAGATGTTCCCACACTGCAAACACTTGTACAGTTTCTCTCCCGTGTGGGTCCTTTGGTGGTTTGGAAGGATGTTGCCGCTTCCGCACTCAAAACATCTATATAGGTTTTCTTCCTTATGGATTCTTGGATGAACAGCGAGGCCGTCTTCCTGGATGAAGCTCTTCCCCGTGAATTTATATGACACCTCTCCTGAGTGAGTTCTTGTATCAACAGCAAGTTTACAACTCTCTCTGAGGCTTTTCTCACACTCGTTATATTTGTATGGTTTCTCTCTCACATGCGTTTGCTCCTGTTCAGTAAGAATCTTGCTCTCTCTGAGGCTTTTCTCACACTCGGTATATTTGTATGGTTTCTCTCTCACATGCATTCGCTCCCGTTCGGTGAGAATCTCGCTCTCTCTGAGGCTTTTCTCACATTCATTATATTTGTGTGGTTCCTCTCTCATATGCGTTTGCTCCCGTTCGGTAAGAATCTCGCTCTCTCTGAGGCTTTTCTCACACTTGTTATATTTGTATGGTTCTTCTCTCACATGTGTTTGCTCCCATTCAGTAAGAATCTCGCTCTCTCTGAGGCTTTTCTCACACTCGTTATATCTGTATGGCTCCTCTCTCATATGCATTCGCTCCCGTTCAGTAAGAATCTTGCTCTCTCTGAGGCTTTTCTCACACTCGTTATATTTGTATGATTCCTCTCTCACATGCGTTTGCTCCCGTTCAATAAGAATCTCGCTCCCTCTGAGGCTTTTCTCACATTCGAAGCATTTATATAATTTCTCCCCCACATTGGGCGTTTTATAGAAAGTTAATCTATTGTCTGGTACGAAGCTCTTTCCACAGTCTGAACATTCATACAGTTTGTTTCCTTCATGGTTCATTTGGTGTTCAGTAAGGCTTTGGCATTGACAGAAGCTCCTTCCGCAAACAGAGCATGGGAAACACTTGCCCTCCGTGTCAGTTCTTTGATGGACAACAACATCTACCTTCCGTTTGAAGGTCTTTCCACATTCTGAGTCTTGAAATAGTTCCTTTGTTTCGTGTTCTCCTATAGGCACGCCGGCACTCGATATCCCAGTTAGGTTTTCTGCCCAGCAAAGGAATATATTGCTTTCTCTTCCTGTGCAACATTCCTCTAGCAGAGATATTTTGTGGGAGCCAACACTCTCGGGAAAACCAGATTTCTGCACCCCCGCTTGTTCTGCTGTAGTTTGCATTCTCTCCTTCTCATCATTTGATTCACCCTTTCTCATAGCACCTGAAAAAAAGGAAAAGTTATGTGACCCAAGAAGGAAAGAAGTCTCAAAGTCAAACCCACATATAGTGAGGATTAATAAGACCACGCAGGAATGGCCACTGTCAGCTTTGCCACCTGGATATCTTATTTATTTACAGCATTTATATTCCTCCCTTCTCATCCTGAAGGACTCAGGATGGATGACAGAACACATACACGGCAAACACCCACTGTTTTAACATGGTGAGATGTATTCCACACTGGGCATGCGTATTTAGCAGCAGAGTAGCATAGTGCAAGGGCAGATGTCGTCACTGTGTCTGGTTGTGATCCCCAGGTTGTGCCAGTCAGACATGCCGCATTATCACAGGATGTCTACGCCCTACACCATTGGAGAAATTATACTGTTTAGCCAGGTATTGCACCACTTGACATCCCCCGGGAAGTAGCAGCCAATAATGAAAGGACCAAGGCAGTGACATCTCCAGCCCATCCTTTGTTTGAATATCAGCCAGCACGCCAAAGCCTTAAATCAAGAAACAGCTTTCTAAAGTCTACAGGGAGACTCGCAAGAATACATCAGCAAGCGAGAGTCCTAAAGTGGCCGATACTGAATGGGTTCTCTCCAGGAACCTCTAGGTCAGTGGTTCTCAACCTGGGGTCCCCAGATGTTTTTGGCCTACAACTCCCAGAAATCCTAACAGCTGGTAAACTAGCTGGGATTTTTGGGAGTTGTAGGCCAAAAACATCTGGGGACCCCAGGTTGAGAACCACTGCTCTAGGTCTTCCAGTGTAATTCTACAATCAATATCTGGTGAAAGTTGGCCTTAGAACCATGCTGGATGCCCTAGACCAGGGGTCCTCAAACATTTTTAAACAGAGGGCCAAGTCGCAGTCCCTCAAACTGTTGGAGGGCCGGATTATAATTTGAAAAAAACATGAATGAATTCTTATGCACACTGCACATATCTTATTTGAAGTGCAAAAAAACACTTAAAAACAATACAATAATTGAAATGAACAACAATTTTAACAAATATAAACTTCTTAGGATTTCAATGGGAAGTGTGGGCCTGCTTTTGGGTGATGAGATAGGATTGTTGTTGTTGTTGTTGTTGTGTGCTTTCAAGTTGTTTCAGACTTAGGTTGACCCTGACCAAGGGCCGGGTAAATGACCTTGGAGGGCCGTATCCAGCTCCCGGTCCTTAGTTTGCGGACCCCTGCCCTAGAGATTTCTAAAGACAGTTCCCTCAAGGGGAAAAAACAGCATTTTAAAAATGTGCGGTTTTTCACTTCTGTGGAGATTATCTATGCCTAATCCCAATGAATGCGGAGTATTGGCTATAGGCAATGCAAGCAAGATATATCATGGCACTCGTGTGTTTGTGTGTTTAATAAGGCAAATTCATCCACGGACCTTCCCCCCAACATTTTGTACAAAAATAATCCAGAACTTTATCCGCTATTTCCAGACATCCAGAATTTCTGGTATACTCAGGATGGAAAACTCTCAAAGCAACAATATGACCATTTCCTAGCTCTAGGATCAGCCAAAGCATAGTTCTTACCCAGAGAGGCCATGATCCCACAAGTCTCCTCAATGACGTCCCTGTGCAGAGATCTCTGGTCAGTGTCCAGCAGAGCCCACTCCTCCTCTGAGAAACGCACAGCCACCTCTTCAAAGGCCACCAGGCCCTGAAACAAAGATTTAACACTGTTGAGCACTTGGCAAACCAGAGGTCTCTTCCAGAATCAAAACAAAACCCACGTGAAGAACGATAATGATGACGATTATCGCTATTTATACCCATTTTCCTGTCTTAAACAACATTCAAAGCGGCTCCCTAGGATCATGACAAAAAGGAATTGTTGATAAAACTTCCAATATGACAATGAATGCACAGTATGACCCCCATATCCACAAGAGAAGGGAAGTAGGCCTCCCAACTCAATCTGACTGACACATAAACTCTTTCTCACTCTCTCCTTTTATTTTGAACACTTTCTAATTCCATTTTAAGGTACCGTATATACTCAAGTATAAGCTGACCCAAATATAAGTTGAGGCACCACATATTACCACAAAAAAACCTGGGAAAACTTATTGACTCAGGTATAAGCTGAGGGTGGGAAATTAAAAAATTCAATGTTTTTGAATATTTACATACATTTTGAATATTTCCTTGATTTTAATGTTATGTATTACATATGTATATTGTGAACCGGTCAGAGCCTTCGTGGAGTGGCGGTATAGAAAATTGATAAATAAATAAATAAAACTAATTTAAGATCAACTCTGATTGAACCATTATTCTAACCTTCAATGTAAATGTGCTTACGTAACCTTCCTATAACAATAAAGAGAGTAAAATAATAAATGTAATAAAATAGAGAAAAACAATGTAAATATAATAATAAAGAGTAAAATAATACATGTAATAAAAATAATAATAGAGTAAAATAATGTAAATGTAATTATAAAAACAGAGTAAAATAATAAATGTAATAATAATAAAGAGAATAAAATAATAAATGTAATAAAATAATATTAATAGAGTGAAATAATGTAAATGTCATAATAATAGTAAATACAGTAAAATAATAAATGTAATAAAATAATATTAATAGAGTAAAAGGTTGCTCAAGCCTGCCTTAGAAAAAAAACTAAAACATCATAGATTGTATTTAGCCTATCTAATATGATCAATTCCAGCACAGCTGCCCAGGCAGCTGTGGATAAATATATACAAAGAGAAAAATATATGAAAAAATGTAATCTCACCTCTCTCTTCAGAACAAAGATATCCATAGAATCCTCTCTTGTACCCAGATCTAACTCCCATTGAGTTTTTCTTACCTGATCTGGCTGGATTGCAGTCCTCTCCATTGAGCCAGGAGAAGCCCTTGAACAAGGCCAGAGGTTCATTTCGTCACCTGTGTAGGAGAGGGAGATGGATGCACATAACTCTTAAAGAGGGGGGAGATTATACAAACAAAAATTAATAAATTGGGGTAATACATGCCTTCTGTAAGAGGCTGCTTTGGTGAAAAATAAGAATTAGAGGTCCAATTTACATGCTGATCTGTTTTAGTGAGCCTGATCAACTGCACTTTGACAATAGTTGATGTTTCCCAATGGCCTGCATTGAGTGTCATTTGTGCTATGCTAGAAATGCAGTAACTGCTATACTATGTACTCAGGGCCAACAAACACAATTTAAGGCATACAGTGCCAGACCTTGGAAATATCCTCATTAAAAAAACACAAATTGTTGATACATGCTATGCTGGTCACCTCGACTTCAGGTAAGGAGATCTTCAGGTAAGGTTTGAGATTAGGGTCACAGAACCACTGCAAAAGTGGGAAAACAGTGAATAAGAAGTCTTTTTTTTTCATCCGAGAGAATGTGGGGCGAGTAGGCTTACTAACAAAAGTCAGAGGAACTTTTGTTAGTAAGCCCACTCACCCCACATTATGGGGAGGCCATAAATGTACAGCAGAGTAACTTATTAGCAGCAGCGTGACCCAGCACCAGTAGCCCAAAGTGATAAAAAGCACAAAAACACCCAGACCAATGTTATATCTTCCATAAGAGGCTTTTCAAATTAATATGGCTGCACTATTTACAAGAACAAGGTTTCCACAGCACAAATAAATTCAACCTTCATACAGGAGCTTCACACACGAGGCCTTCTCATACCGAGGCCTACCTCACACTGTGAAGCCTTTCTCCCACAGTGAGGCCTACTACCACTGAGGTTGTCTCTCAGAGAGGCTTCTCTCACACAAAGAGCTCTCTCAAACTGAGGCATTACTAAGAAACAGATACACCTGCTTATATTGAACTACAGCTTTTGCTGAGTCATTGCATCCATTCAACCATTTCAGTGCTTGACTCACATTTTTGTAATTAAAAATACCTAGTTAATTTTTGATATTTCTGACAGAGAACATCTTTCCAGAAATCTGCTGGAACTTGACCTCATAATTATGCTAGAAGAACAACAGATGAGTAGAGAAGTGTTTTCTTTAGGAAACTTTAGGTCAATTGTTCTGAACCTGTGGATCCCCAGATGTTATGGTCTTCAACTTCCAGAAATCCTAACAGCTGGTAAACTGTCTGGGATTTCTGGGAGTTGTAGGCCAAAACACCTAGGGACCCACAGGTTGAGAATCACTGCTCTAGGTCTTCCAGCACAACTATGGTAGAAGTTGACCACAGAGGAGGATTGAAAAATTTCTCAAGAGGACATAATCAAATCTGTGAACGATCAAAGCTGCAAATTTGAAGTGTGTTGTTGTCTGCATAAGTATGAAGTTCTATAAAATACTGATGCCTGAAATATACTTAATCTATCTTGACTAGTCCTATGAGTAGGTTGGGCTGAAACCAGTCCCAAGGCTCAGTACATTATTTGGTTAAAGTTAGGGTTTGTTGTCTGTCTTCCTGCCCAGTTTCAGGGCTCATCCCAGCTTTGTGTCTAACCGAGGCAGGTGGACATTTCAATTATAGCTTCTGAAATCTTGCACAAGGAGGTATCCAACACCTTGTCCCTTGCATGTCCTTGTCTCTGTCTGTGCTAGTATATCTTCTCACAGATGATGCTCCTCCACCCATGTGCTCAAGTGCAACCAGTCATAGCCATCACATCCTGCAAGAATTTCAGGCCATGTTCAGGCCTAAAATAATAACAACAACAACAACAACAACAACAACAACATCACACAGTCCTAAATGCTTGGGAAGTGTTCGACTTGTGATTATGTGATATGAAATCCAGCATATATATCTTGTTTGCTGTGTCATGTATTTTTATGTCAGTAAAATAATAATAATAATAATAATAATAATAATAATAATAATAATAATAATAATAATGTTATTTGTATACTGCCCTATCTTCCCAAGGGGACTTAGGGCGGTTTCCATCATATAAAGCAAAACATTAAACTGCCAGAAAGGAAAACCATACAGACAAATTAAAATAAACATCATAAAACATAAAATCCTGAGTAAAAGATTCAAATCCTTGTTCCCACAATCCTGAGAATTAAAACTCTTCATAGTGCTGGCTCTTTTCCACAGTCAAGAGAAATGTAAAGGTAGCACAGGAATTGAAGCAATACTCTAAAAAGAGGAAGGCCAGACTACATGGACGACCCACAACTCCACACCAAGAGACACAGCACCTTTGTCACCCTCCTGCATGATCCATTGCATCTCTGTCCTCTGCTGAATGTCTAGTGGAGGCTCCTCTGGTTCAGGAAATGCAGCAGTTCTTTTGCCCAACTCCATCCTAATCTGAAAGAAGAGTGAAGAAGATCAAGGATAAAAGCAGTGAAAAAAAGAAACACACCATACAGGCCAAGGATAGGAACATGCTGAAAGGACCTATATTGGTTATGTACTTGTGTTGAGTCCAGCTTCAACATACTCATGTTTACCTTTCATGGTCTCATCGAACAGGATCCACTTTCCTCCAAATATCCAGTCCTTGCATTAGGATGAAGATAAAACACTTCACTGAGCACCATGAGTGGGAGAGGTGTAAGGCTCTCCGATGGGCAAAAGCATAGAATCACAGAGTTGGAAGAGACCTCGTGGGTCAGCCAGTCCAACCCCGTTCTGCCAAGAAGCAGGAAAATTGCATTCAAAGGACCCCCAACAGATGGCCATCCAGCCTCTGTTTAAAAGCCTCCAAAGAAGGAACCTCCACCACACTCCAGGGCAAGGTTCCACTGCTGAAATTCTTCCTAATGTTCAGGTGGAATCTCCTTTCTTGTAGTTTCAAGCCATTGCTCCATGTCCTAATCTCCAGAGCAGCAGAAAACAAGCCTGCTCCCTCCTCCCTATGACTTCCCCTCACATATTTATACATGGCTCTCATCATGTCTCCTCTCAGCCTTCTCTTCTGCAGGCTAAACATGCCCATTCTTTAAGCCACTCCTCATAGGGCTTGTTCTCCAGACCCTCGTAAATCAGTTAATATAGCCTCCCCACAAAGTGGTACCTAATTTTCCTACTTCACAGATGTAACTGTCTTTCGGGCTGCAAAGGTCGACAACAAGCTACACAATTTTTGCTGGGAGCTCACTCTGAACCAGGGCTGGCTTCGAACTCATGACCTTTCGGTCAGTAGTGATCTTAATGCAGCTGATTCCCAGCCAGCTGCGCCACAGTCCCGGTGCGATATCATATATTGTGTGTGTGTGTGTGTGGGAGTTGTGATACAATAACACCCAATTTGCGATTTGATTTGTTCTGTGTACAGCAGTCATATTGTATAAAGCAGGCATGGGCAAACATTGCCCTTCGGGTGTTTTGGACTTCAACTCCCACAATTCCTAATGGCCAGTAGGATGTTAGGAATTGTGGGAGTTGAAGACCGAAACACCTGGAGGGAGGGGTGAAGTTTACCCATTCCTGGACTTTAGGGCACCCCGCCCTGTGTTTTCTGCCCCTTGGAATGAGCAAACAGATGCTCTCACCTCCTCCTCCTGCTTCTGCTCCTCTGCGTGGCTGAGGAGGAATCCTTCTGCCAGGGCCACGGCCTGGGAGCTGCTCTCTGCCCCGCACTCCCTCACCCAGCGCTCCATCTCCATAGGAAGGATGGCCAGGAACTGCTCCAGCACCACCAGGTCCAGCATCTCTGCCTTGGTGTGTCTTTCTGGCTTCAGCCATTGCCGGCAAAGAGCATGAAGCCGGCTGCAAACCTCTCGGGGTCCCTTGGCATCCTGGTAGGAGAATCCCCTAAAGCACCGAAGCTGGGCCTCTGAGCCGCCGGTGTACTCTTCCGCCAGGTTTTCCCACGCTCTCCTCTCCCAGAAGACTCCATGGCTCTCTGCCCAAGAGACATCAGAATATCCACTTTCCGTTTCAGGCTCAGCTAGATCTGGCTCTTCCATCTCCTTGCTGGGCTGTCAAATTCTTTTGGAAGGCAAGAGTAGGGAAGTGGGGGTGTCGCCTCAGAAGTAATACTGTAGCGATCGCCAGTGCTTCCGCCTCCAACTAATTTACACTCAGAGTAGAAAGTCAGCATTTGAAAAATCAGCTTCTTCCTGTAAGAGAAGCAGATGACAATTAACTGTAACAACTGTAGAGCTCCAAATATTGGGACATTTTCTTATATATGGTGGCCTTGCAGAAAGGTCCAAAAATGAGGAAAACTTGGGGGAATGCTACAATATATGATAATGGCTTAAAGTATTGTGCATGATCAGAGATGGAAGTCACCAGTCATCCCAATACAAGAAGGGTCTGTGAATGGCTGAGATGGACACATGGACTATGCTGATTAAGAATATTTGACCAAATTCTAGAAAAACTGGGGGCCCTTCCATACCGTCATATAACCCAGAATGTTAAGGCAGAAAATCCAACACTATCCGATTTGAACTGGGTTATCTCAATCCACACTGCCCTGGAGTATAGCTGAAGCATGTTCCATAGAGTCCACTGTTACAGCCTGTGCTGGATGGGTTACACTGAGCTAAGGGGACCCCATTTGCAGTGTTCTAGAAAACATCTCAACCAGCAGTTCCACCACTTCAAAGAAAACTGTCTTCTCATTCTCTTGACAGTAAAAGACATTGGAAACAGAGGCTGAGAGAGTGTGACTTGCCCATGGACACCCAGTAGGTTTCCATAGTTGTCTGGGGAAAGGGCCTGAGGCTGTTAGAAATTGTGGGAGTTGGTCCAAAACACCTGGAGGGCCAAAGTTTGCCCATGCCTGTTCTACAGTACAGCTTAATGGTGTAACATTAGATACTTTTTGGTATCTGTGGAGTTCCTGCCACCAAACATAAGACCCACTGTACTACTTTGAGAACACACGTAAGTGATCTCGTGATGTTAGCTAATATTTTATCCACAAGATAATTCCTTATATTTTGACTCTCCAAACGTTGCATCTAAAGGTAGACTGCAATTCCCATCATTGGTTCCCATGAGTAATGTGGTACAGAGTTGGTGGGAACTGTAAGCAACCACCGTTTACTCACCTGCCTAAAGGTAAGCGAGGTTTATGTTGTACCTTGTCCTTGTGTATACGCAAGACAAAAGGGTTCAAGAACCAAGTCCTTCTTGAATGAAGAAGGATGGGATCTCAAGATACCTCCCGTTTGCCTGCCTTCCTCCAGGCAGTGAGGAGTAATGGTTGGAGTGTTGGACTAGATTCCAGCTACACTGTAGAGTTAATACATTTTGACGCCACTTTAGTTGCTGCAATTATGGAACCAGGCGAGCAGTGATTTTGCAAGTTCTTCTCAACGAAGAGCGCTGATGCCTCAGCAAACTACAACTCTCAGAATTCTGTCGCATTGAGCGGTGGCTGTGAAAGTTGTGTTGAACTGCATTTCTTCTTGCATTGTAAATATGAGAAGCTTGGCCTGTCACTGAACATCGAGAAAACCAAAGTGCTTTTCCAGCAGTTCCCAGCCAATCCCTCTCCAATGCAAGAAATGCAGCTTAATGGTGTAATGTTAGAAAATGTTGACCATTTTCACTACCTTGGCAGCCACCTCTCCACCAAAGTCAACATGACACCGAAATACAACACCGCCTGAGCCCTGCGAGTGCAGCATTTTTCCAAATGAAGCAGAGAGTGTTTGAGGACCGGGATATCCGTAGGGATACCAAGGTGCTCGTTTATAAAGCTATTGTCCTCCCAACCCTGCTATACGCCTGTGAAACGTGGACTGTTTACAGATGTCACATGCAACTCTTGGAACGATTCCATCAGCATTACCTCTGGAAAATCCTGCAAATCTCTTGGGAAGACAAGCGGACAAATGTCAGCGTGCTGGAAGAAGCAAAGACCACTAAGCAAAGACCACCAGCATTGAAGCGATGGTCCTCCTCCATCAACTCCGCTGGGCCGGCCACGTTGTCCGAATGCCCGACCACCGTCTCCCAAAGCAGTTGCTCTACTCCGAACTCAAGAATGGAAAATTGAATGTTGGTGGACAGGAAAAGAGATTGAAAGATGGGCTCAAAGCCAACCTCAAAAACTCTGGCATAGACACTGAGAACTGGGAAGCCCTGGCCCTTGAGCGCTCCAACTGGAGGTCAGCTGTGACCAGCAGTGCTGCAGAATTAGAAGAGGCAGGAATGGGAGAAACGTGCCAAGAGGAAGGACCATCAAGCCAACCCTGATCAGTCTGGAAACCGATGTCCTCACTGTGGGGAATTAGGCCTGGCCTAAACCAACACCACCCAGCCCAGCTCCTTCCCTTCTCAACCCATTCTTGGCTACCTTCTTCTGCAGGTGAAGCAGATCCAGGGGCTCTGCAAACTCCTTGGGCGGGAGGACTTCCGGGGCGGGACCAAACCGGAAGTAGGCTTCACCATGAAGCTATGCTACCGCTCTGGGAAGCGAGACTTTCTGGTTTTAACCCTGAAGTGGCCTCTCTTCTCACCTCCTTGCTCTATTTCTTCTGCCTCTTCCTCTATGTAACCAAATTTGGGGAAAAAAATGTTTCTGTTCCTGGTTGGAAAGACTTATTTCCTGTTTCATTGTGTGGTGCTTGCATTGAAAGTCGCTGTTATACACCAGAAACTTTGTTTTTGTGGCACAAACTATGTTGAGTTGTAAAACTACTGCAAAATGTCCCATAAAAAGAAAGTTTTTTTTTCAGTTTAACAAACCTTTTTCCATATTATTATTATAGAATTAGGAAATGACATTTATAACCCAGAGAAAAAAATGTGTTATATAGTGTTTAATTTAATACACTGAAAACCCGGGTCGGAGTGAGCTTCCGGCCATTCATCCAGCTTGCTGTCGACCTATGCAGCCCAAAAGACAGTTGCATCTGTCAAGTAGGAAATTTAGGTACCTGTTTATGCGGCGAGGCTAATTTGCTTCTATGTCCCACCTCGTAACTTGAGATCATCCAGGGAGGCCCTGCTCTCACTCCCACCAACATCGCAAACGCGGCTGGCGGGGACGAGAGACAGGGCCTTCTCGGCTGTAGCCCCCGCCTGTGGAATTAGCTTCCAAATGAAATACGATCGACTCCATCACTCCTGGTGTTCAGGAAGAAATTAAAATCTTGGTTTTGGGACCAGGCTTTCGGACAATAAACATAAAGCAGCACTTTGACTGGAAATAGACTGGCAAGACGATATGTATGAGGATACGGTTTTATTGTTCTATCAGTGGGCTTGTGGACTGCGTATTGTTTTAATATTGTTATGATAATTTGGTTAATTAATTGCTATTGTTTTGATGAGGAGATATTGGAAAAATGGATATTTATTGATTGATTTATGCATAAAAATCATATGTACTTTAAATGTATAGGAAAATCTAGTTCCCTCTGTGTAGCTGACAGGCAAGTAAGCGGCTTGTCTCCAAAAGGGGCTGAAGAGGAAGGGGGGCATGCATTCCAGAAGAGAGATAAGCCCGTTGGAGAAGCCCGTGCTAGGACGAAGAAGCACCTCTGACAGGTCAGAGTAGGCCCCTTGATCGATGACTGCAAAATGCCTGCTCTTCAGATAGACACAGAGACATTGTTTTTGCATGTTGGAGGTTGGAACCTGATATTCTTATGATGCCAGGATGACGTAGGGATGATGATGATTGTATGAAGATGTATGTTCTTTGTTTCATTCCGATTGGAGACTATAAAAGGCCAGTCCACACCTTGATCGGGGCTCTGGGTTTTGCTTTTTGGGACACGAGTCCACCAGAGTCACCAGCTGGAAATAAAGCCGTACCTTTTCTTAATCTCCAGAAAGGATGTCTCTTGGTAATTATCTCTCCTTTCCTCAAAACCTATTTCCCTGCCATTTCAGTTTTAACTCTGTATGTATTTATGGTTTTATACTGTGTTATTGATTGTGGCGTTGAATTGTTGCTTTTTGTTAGCCGCTCTGAGTCCCCCTGGGGGTTGAGAAGAGCAGGGTAAAAATGCTATAAATAAATTATAAATAAATAATTTAACTAATTTACGACACCATAAAAACTTCCAGCAGCATGCAGAGGAATGAGGAAGTATTCCATCAAAGGACTCGGTGTCACAATGGACAACAGCTCCCTCTGTGGCCGGAATTGAGCCAGGAACGCTTGGGCAGAGCTGGAATGTTAAATAGCCTCTTTGTATGTCTATATATGTCGTATGTCTAACTGGCCCTGAATGTTTGCCAAGTATATGTGCATTGTAATCCACCCTGAGTTCCCTAAGGCGTGAGAAGGGCGGAATATAAATGCTGTAAATAAATAAATAATATGCATTACAAAGTATGTTCTGCCTGAAGCTAGCTTCAAACTGCATTCAGTGCTCAGTGCAGAATCCTAGACTCATAGAGCTGGAAGAGGACCATCCAGTCCAGCCCCTTCTGCCAGGCAGGGAGACACAATCAAACCACTCCTGACAGATGGCCATTCAGCCCCCAGTCAATATCTAAGCATGTTCTTTTCTCTCCGCCTTCTTTTTCTCCAAGGTAAAGATACCCATCTCCAAACAGTGTCCCCTGGGTCCACCATGGGACTTGATGTGGAAATCCCCGCAAAACGCTACATAGAGATGCTGAAGCAGGCTTTTTCTTCCCCTGAGCAATGCTCAAGAGCTTAGCCAAATTGTTTAAACCAAGTTCGATTGCGAGCACAGATGAGTCAGGAAAACAGCCAACTGGGTTCAGCAAGAATATCAAAGTTTATTTTAGCAGCTGCTAGTTGGCTTCCGACACAACAAGGCGTCTCTGGGGGAAGTCACCCAGCACAATGGGTTAGAGTTATTTTTATACACACAAAGGGGTTCGGCCTTAAGAGCCGCCCCAAAGATTAAATCATTGGTTAAGAGAGCTGTCAATATTACATTTATGTTAAGCAGTTAGATCATATATTTTTAAGTTTCGTTTTCCAATAAGCAAGCTCTTTTTGGAAACATCACAAGATGCTGATGCAGCTGGAGACTCTGCAAAGTCAGCACGTCTCTTGACCGATACTTCACCCTTGCACAAAAAACTTATCTTTGGCACCAAAACCCGTCTTTGTTTCCCATATATGGTCAAGTCCATATCCGTTCTCYTTTCTMCATGAARACTCCGGCATTTTGTAAAACTAAAGCTATATCTTCTGAAGAGCCCACAGAACAAAATTGAGGGGTATTTGCCATCACAACTATTAGGTCAACTGATCTGAAAAACATAGGATCTGATCCTGCCTTAATGCTTCTGCCTTTCTTGGAGATTGATCCCAGCTTTGGCCATTTCACCAGGGAGAAAGTTGCTTCTGGTACGCATGCCCAGTGTGGAATACATCTAATCCCGTTAAAACAGTGGATGTGGCACTTAATGAGACATGCCGCATTATCACAAGATGTCTATGCCCAACACCGCAGGAGAAATTACACTGCTTAGCCGGTATTGCACCACCCGACATCCGTGAGGAAGTAGCAGCCAATAGTGAAAGGACCAAGGCAGAGACATCTCCAGCCCATCCTCTGTTTGGATATCAGCCAGCACACCAAACGCCTTAAATCAAGAAATGGTTTTCTAAGATCCACAGAGATATTTATACACACACACACATACAATATACTATATTATTAGCACAGTACAGTATCAGTATTAAATATTAATATATTTTATTATACTATTATATTGTAATATTATTAGTAATATTACATGTAATATAAATATATAACTATAATATCATATTATTTTATTAGTATTATATTGCATTACATTATAATATTATAAATATTATATGTATATACAATATATTACATTACATTACATTATTAGCATAGCACTGGAAACAAGATGGGACTGTCCCCTGGCCCCCTCTCTCTTCACTCTGGCTCAGAGTAGCAGTTGGTGCTGGGGAAAAGGGGCCCCTAGATGATGAGATATGCAGGAGACAAGATGGAACTGTCCCCTGGGCCCCTCTCTCTTCACTCTGGCCCAGAATGACAGTTGGTGCTGAGGGGAGGGGTCCCCAGATGATGACATATGCAGGAGATAAGATGGAACTGTCCCCTGGGCCCCTCTCTCTTCACTCTGGCCCAGAATGACAGAATGATGAATTGACACCAAATTTGGACACAATACACATATCAGGCCAACGAGTGAGCATCACTAAAAAAAATATGTTTTTTTTATTTGGGAGTTGTAGTTGCTGGGATTTATAGTTAACCTACAATCAAAGAGCATTCTGAACTCCACCAATGATGGAACTGAACCAGACTTCCCACACAGAACTCCCTGGATTCAAACCTGAAACCTTTTGGTTAGCTAGTTTAGCAGCTCAGCGGTTTAACCTGCTGTGCCACCTGGGGCTCCGGTACTCAAATACATTAATATATATTCCTATGTGTGTGTGTGTGTGTGCTTCTATAATTTCTAAAACATTGATGTTGTGTATTGTCAAAGGCTTTCATGGCTGGAATCACTGGGTTGTTGTAGGTTTTTTCAGGCTATATGGCCATGGTCTAGAGGCATTCTCTCCTGACGTTTCGCCTGCATCTATGGCAAGCATCCTCAGAGGTAGTGAGGTCTGTTCGAAACTAGGAAAATGGGGTTTATGTATCTATTCTAAAGCCTTTGACTGTATGGATCATAATAAATTGTGACAAGTTCTTGGTGGTATAGGCATACCAAATCACCTTGTCTCTCTCCTGAGGAATCTGTATAAGGACCAAGTAGCAACAGTTAGAACTGACCATGGAACAACTGACTGGTTCAAGATTGGGAAAGGCGTACGGCAGGGTTGTATCCTCTCACTTGACCTATTCAACTTGTATGCAGAACACATCATGCGATGTGCGGGGCTTGAGGAATGCAAGGCTGGGGTGAAAATTTCTGGAAGGAACATTAACAACCTTAGATATGCAGATGATACCACTTCGATGGCTGAAAGCGAGGAGGAGTTGAGGAGCCTTCTAAACAAGGTGAAAGAAGAAAGCGCAAAAGCTGGGTTGCACTTAAACATAAAAAAACAAGATTATGTCAACTAGACTGACTGATAACTGGCAAATAAAGGGAGAAAATGTGAAGGCAGTGACAGACTTTGTATTTCTAGGTGCAAAGATGACTGCAGACACAGACAGGAAATCAGAAGACGTTTCCTTCTTGGAAGGAGAGCAATGACCAATCTCAATAAAATAATAAAGAGTAGAGACATCAGACTGGCAACAAAGATCTGCAGAGTTAAAGCAATGATATTCCCCGTAGCAACCTATGGATGTGAGAGCTGGACCATAAGGAAGGCTGAGCGAAGGAAGAGAGATGCTTTTGAACTGTGGTGTTGGAGGAAAGTTCTGAGAGTGCCTTGGACTGTGAGAAGATTCAACCAGTCCATACGTCAGGAAACAAAGCCCGACTGTTCATTGGAGGGAAGGATACTAGAGGCAAAGATGAAGTACTTTGGCCATATCATGAGAAGACAGGAAAGCTTAGAGAAGGGAATGATGCTGGGGAAAAAGGAAGGAAAAAGGAAGAGGGGGCCGACCAAGGTCCAGGTGGATGGTTGGGATCCTTGAAGTGACTGGATTGACCTTGAAGGAGCTGGGGGTGGTGACGGCCAACAAAGAGCTCTGGCATGGGCTGGTCCATGAGGTCACGAAGAGTCAGAAGCCACTAAACAAATGTACAACAATATCTGTGAAATATTCAGGGTGGGAGAAAGAACTCTTTTGTCTGTTGGAGGTAGGTGTGAATGCTGCAATTGGCCACCTTGATTAGCATTTAATATCCTGACAATGTCTACGTCAGGATATTAAATGTGACATCTTACTGCTTGGGGAAATCCTTTGATGAGAGGTGAGAGGGGAATCCTTTTTAGAGAGGTGATTAGCTGTCCCTATTGTTTCTTGTCTGGAGTTCCTCTCTGTGTTCTTTATCCCACCTTGATTAGCATTTAATAGCCTGACGGTTTTTAGGTGTGCATTCTTACTGCCTGGTGGAATCCTTTGTTGAGGGGATTAGCTGTCCCTGATTGTTTCTTGTCTAAAGTTCCCCTGTGTTTGAGTTTTGTTCTTTATTTACTGTTAAGATTTTAGATTTTTTTTAAGTAAGGACCCCCTGGTGGCACAGCAGGTTAAACCGCTGAGCTGTAGAACTTGCTGACAGATAGGTTGGTGATTTGAATCGGGGAGTGGGGTGAGCTCCTGCTGTTAGGCCCAACTTCTGCCAATCTAGCAGTTTGAAAACATGAAAATGTGAGTAGATCAACAGTTACCGCTTTGGCGGAAAGGTAACAGCGCTCCATGCAGACATGCTGGCCACATGACCTAGGAGATGTCTATGGACAACGCCAGCTCTTCGGCTTAGAAACAGAGATAAGCACCACCCCGCAGAGTCAAGGGAAACCTTTACCTTTACCTTAGTGTGACTTTATGGCCAGAGATTCCTAGCTATGACATTTCTCTAGACAATATAATTTTAAGGTCAAGTTTAGATAGAAGTTATCCATAGTCACACTGGGCCCCGCAATGGAAGGGAGATGTTGACTCTAAGCCGAATGTGTTCAGAGGAGAGCAACTAAATTGATAAAAGATCTGGAGAACAAGCTCTATGAGGAGCGGCTTAAAGAGTTGGGCATGTTTAGCCTGCAGAAGAGAAGGCTGAGAGGAGACATAATCAGGTCCATAGATCAAGATGTGAGAGGAAGTCATAGAGAGGAGGGAGCAGGCTTGTTTTCTGCTTCCCTGGAGACTAGGACATGGAACAATGGCTTACCTACAGGAAAAGAGATTCCATCTGAACATGAGGAAGAACTTTCTGACTGTGAGAGCTGTTCATCAGTGGAACTCTCTACCCTGGAATGTGGTGGAGGTTCCTTCTTTGGAGGCTTTTAAACAGAGGCTGGATGGCCATCTGTCAGGGGTGCTTTGAATGCAATTTTATTGTTTAAATATTGTTTATATGTGAGTTATATTAATTGTACTGTTTTATTTGCTTGCTGTTTTGTTTTTACTGATGTGTTGTTGGGCTTGGCCTCATGTAAGCCGCTCCGAGTCCCCTTGGGGAGATGGTGGCGGGGTATAAATAAAGTATTATTATTATTATTATTATTATTATTATCCTGCTTCTTGGCAAGGGGTTGGACTAGATGGCACATGAGGTCTCTTCGAACTGTATGATTCTTTGGAAGACCTAGAGATTCTCTCAAGTAAAAAAGAAAATTAGCATTTATTTACATACATTCACTTTCACAGGGGTCTTGTGCTTCTAACCCCAACAAATGTGGAAGGTGACTGTATTTCATCCATAATCAGTTGATCTAACAATTCACTTCTTGCTTAATCTCAGGTATTACACACTGACTGTCCTGTGACAAGTCCTTTTTGGGGCACAAGAGAGACACACCATCCGGAGCCATTTCGACACTCCACGAAAGTACAGGCCTTTCGCCCCCAGTGTGGATTCTCCGATGTCGGTTGAGATCTGCCTTCCTGTAAAAGCTCTTTCCGCATTCGGGGCACCGGTAGGGTCTCTCTCCTGTATGGACTCTCTGGTGCGAGGTCAGAGTCGCCCGCTGCCTGAAATGCTTCCCGCACTCCTGGCATTTGTAGGGTTTCTCTCCTGTGTGGATTCTCTGGTGTCGGAGAAGGTTCTGCTTGTCGCAAAAGCTCTTCCCGCAGTCCGAGCAGTGGTAGGGCTTCTCTCCCGTGTGGATCCTTTGGTGGGAGGTGAGGTTCACCTTGTGGCTGAAGTTCTTGCCACATTCCAGGCACTTGTACGGCTTCTCCCCGGTGTGAGTCCTCTGGTGGCTGATAAGATGCGAGCGGTCGTAAAAACGCTTGCCGCACTCGGAGCAACTGTACGGCTTCTCTCCTTTGTGCATCCTCTGGTGAGCTGTGAGGATGAAGCTACGGTGGAAGCTCTTCCCACAGATCGAACACTTGTACGGCTTCTCCCCGGTGTGGATCCTCTGATGGAGACGGAGGTGCGGGATCTGGCTGAAGTTCTTTCCACACTCCAGGCATTTATAGGGTTTCTCATCGATGTGTGCTCTCCAGTTAAGGTCCGACCTGTGGCTGAAACTTTTCCCAAACCCGGGGCAGACATTCCTTCTTCTTCCCTTCTGTTTTTCTGGCTGGATTGGGCGTTCACTTTGGGAATGGACAGATTTATTTCTCCACCTCTCTGTTTGGTTTCTTTCTTTCTCTTTTGGCCCCTTTTGGTTCATGAGAGTCTCTTCATTCTCCTGATGCGCGTTTTCCCCAGAGGGTGGAACATCATCTACTGGAATAGAAAAGGAAAACAGTCCATGAGCCCAAAGAAGGAAACAAATAACACTTGCCGACACACATTTTAGTGGGTTGTTGTAGGTTTTCCGGGCTATATGGCCATGTTCTAGAGGCATTTTCTCCTGACGTTTCGCCTGCATCTATGGCAAGCATCCTCAGAGGTAGTGAGGTCTGTTGGAAGTAGGAAAATGGGTTTATAGATCTGTGGAATGACCAGGGTGGGACAAAGGACTTTTGTCTGCTGGAGCTAGGTGTGAATGTTTCAACTGACCACCTTGATTAGCATTTAATGGTTTGGAAGTGCCTGGGGGAATCTTTCTTTGAGAGGTGATTTGATTTGAAATTACAACAGCAAAATGACAGAGAGTAAACAATCAGGCACATCAAATCACCTCTCAAAGAAAGATTCCCCCAGGCACTTCCAAGCCATTAAATGCTAATCAAGGTGGTCAGTTGAAACATTCACACTTAGCTCCAGCAGACAAAAGTCCTTTGTCCCACCCTGGTCATTCCACAGATATATAAACCCATTTTCCTACTTCCAACAGACCTCACTACCTCTGAGGATGCTTGCCATAGATGCAGGCAAAACGTCAGGAGAAAATGCCTCTAGAACATGGCCGTATAGCCCGGAAAACCTACAACAACCCAGTGATTCCGACCATGAAAACCTTCGACAATACACATTTTAGTGTTTCAAATGCTAGCCCTGTTTCTAGGTCAGTTGGGGACCCCTCCCCTCAGCACCAACTGCTGCTCTGGGCCAGAGTGAAGAGGTAGGGGGGCCAGGGGACAGTTCCATCTTGTCTCCTGCATTTGTCATCAGCTGGGGACCCCTCCCACCAACACCACCTGTCGCTCAGGACCAGAGTGAAGACCGGGGTGGGTGGGGGCAGGACGATCGTTGTATTACTCAGAGAGACATTTCAAGCATAATCGGCATTTCACAATAACATGTGGGTCACATTTGCTTGGCTATCGGAAGATCTGTGCACAATGGGTTGCGGAAACAGAGTGTCGACTTCTTCTGTGATGTTACATTATTGCTTTGCTTGGCTATCGGAAGATCTGTGCACAATGGGTTGCGGAAACAGAGTGTCGACTTCTTCCATGATGGCTTCAGAAAACTTGTTCATCGTTGGCAGAAATGTATCCAATTGTCTGGTGATTATGTCAAAAAGTGAATAGTGGTAGTTAAAGAGCACATTCTAAGGATTATTTCTGTGTTTGATTTATTAAAATATTCTCATCCAAACCCAAGTAACGAAGGTGGAGGCATTACTTTTCATTCAACCCTCGTATAGTATACACATGACTCATGAATCAAAATAAGAACGTCTTGCTCAAGAGCAAAACATATGGATTTTAATGAGTCTACTCATTAAATATGGCTCAGTCAAGATCTAACCTAGCAAACTGGAACTTCTCTCTGCAAAATTTAGAGCATTCAGAAACCCAGTGCAAATAAATTTTTCCCTACCGTGTGATGTGTTGCGAGCTTCATCATCCTGAGTTGTTCCCCAAAAGAGAAGCTTATCAGAGATGATGGATGGATCTTTCACCTGCTCAGAGAAATTAGCCAGCCCTTCCGCGTGGGGCTCCTGCACATGAAATAAAAGCCAGAATGACTAGATGCAAATAACATTATTTTTAGGACTGCAACTCCCAGAGTCCCCTAGATGGTACACTGATGGATACATTTATTTAGTTTTATTATTATTTATTTATTTCAAACATTTCTATCCCGTCCTTCTCAACCCCCGAGGGGGGACTCCTGGCGGCTTACAATGGCAATCATTCGATGCCGACAACAACATTAATCACATTACAAACAGATTTACAAATAGGTAAACAAGAAGTTATAAATAGACATTAAAATATTAAAATTATACATTAAAATTAAAACAAAGCCAGGCCCAGATCACAAATCCAAGTCAACATCCAAAGTTCCAGTCCGAGGTTTATTCTTGGTTGGTTCTCATATATTTATTGCTGTTGCTACTCGGTTAGCTGCCAAATGCTTGGTCCCAAAGCCATGATTTGACCTTTTTGCTAAAGGAGAGGAGTGAAGGGGTTGCCCTAATTTTGCTGGAGAGTGTGTTCCATAGGCATCTCCCCATATGAATAATCTAGGACCTTAAGATCATCTGGGGAGGCCCTGCTCCCATTACTGCATTTGTCACAAGTACGTTTGGCGGGGACGAGACAGGGCCTTTTCAGTGGTGGCCCATCGGCTATGGAACACCCTTTTAACATTCCGGGGAAAAAATCAAGATGTAGCTTTTTTGCAAATGCAGAGTAACTAACACAGGAAAATGGAGCATCTAGACAATGAGTCTGGACAACGTTTTTAACAAGGAGACACTATGAACTTATATTTTATTGTTTTGCTTAGTTTTTATTATATGTTATGTTTTTAATTGTATTTAAGACTTTGTAAGACATTTAAGACACTCTCTGAAGATGCCAGCTGCAGATGTAGGCAAAATGTAATATAATATATTGTATATACACATAAAATTTATAATATTTTATAATTTAATGCAATATAATACTACTACTAATAATATATTATAATTATATATTTCTATTACACTAGCTGTCCCCTGCCAAGCGTTGCTGTGGCCCAGTCTGTATGTATGTGTGTGTATATATTTGTGTATATGTGTATATATATATGTGTTTGTGTATATATACAGTATATTCTGGTATATGACTACTTTTTGACCCAAGAAAATCTTCTCAACAGTCAGGGGTCATCTTATACACAGGTGTAGTCTTATGCATGGGAGTCGTCTTAACTCTATATTTTAACTGGAAAAGTTGGGGGTCGTCTTATACGCCCAGTCGTCTTATATGCCGGAATATACGGGTATGCTTTTTTGGGGGGGCTTTTTAAGTATCTTCTGCTGTGTTTTTCAGTGTTTTTATGAGTGATGCTCACTCGTTAGCCTGATAGGTGTATTGTGTCCAAATATGGTGTCAATTTGTCCAGTGGTTTTTGAATTATGTGAATCCCACAAACGAACATTACATTTTTATTTATAAGATGTTATATTACTAATAATGTTACAATATAATGGTATAGGGCAATATAGCAATATTTAATACTGATATTGTACTATGCTAATAACACAATATATTGTATGTATATATGTATCTTGTAAGCCGCTCTGAGTCCCCTTCGGGGTGAGAAAGGCGGCATATAAATATCGTAAATAAATAGTCAGGAGAGAATGGGGCTGGAACACAGCCAGGCAGCTGAAAAACTCATAGCAACCCAAAGTCAAAAATATATTGTCACGTCAATATTGTGGAAGTTGAAGTCCAAAACACCTGGAGGGCCAAACGTTAGCCCAGGCCTGCTCTTACCTGTTCCTCCTCCAGCTTGATGCTCTTTGCTTGGCTCAGGAGGAAGCCTTCAGCCAAAGCCACCGCCTGGGAGCAGGTCTCTGCCCCACATTCCCGGACCCACCTCTCCATCTCTGCAGGGAGGACAGCCAGGAACTGCTCCAGGATCACTAGGTCTAGGATCTGGCTCTTGGTGTGCTTCTCTGGCTGCAACCACTGGTGGCACAGTTTGTGGAGCTGGCTGCAAACATCCCGGGGCCCTTTGGCATCTTGGTAGCCAAATTCCCTGAAGTGTTTGCACTGCACCTCTGAGCGGGGTTTGTCTTTGGCCCAGGAATCGCCACAGCTTCCAGCTTGACCATCAAGAGAGCCATCTGTTTTGCCTTTCCTCCCTTCCTCCTCTTCTTGCCTTTGGGCATCTTTGTCTTTGCGGAGCTCCAGGGCCACTTCCAAGGGGTCCAGGAAGTGCCCTTGCTCCAAAGCAATCTGCATCCCTTTCGTGTGGCGAGCCCCCAGTTTAGCTCCGGGACCAAACTCCCTTCCAGGTTGGAAATAATCCACTGAACTGGTGCCAAACTACACTAATTTTGCAGTGTAGATGCACCCTTCATCTGAAAAAAAGAGCTTAAGTTATATCAACTTCATTCCCTTAAGTCAGTGGTTCTCGACCTTCCTAATGCCGTGACCCCTTAATACAGTTCCTCATGTTGTGATGACCCCCAACCATAAAATTATTTTTGTTGCTACTTCACAACTGTAATTTTGCTATTGTTATGAATTGTAATGTAAATATCTGATATGCAGGAAGTATTTTCATTCACTGGACCAAATTGGGCAAAAAAGACCCAATATGGGGGGATTGATTTTTGTCATTTGGGAGTTGTAGGTGCTGGGATTTATAGTTCACCTACTATCAAAGAGCATTCTGGACTCCACCAACGATGGAATTGGACCAAACTTGGCACGCTGAATTGCCATGACCAACAGAAAATACTGGAAGGGTTTGGTGGGCATTGAGCTAGAGTTTTGGAGTTTCAGTTCACCTACATCCAGAGAGCACTGTGGATTCAAACAACAATGGATCTGGAGCAAACCTGGCACAAATACTCAATATGTCCAAATGTGAACACTGGTGGAGTTTCGGGAAAATAGACCTTGACATTTGGGAGTTGTAATTGCTGGGATTTATAGTTCACTTACAATCAAAGAGCATTCTGGACCCCACCAACAATAGAATTGGGCCAAACTTCCACACAGAACCCCCATGACCAACAGAAAATACTGTGTTTTCTGATGGTCTTTGGCGACCCCTCGCACATCCTCCTTGTGACCCCCCCCCCCCAAGGGCTCCCGACCCCCAGGTTGAGAAACACTGCCTTAAGTTAACTGGCTTCACACTCATTTTTGCCTTGGTTAGATCACATCTGGAATACTGTGTCCAATTCTGGGCACCACAATTGAAGAGAGATATTGACAAGCTGGAATGTGTCCAGAGGAGGGCGACTACAATGATCAAGGGTCTGGAAAACAAGCCCTATGAGGAGTGGCTTAAGGAGCTGGGCATGTTTAGCCTGAAGAAGAGAAGGCTGAGAGGAGATATGATAGCCATGTTAAATAGCCTCTGTCTATGTCTGTATATGTTGTATGTCAAAATTGGCATTGAATGTTTGCCATATATGTGTACACTGTAATCCGCCCTGAGTCCCCTGCGGGGTGAGAAGGGTGGAATATAAAAGCTGTAAATAAATAAATAAATAAAATAAAGCAGAGGAAGCCACAGGGAGGAGGGAGCAAGCTTGTTTTCTGCTGCCCTGGAGACTAGGACATGGAACAATGGCTTCAAACTACAAGAAAGGAGATTCCACCTGAACATGAGAAAGAACTTCCTGACTGTGAGAGCTGTTCAGCAGTGGAACTCTCTGCCCCGGAGTGTGGTGGAGGCTCCTTCTTTGGAAGCTTTTAAACAGAGTCTTGATGGCATTCTTGGGAGGAGAGCAATGTCCAATCTCGATAAAATAGTGAAGAGTAGAGACATCAGACTGGCAACAAAGATCCGCCTAGTCAAAGCCATGGTATTCCCTGTAGGCACCTACGGATGTGAGAGCTGGACCTTAGGGAAGGCTGAGCGAAGGAAGATCGATGCTTTTGAGCTGTGGTGTTGGAGGAAAGTGCTGAGAGTGCCTTGGACTGCGAGAAGATCCAACCAGTCCATCCTCCAGGAAATAAAGCCCGACTGCTCATTGGAGGGAAGGATACTAGAGACAAAGTTGAAGTCTTTGGCCACATCATGAGGAGACAGCAAAGCCTAGAGAAGACAATTATGCTGGGGAAAGTGGAAGGCAAAAGGAAGAGGGGCCGACCAAGGGCAAGATGGATGGATGAAGTGACTGGACTGACCTTGGGTTTAGGGGTTCAACCCCCCCCCCCGAAATGTTTCAGTTTTTTTTAAAAAAACCTGGTTTACTCATGAATTTTAACTGGTTAACCAAATTCCCATGCTTAGTCTATGAGAACTGCAAGCACTATCTCAAGCAAATATTGACAATTTATTCACACTGTCATTACTTGCAGCAATAGCCGATGTAGTGAAGCAACCAAGTTGGGTGTGTGTGTTGAATGCTCTCATTAAGGAGGCCAGACTTGGTGGAGGTGGTTGACAGGGGTGGAGCTGCAGGCTATTGAAGGCTGCTCTGCCCCCTGCTGTGCTCTTTGCTTCAGCGTGAGCTAGGAGGCAGGTTTCAACCCCCCCCCCTGAAATTTTCAACCCTCCCCAAAATTTTCAACCCCCCCCCCGAAATTGTCAACCCTCCCTTTCTGGCTACGGCCCTGCTGGATGGCATCCTTGAAGTGACTGGACTGACCTTGAAGGAGGTGGGGGTGGTGGAAGCCGACAGGGAGCTCTGGCGTGGGCTGGTCCATGAGGTCACGAAGAGTCGGAGACGACTGAACGAATGAACAACAAAGCAGAGTCTGGATGGCCATCTGCCGGGGGTGCTTTGAATGCAATTTCCCTGCTTCTTGGCAGAATGGGGTTGGCCTGGATGGCTCATGAGGTCTCTTCCAACTCTAGGATTCTATGAAATGCATTGCAAAGGAGCCCCATTTGGAAATGATGACGTTTTTTCCCATTTTGGGGAGAATTAGAACTCAGGATCCCATTGCACTCACCTGATTCCCTCTTTAAGGAATGGAGGGAATTGATTAAGTTTTCTTTCCTTGTATGTAGAGGCTTCTCCAAGATTGCAAAGCTCTCTGCACTGAACTCTCAGCAATTCTGAAAAACAAAACAACAACCAGAGGATGTTTAAGACAAGGACTATCATGCAGCAGGTTATGCAAACAAGACAAGACTTCTGCAACTTACTATTAAAGCAGTTCAATAGCATCATAGGACTCTACACCACATTATATGGCAGTGTAGATGGGGATAGAGAGCAAAGCAAAAAGCCTAACCTGGCAGCAACAAAAGGAAAAGCAGCTCCCATTCAAGGGTTAAAGCCAGCAGTAAGCCTGGGAATGCAGCCCTTCCGGTCCTTCCCTATTGGCTGCCAATGAGCCAATCGCGTTCTTTCTGGCCAAGCACCTAGGCAACGCAAGTCCCGCCTTCGCCTTTTGCAAGACAGGTGAGCAGTATGAGGTTGTCATAGGAAGAACTGGAAAGGGCTCCTGTGCCTTTAAGGGAGGAGGAGAAAAGTGGGGAGAGAGTTGTGACAAAGCCCCAGTTATGACCCCAGCTCACCCCTTGCATACAATAGATTTGCTTTACTTACTTATTTACTTTACTTACTTATGTTTCTCTCTTTTTCCCCATCCAGTCGTGCCTCTTCGAATTCTGCAGCACTGCTGGTCACAGCTGGCCTCCAGCTAGAGTGCTCAAGGTCCAGGTCATCCCAATTCTCACTGTCTATGCCAGAGTTGTTGAGGTTTGTTTTTAGCCCATCTTTGAATCTCTTTTCCTGTCCACCAACATTCCGTTTTCCGTTCTTGAGTTCGGAGTAGAGCCACTGCTTTGGGACGGTTGTCGGGCATCCGGACAACGTGGCCAGTCCAGCGGAGTTGATGCCGGAGGACCATTGCTTCAGTGCTGGTGGTCTTTGCTTAGTGGTCTTTGCTTCTTCCAGCACTCTGACATTTGTCCGCCTCTCTTCCCAAGAGATTTGCAGGATTTTCCAGAGGCAGCGCTGATGGAATCGTTCCAGGAGTTGCATGTGACGTCTGTAGACAGTCCACGTTTCGCAGGCGTATAGCAGGGTTGGGAGGACAATAGCTTTATAAACAAGCACCTTGGTATCCTTACGGATGCCCCAGTCCTCAAACACTCTCTGCTTCATTTGGAAAAATGCTGTACTCGCAGAGCTCAGCTGGTGTTGTATTTTGGTGTCAATTTTGACTTTGACAAGCTGAAATGTGTCCAGGAGAGGGCAACTCAGATGATCAAGGGTCTGGAGAATAGACCCTTGATCATTTGTGGAAAGGAGGCTGCAGAGGCGGCCCTAGGTAATTTTCAATGGTAAGCAAACAGTATTTTGGCGCCCCCCCTCCCCCAAACCAATCACTATATATCTATCTATCTATCTATCTATCTATATGGGGGCATGGACAAATTTTGGCCCTCCAGGTATTTAGGATTTCCTACTGGCTGTTTGGAATTGTGGGAATTGAAGTCCAAAACACATGGAGGGCTGAAGTTGGCCCATGCCAGCCATACATACACACACACACACACTAGCCATCCCCTGCCACGCGTTGCTGTGCTCCATAGTGATCTTGAAAAGAAAGTAATAAGAAAGTTGGTTTCTAATATATGTAATTTCTTAATGCTTGTGGGTAAATAGTATTTCTTGTTGTTTCTTTGTCAGTGTTGATGTAGTTCCAACACAAAATACTGAAGGGATTTGGGGAAAATAGACTCTGATACTGGAGGGGTTTTGGGGAAACATGTACAATAATTTAGATTTGCAGTACCTTCAGTCACTTCCGTTCATGAAGAAACCTCCTTGCTGCCCTGAGAGGGGTGATGGCACAGCTGCCTGGAGAGGCACTTGCAATGCTGCCCCTCTTCACACAGGAGAAGAGGCCCTGTGCTCCATCGGCTCCTGGGTATGCGCTTTGCATTCTCTTCCCCCACACGCTTTGCAACTCCGGGAGAGGGACACGCGCCGGCATTACCAGGCGCACGGAAAAAGAGCCCTCATGCAGGGAGCATGCTCTCCCTCCATCCTTCCCTCACAAGTGCACACGTTGTCCTCCTCTCCTCCTCCTCCTTGCAGGCCAAGGGAGACAACAACGCCAGTGTGCATCCTTCTCCCAGCGTTAGGAAGTGCATGGAGAAGGAGGGCGATGCAGGGCGCACATTTCCTAATGCCGAGAGAGGGATGCGCAGCGGCATTGCCGGGCACGTGGGAAAAGAGGCCTCGTGCATGCCTCTTTTGTGTTTCATCTTGGGTGCTATCTTTGAAATGTGTCATTGTGTATGTAAACAGCTATCCCATGATCCCAAACATTTTATTTATTTATTTACAGTATTTGTATACCGCTTTTCTCACCCTCAGGGGGACTCAAAGTGATTTACACACTTCTAGTTCAAAGCACTTTGGATCAGGGATACTCAACCTGTATTACATTACAAACTGCTAGACCGGCTGTTAGGTATTGTGGGAGTTGAAGTCCGAAACACCTGGAGGGCTGAAGTTTGCTCTTGCATGTGCTTGACCCAGAAGCAGATGAAGAGCCCTCCTTCCATCCAACTGCCACTGCTTTGGCCTTGGAGAAACAGGTGGCATGTGAAGCCATGGAGCCCTTCCAGACAGGCCCTATGCCGCATTATCACAGGGTGTTTACGCCCTACACCACTGGAAAAATTATACTGCCTAGCCGGTATTGCGCCACCTGACATCCGCCGGGAAGTGGCCAATAGTGAAAGGACCAAGGCAGAGACATCTCCAGCTCATCCCCTGTTTGGGTATCAGCCAGCACGTCAATGACTTAAATCTAGAAATAGTTTTTAAGATCTACAGAGACACTCGCTGGAACACCTCAGCAAGCGAGAGTCCAAAAGTGGCAGGCTCAAACCCAGAACCTCAACCAATGGCTGATACCAAATGAGAGACTCCCCCCTGGGCACACAGAGGACTGGGCGACTTGGAAGGCGCTGAACAGACTGCGCTCGGACACCACGAGATGCAGAGCCAACCTTCAGAAATGGGGCCACAAAGTGGAATCCTCGACGTGCGAGTGTGGAGAGGAGCAAACCACTGACCACCTGCTGCAATGAACCCTGAGCCCTGCCACATGCACAAGGGAGGACCTTCTTGCGGCAACACCAGAAGCACTCCAAGTGGCCAGATACTGATCAAAGGACATTTAATCAACTACCATACTCACAAATTTTGTAATCTGCTTGTTTTGCTTTGTTCTGTTAGAAATGTAACATAATTTGACTGGTTGTTCTGACATGACAAATAAATAAATAAATCCCAGGTTTTCAGCTTTAAACTGGATCATATGAGTCCACTCTGCCAGATAATCCAGGATAAACAGAAAACCTGCAATCACATCCTGGGATATAGGGCCTGTCTGGACAGGCCCTTCATCCCTTCCCACACTGGCATCCCTTTGCCTTTGTGTCATGTTTTAATTAAATTATACACCTAAGGGCAGGGGAGCATTTTGTTGTTGCTTTACTCGTACAGTGACAGTGTTACACAGTTGGTGTTCTGCAACCACTGCTTCAACCATCCATGGTTTGAAAACATTTTTTTTAAAAAAAATCCCAAAGCAGTCTTTGATTTTGCCACTTTGTACTGTGGAAATATAAATATAGAGCTCCATAGTGTCTCGTCCACCAGCAGTTGGGATTGAGCCCTGGAACTGATGGAAGGATAAGTGGAAGGACAAGAGTTAGCAACCCAAAAGACACTGCTGCAAAATGTAATTGCTAAAATATCAAAGTCAAAATATTATCCAAATTTAAACTTTTCGGCCAGCAATGGAAAGGAATCACACAGGATCATATTTTTGCAGTCCATTAAGTGTGTTGATGACAAATCAGATAAAGGAATACTGGGGAAATTAATATAAAGCAGTGTGTATAAAGGGACATTACATTTGGTAATCTAATGCAGGCTTTAAAAGGTTTTAAAGATCAAGTCAGGGTCTGCTGCAGTTTTTAGTTTTGGATATGTTTTTTATGGATTTTAACTGAATTTTTAAAATACCAATGATATTTAATTCCATTTTAATGTTTGCATATTTGTGGATTTTAAACTGTACTGAAATGTTTTTAATCTAAGCCAACTTGAGTCTTCTTGGGGAGAGAAAAAGCAGGGGATAAATAAACATAATAATGTGTTGTGGAAGGCTTTCATGGCCAGAATCACTGAGTTGCTGTGAGTTTTCTGGGCTGTATGGCCATGTTCCAGAAGCATTCTCTCCTGACATTTTCCCCACATCTATGGCAGGCAACCTCAGAGGAACAAAATCTGGCTACCAGTACCCTCTAAAATAACCCTCTAAAATCAGAACAATAAATAAAGAGCAACACTAAAAAAGGGGGGGAATTCCTGACATGAAGAAATCAGGGCCAGTTAACCGCTCCCAACAAAGGATTCCTGGTTAGCAACTAGCTCGGCTTCGAAGCTGCAAGGCCATTAAATACTCATCAAGATGACCAATTGCAACATTCACACTTACCTCAAGCAGACATGAGTTCTTTTTCCCACCCTGGACATTCCACAGATATACAAACCCCACTTGCCTAGTTACAAACAGACCTCAACCGCTGAGGATGCCTGCCATAGATGTGGGTGAAACATCAGGTGAGAATGCTTCACCAAGCACCAAAGAGCATTCTGAACTCCACCAATAATAGAACTGAACCAAACTTGGCATACAGGACTTCCATGACTAACAGAAAATACTGGAGCGGGGGTTGGGAAAAATAGACCCTGACATTTGGGAATTGCAGTTTACCAAGCACCAAAGAACATTCTGAGCTCCACCAACAATAGAATTGAACCAAGCTTGGCATATAGGACTTCCATGACCAAATACTAGAGGGGTTTGGGAGAGGCATGTACAAAAGATGACATTTGCAGTCCCTTTTGACCAGGGCTCCTTGCTGCCCTGAGGGGGGTCCAGGCTCAGCTGCAGGGAAGGAAAGGGAAAGCGAAAGAGCCTGGCTGGCTGGCTGCCTCCCTCCTGGCAGCACGTGGAGGGAGGACTTCCCTCTCGCCTAGTGGGCGGGGCCTGCAGGAGGAGGCGTGGCCTAAGGACAGAACAGCGCCCCCTGGCAAAAAAAGTATTCCGCCGCCGCTTACTTCGAGTAATGGACGGGCCGGCCCTGGGAGGCTGCCAAGGCAAGGCTGATGGAATCGTGCCAGGAGTTGCATGTGATGTCTGTAGATAGTCCATGGTCCAGGTCTGACGTTTGTGGTGGTCGCAGCAGTCTCTGGAAGTGAGTGAAAGTACTGCAGATCCCATCATCCATGATCCATCATCCCTCCAAACCGCACCAAATTGTACTTGGTCTGTGTGCCAAGTGTGGTCCTGATTCATGGGAGTTGCAGTTGTCTGTGGGAGCAAATGGGTCATGAGGCATGTGTGTGCCAAGTTTCATCCAGGTCTGTCATTTGTGGGGGCCACAGCAGTCTCTGGAAGTGAGTGAAAGTACTGCAGATCCCATCATCCATGGTCCATCCTCCCTGTGAACAATACCAAGTTACAATGGGTTTGTGTGCCAAGTGTGGTCCTGATCTGTCATTCATGGGGGTTGCAGTGGTCTGTGGGAACAAGTGAGTCAAGGGGCGTGTGTGTGCCAAGTTTGGTCCAGGTCTGTCATTCATGGGGATTGCAGCAGTCTCTGGAAGTGAGTGAAAGTACTGCAGATCCCATCATCCATGATCCATCATCCCTCCAAACCGCACCAAATTGTGCTTGGTCTGTGTGCCAAGTGTGGTCCTGATCTGTCATTCATGGGGGTTGCAGTGCTCTGTGGGAACAAGTGAGTCATGAGGCATGTGTGTGCCGAGTTTGGTCCAGGTCCATCATTCGTTGTGGTTGCAGCGGTCTCTGGAAGTGAGTGAAAGTACTGCAGATCCCATCATTCCTCCAAAACGCACCACATTGTACTGGGTCTGTGTGCCAAGTGTGGTCCTGATCTGTCATTCATAGGGGTTGCAGTGGTCTATGACAACAAGTGGGTCATGGGGCATGTGTGTGCCAAGTTTGGTCCAGGTCTGTCATTCGTGGGGGTCGCAGCCATCTCTGGAAGAGAGTGAAGGTACTGCAGATCCCACAACCCATGGTCCATCGTTCCTCTAAACCACACCAAATTGTACTGGGTTTGTATGCCAAGTGTGGTCCTGATCTGTTATTCATGGGGGTTGCAGTGGTCTATGACAACAAGTGGGTCATGGGGCATGTGTGTGCCAAGTTTGGTCAAGGTCTGTCATTCGTGGGGGTCGCAGCCATCTCTGGAAGTGAGTGAAGGTACTGCAAATTCCATCATCTGTGGTCCATCCTCCCCTTAAACCACATCAAGCTGCAAAGAGGGTTATAGAGTGGGTCTGTGTGCCAGGTGTGGTCCTGGTCCGTCATTCGTGGGGGTTGCAGTGGTCTGTGGGAGCCAAATTGGCCATTGGTGTTTCCTGAGGAGTGGGAGTTAAAGCTATTTGTGGGGGCCGGAGCCTGTCTGTGTAAGTGGACACCCTTATCATGTACACACATACGTATTTTCACTTCTATTACACTTTTATTATGTGTATGATGGATAGATAGATAGATAGATAGATAGATAGATAGATAGATAGATAGATAAAAAATAAACATAACGTTAAGCTGGAAAGCTGACTTGTAATTCCTTGCTCCTGAATTGTGAGAAGTCGCCTGATTCAAGAGCAAAAGCTTTGACCCACTGGCTTTCCCAGCAACAAAAGGGAAGGCTTCTCCCTTTAAGGAGTTAAAGTCACCGAGTCTCCATTCCTGGACTGGCCCCACAACAGGGGGGCCTTGCCAAACACCCTTCCTGTGCCACCCCATCCGGCATCCAAGGAGCCAATCGCCTTCCTCCTGGTGAAGCACCCAGGCAATGGCATTTGGCAGGTATAGGTGAGGAAAAGCAACATTGCTCCTTAGTCTCTATTATTGGGTTGCCACAGTAAGAGTTGGAGGGGGTGCCTGTGTCTTTAAGGGATTGTTAGGCAGCTAGGAATGAAGGAATGCCTGCTGAAATCCCCTCTGCACAACCAATAATTGTTATGAGTTTATTGATAACTAGCTGTCCCCAGCCATGTGTTACTGTGTATATATGTGTGTGTGTATATATTTGTTTATATATGTGTTTGTGTATATGTATGTGGTTTTGTGTATGCGTTGTAATGCATTTTTGTTTTTTGACTTTTAACGTCTCTTCTACTGTGTTTTTAAGTGTTTTTATGAATGACTAGCCATCCCCTGCCATGCGTTGCTGTGGCCCACTCTGGTGGTCATGGGGGTTCTGTGTGGGAGGTTTGGCCCAATTCTATCGCTGGTCGGGTTCAGAATGCTCTGTGATTATAGTAAACTGTAAATCCCAGCAAGTACAACTCCCAAATGTCAAGACTCTATTTTTCCCAAACTCCACCAGTGTTCACATTTGGGCATATTGCGTATTTGTGTAGAGTTTGGTCCAGATCCATCATTGTTTGAGTCCACAGTGATCTCTGGATGTAGGTGAACTACAACTCCAAAACCAAAGGACACTGCCCACCAAACCCTTCCAGTATTCTCTGTTGGTCATGGGAGAACTGTGAGCCAAGTTTGGTTCAATTCCATCGTTGGTGGGGTTCAGAATGCTCGTTGATCATAGGTGAACTATAAATCCCAGCAACTACAACTCCCAAATGACAAAATCAATTTTTTGAGTGAAGGACATACATTGGGTTGTTAGGTGTCTTGTGTCCAAATTTGGTGTCAATTCGTCCAGTGGTTTTTGAGTTATGTTGATCCCACAAACAAGCATTACATTTTTATTTATATAGATATCCTTCATTATGTTAATCAATAATTTGACTGCAGGGCCAAAGTTTCTGTCCAAACATCAAAGGATCCATCCAAGGTGCTGAATTAGCTCAGACTTAGCTCAGTGTTTCTCAAGCTTCCTAATGCCATGACCCTTAATACAGTTCCTCATGTTGTGGTGACCCCCGACCATAAAGTTATTTAAGTTGCTATTTCATAACTGTCATTTTGCTACTGTCATTTTGCAACCTTTTCCCAGATTTCAAATAAAATACATAGGACAGGTCTAAGGCATGGCCTAATTCTCTGGCTTCACACAAAACCAGGAAATAAGGTCATGACGCTATGATGAATCTACATGTAAATATCTGATATGCAGGATGTATTTCCATTCACTGGACCAAATTTGACACAAATGCCTGATATGCCCAAATTTGAAAACTAGTGGGCTTGGAAGGAGGATTGATTTTGTCATTTGGGACTTGTACTTGCTGAGATTTATAGTTCACCTACAATCAAAGAGCCGGTAGGCTGTTAGGAATTGTGGGAGTTGAAGTCCAAAACACCTGGAGGGCCCAAGTTTGCCCATGCCTGCTCTAACAGGTCTCTGTGTGTGCTCCTCCTTACAGGAAAAAGCCCCACTTGCAACTGGTGTCATGCTGATGTGACTCTCCCTCTTCCTGTCCTTTTGTTGTTGACGTAAGAAACTGGCAGCAGAACAGTGAGCAACACATCTCTCTATAGTTCCCAAATGGAGCAGCTGGCATTTCCTGAGCCTGAAGCAGATAGGAGAGTGAAGCACTGCGGTACAGAAGTATCTCGGGAGAGAAAAGTGCAGGGCAACCTGAGCAAGGAACTTGGCATCTCCGAGATGCAGCGCCAGCACTTCAGGAAGCTCTGCTACCAAGAGGCGGAGGGACCCCGAAAGGTGTGCAGCCAGCTCCACCGCCTTTGCCACCAGTGGCTGAAACCCGAAAGGCACGGCAAGAGGCAGATCTTGGACCGGCTGGTCCTGGAGCAGTTCCTGGCCGTCCTTCCCCCGGAGATGGAGAGCTGGGTCCGAGAGTGTGGGGCAGAGACCTGTTCCCAAGCCGTGGCCCTGGCAGAGGGATTCCTCCTGAGTCGGGCAGAGGAGAAGAAGCAGAAGGAGATGCAGGTGAGACCTTGTCTCTTGATACTTGCATGGAGCAGAAGATGTTTGGAATGAGACCCTATGTGTCACCGCTTTCTGCTATGTAATAAAATAACATCCCAAAGTGAGTGTGGAGCTGGCTCCAAATCCCTCTTAAATATTTATTTATTTATTTCGAACATTTTTTACCCCGCCCTTCTCAACCCCTGGGGGGACTCAGGGCAGCTTCCAATTGGCAATAATTCAATGCCACATCATAAAATACAGAATAACAAATATAACAGTTAAATATGAGCATTAATAAATAAAGATTAAAACAGTATACTTACACTCTGATTAGCTATTGCCCGTCTGATAGCTGTCTAGCTAGCCATCTCCTAATGGTTAATCCGCTTAACTTATTCAAATCCTCTTCCGTGCAATAGTCAAACATTATCAATTGTCCTTTAACCTGATTGCCTGAAGGCCTGGTCCCACAGCCATGTTTTAACCTTTTTTCTAAAGGTGAGGAGGGGTGATGATGACTTAATTTCTCCGGGGAGCAAATTCCACAGGCGAGGGGCCACCACTGAGAAGGCCCTGTCCCTCGTCCACGCCAAGCGTGTTTGAGACAAAGGCGGGGCCGAGAGCAGGGCCTCCCCAGAAGATCTTAAGCTCCGAGGTGGGACGTAGCAGGAGATATGTTTGGACAGGTACGCTGGACCGGAGCCGTACAGCACTATGCAACAAAATTTGCAACAAAACAGATATGCTGGACTGGAACCATATAGCACTATGCAACAAAATTTGCAACAAAACTTTGCAGCAAGAGGGAGGATTATGAGGTTCTCCAGATGTTGTTGAATTGCAGCTCACAGTGTTTCTCACCATTGACTATGTGGGCTAGGGCTGTTGAGAGTTGTAGTTGAGTCACATCTGAAGGGCTAGTATGTGCCGCCCCTCTTTTGAAAGGAGCTGTGGGTACAAAAAATCTCAGAGCACTGGTCTTTCCTTGCCCTTCATCCCCATTCCACTTTCAGGAGACTGGAGTGCTTCGTACAATGGCCCGTGAGCTCCCGCAAGAAGAGGAGACCTCACAAGACACAAGACTGAAGAAACCGATTGGGCAGATTGTACAGGAGGAGTTTGGAAGAGGTGCCAACTCGCTGGGTAAGGACTAATAGGGTCACAACATCATTTCTGTGAGGTGGGCTTCAAATCCCTGGGCTGCTTTAATGTTCCCTTTAAGCCTAACGAGTTAAGAGACCTCAAACTAAGAAGCATCCTGGATTAAATCAAGGGCCTCCCTTGTTTACTTTTCTGTGGGAAGCCCAGAAGCAGGGCATAAACACCGTAGTGTTTTTCTGGCCTCTTGGAACACCTCCAGAAAGAGTTCAGGTTAACTTTATATTGGGGTGGGTAAAGTTTATTTATTTACTTATTTACAGTATTTATATTCCGCCCTTCTCACCCCACAGGGGACTCAATGTACACATACATGGTAAACATTCAATGCCATAGACACACAACACATTTAGACAGACAGTCAGAGACTATTTAACATGTTTTATCTTGACAGTCAGTGAAAGAATCCATGTTCTGCCTCCCGTGCAGTTACCTGTAGGAATGGAAACATCTCCAGTCCTGTTGGATCAGGTAGGCCAAGAGGAAAAGTGTGGGGAGCCCCAGGAAAGGGGGGCAAACCAGATATCCTGTGTCTAAAAAGATAAGGAAGCTTTTAGTCATCCTGTCAGAGGGCACCAAATGCTGACAACAAAGGCACCTTTTGGTAAATTTATTATTTACAGTATTTATATTCTGCCCTTCTCACCCCGCAGGGGATTCAGGGCGAGGGCCAGGTCACAGTCCCTCAAACTGTTGGAGGGCTGGATTATAATTTCAAAAAAACATGAATGAATTCCTATGCACACTGCACATATCTCATTTGTCGTGCAAAAAAAAAAAACACTTAAAAACAATACAATATTTTAAATGAAGAACAATTTCAACAAATATAAAATTATTAGTATGTCAGTGGGAATTGTGGGCCTACTTTTGGCTGATGAGATAGGATTGTTGTTGTTGTTGTTGTTGTGTGCTTTCAAGTCGTTTTAGACTTAGGTTAACCCTGAGTGAGGGCCAGGTAAATGACCTTGGAGGGCCACATCCGGCCCCCGGGCCATAGTTTGAGGACCCCTGTTCTAGAGGCATTCTCTCCTGACATTTCACCTGCATCTATGGCAAGCATCCTCAGAGGTAGTGAGGTCTGTTGGAACTAGGTTTATATATCTGTGGAATGACCAGGGTGGGACAAAGAACCCTTGTCTGTTGGAGCTAGGTGTGAATGTTTCAACTGACCATCTTGATTAGCATTTGATGGCCTACCAGTATTAAAAAACTCTAAAATTACAATAGCAAAACAACAGAGAAGAAACAATCTTGGACAGCTAATCACCTCTCAATAAAAGATTGCCCCAGTCACAAACAAGTCACACCAAAAAAACTGCCAGGCCATCAAATGCTAATCAAGGTGGTCAGTTCAAACATTCACACACAGCTCCAATAGACAAGAGTTCTTTGTCCCACCCTGGTCATTCCACAGATATATAAACCCAATTTTCCTAGTTCCAACAGACCTCACTACCTCTGAGGATGCTTGCCATAGATTCAGGCAAAACGTCAGGAGAAGATGCCTCTAGAACATGGCCATATACCCGGAAAAATAAAACAACCCAGTGATTCCAGCCATAAAAACCTTCGACAATACATTAAATATTTCTACTTTCAATTACTCAATTTCCTACTTGACAGATGCAGCTGTCTTTCGGGCTGCAAAGGTCAACAGCAAGCTAGAAAAATGGTCGGGAGCTTACTCCAATCCGGGCTGGTTTCGAACTCATGACCTTTCAATCAGTAGTGATTTTAATGCAACTGATTTGCCAACCGGCTGCGCCACAACCCGGACTAAGGAGAAGGAGGAGGGCAATGGTAGCAGAAGCACCAGGTGGTGGCCAACCAACGTCCAATCCATCCCTTTTTACCTGGCCATGGAGAAAGTGGACTAGTTCGAATTAGAGCTAGCTGTCCACACTAAACGTAGACTGTGCAGAATTCCTCGACTTCTTGCAAAATGTGGGGAAACGGAGTTAACCAGTTTTACACCACATTCTGGACCATGTGGACATCCAGTTGTGATTCCCAGCCCAATGTTTTGTGGCCAGTGTAGGGAGACTAACAATTTGGAGAAGCAGAGGGACATATGGAACTGGTAACACACCCAAGCACTACTAGGCCTTGAACTTTGCAAATCCTAGAAATAGATCAAGGAGAAGGAAGCTAGAAACTGGAGGTATTTGTACTGCAATTAGTACTCCACCTTCACTGAGACTAGCACAGGGACTAGACCTCCTTTTGTAAATCCAAGAGACCACCCCTCTAGGCATTCGCAAGTCCTCCAGGATGGCCCTGTGGTCAGCCTTCACTGGAGACTGACCGTACAATTGCACTAGAGAACCTCGGGGTTTGGAGAAGGAATGTTTTTAATCAGATCCGCAATCAATCAAATCCTCATGTCAAATCTACCAATGTGGAGGACTGACAGTGCTGACAAAGCATTTTGCTCTTTTTCCTTTCCAGGGCCTGGTGTCCTTTGATGAAGTCACAGTGTGCTTCACCCAGGAAGAGTGGGCAATGCTGGACGCGGGCCAAAGGGCTCTGCATCAGGAAGTCATGGAGGAGAACCGCAGGGTTGTGGCCTCTCTGGGTAAGGCCCCCTCTGCGCCTGTCTTAGAGCTCAATTTCCACGTGGTTTTCACCTTACTTTACTTTACTTAATTACTTAGGCGATCTCTCGTTGTCCAAGTAGGATAATCCTCCAGGGTGGGTCCGTAGCTGACTGTGGAGCCCTATGCTTGATCTGCATCTTCTCCCGCAGTGAGGGGTTCAGAATGCTCTTTGATTGTAGGTGAACTATAAATCCCAGTAACTACAACTCCCAAATGTCAAGGTTTATTTTCCCCAAACTCCATCCGTGTTCATATTTGGCCACATGGAATATTCATGCCAAGTTTGGTCCAGATCCATCATTGTTTAAGTCCACAGTGCGCTCTGGATGTAGGTGAATTACAATTCCCAAATTCAAGGTCAGTGCTGACCAACCCCTTCTAGTGTTTTCTGTTGGTCATGGAAGTTCTGTGTACCATGTTTGGTTCAATTCCTTCATTGATGGAATTCAGAATGCTCTTTGATTTTAGGTTAACTATAAATCCCAGCAACTACAACTCCCAAATGACAAAATCAAATTTTTGAGTGGTGGTCGCTCCTTAGGTTAGTAGGTGTCTTGTGGCCAAATTTGGCGGCAGTTCGTCCAGTTATGTTAATCCCACAAACTAACATTACATTTTTATTTATATAGACTAGTTGTACCCGCCACACATTGCTGTGGCCAGACTTCCCTCCCTCTTTCTCTTCTTTATTTCTCTACTTTCTTCCCTCCCTCTTTCCTTCCTTCCCTCTTTTTCCCTTCTTTTTTCTTCCTTCTCTACCTGTTTCTTTTCTCACTTCCTTTGCTCTTTGGTTCCATCCTTCCTTGTCTCTTTCCTTCCTTCCTTCCTTCCTTTCTTCCTTTCTTCCTTCCTTCCTTCCTTCCTTCCCTCTCTCGTTCTCTTTTGTTTCTTCTCTCCTTCCTTCCCTCTTTTACTTTTTTATTTCCTTCTCTCCTTCCTTCCTTCCCCCCATTTTCTGTGTATGTGTTTTGTGTGTGCATATATGTGAGTATATATTTCTGTATATATTTGTGTATATGTGTATATATGTGTTTGTGTACATATGTGGTTTTGCACATGCGTTGTAATGTATTTTTTGATTTTTGGCTTTTTAAGTCCTTTCTGCTGTGTTTTTCAGTGTTTTTATGAGTGATGGTCACTTGTTGGCCTGATAGGTATCTTGTGTCCAAATTTGGTGTCAATTTGTCCAGTGGTTTTTGAGTTATGTTAATCCCACAAACTAATATTACATTTTTATTTATATAGACTAGCTGTCCCCTGTCACGCGTTGATGTGGCCCACATGGGGGTTCTTTGTGGGAGGTTTGGCCCAATTCTATTGTTGGTGGGATTCAGAATGCTCTGTGATTGTAGGTGAACTATAAATGCCAGCAACTACAACTCCCAAATGTCAAGATTCTATTTTCCCCAACCTCCACCAGTGTTCACATTTGGGCATATTGAGTATTCATGTAGAGTTTGGTCCCAATCCATCATTGTTTGAGTTCAAAGTGCTCTCTGGAGGTAGGTGAACTACAACTCCAAAACCAAAGGACACTGCCCACCAAAACCTTCCAGTATTTTCCGTTGGTCATGGGAGTTCTGTGTGCCAAGTTTGGTTCAATTCCATCATTGGTGGGGTTTAGAATGTTCTTTGATTGTTGCTGAACTATAAATCCCAGCAACTACAACTCCCAAATGACACAATCAATTTTTTGAGTTTAGGACATACATTGGGTTGTTAGGTGTCTTGTGTCCAAATTTGGTGTCAATTCCCCCAGTGGTTTTTGAGTTCTGTTAATCCCACAAACGAACATTACATTTTTATTTATATAGATTGACTGTCTTAACACACGACAGCATTTCTTTGTTTTGCAGATGCATTCTGCTCTGATCAGTGTCTTCTGTCTATTCCTGCAGGAGGCGGAAGGGAACGAAACAAAGAGGAAACACAGGAAAACACTGTAGTAAAACAAACATTGATTATCAGTTCTCGTAAAAGCGCAAAGTTCTGTGAAACGCCATCAAAGAGAGAAAAGAAAACTTCAGTGAGGAAGACACCTTTCAAATGTTCCGAGTGCGGAAAGGGCTTCAGTCAGCGCAGCACACTCGCTGACCATCACCGAATCCACACCGGCGAGAAGCCATATACATGCTCAGAGTGTGGGAAGAGCTTTAGTCGTAGCCGAGCCCTCGCCGATCACGAAAGGATCCACACTGGAGAGAAGCCGTATCAGTGCTTAGTGTGTGGGAAGAGCTTTGCTCAGAGCAGTAACTTTGCCTACCATAAAAAGACCCACACAGGAGAGAAGCCGTTTGAATGCCCCGAATGTGGAGAAAGCTTCAGCCGCAGCCGCGCTCTTATCGATCACCAAAGAATCCACACCGGAGAGAAGCCGTACGAATGCTCGGAGTGCGGGAAGAGGTTCACCCAAAGCAGCACTCTTACCTATCACCAAAGGACTCACACGGGAGAGAAGCCGTATCAGTGCCTGGAGTGTGGGAAGAGCTTCTCGCAGAGCAGCAACCTCTCGGCTCATAAGAAAACCCACGTATACAAACCGTTGCAATGTGTAGAGTGTGGAAAAAACTTCCGCTCCAGTGAAAACTTTGCCTTTCACCTTGGGATACATACAGCGCGGGAAAGGACCAAGAGTCCCCAACATTTGTGGAGGGGTGGGAATATTTGGGACACAGAGGAAGTGCCATGGGTGCAGTCCCAAAATGGGTACAACCAATCAGAAAACATTCATTTCCCAGAATAGGAAACAGTTGAAACTAAAATACTAATTGCCCTAAAGACTGGCAACAAGGACATTATTGCATCTAAACCACGTATGGGCAAACTACCGGCTGTTAGGAATTGTGGGAGTTGAAGTCCAAAACACCCAAGTTTGCCCATACCTGTGACCTAGATACTTCTCGGACAAAGGGATGGCTTCCATTTAGGATGAGAGGTAATACTGTACTTGTATCCAAAACGGAATACATGACTTAATACATGAGGCTGACTGCCTGGGAGTGTTGCAGAGTCTCCTTCTTAGGAGGTTTTTTAAAACAACCATCTGTTTTGCAGGCTTTGTGTCATTCCTGCCTGACAGAAAGAAGAGGGTTGCACTGGATAGCTCTTGGGGTCTCTTCCAACTCAAGGGTTCTGTGTTTCATCGTACTACAGGGTAGTAAAATTACACCCCTCTTATAAAATGGCACTACCAGTGTTTGTTGATTTTGGAAAGGGGCAAGGGTGTTTGAAGCCAATTGCATTAAAGCTCGATTGCATTTAACCCTCGATTGCAAATAAACATTGACTGCATTTAAACCTGGATTGCATTTTAAGCCTCAATTGCAATTAAACATCGACTACATTTAAACCTGGATTGCATTTAAACCTCAGTCGCATTTAAACTTTTTCGCATTTAAACCTCGATTGCATTTAAACTTGTATTGCACTTAACCCTCAATTGCAATTAAACCTGGATTGCATTTAAGCCTCAATTGCAATTATGCCTCAATTGCAATTATGCCTAGGTTGCATTTAAACCTTGGTCACATTTAAACCCTGGTTGCATTTAAACTTCAGTCGCACTTAAAACTCGATTGCAATTATGCCTTGATTGCATTTAAACCCCTGTTGCATTTAAACTTTGGTTGCATTTAAATCTCACCTGCAATTAAACCTCAATTTCATTTAAATCTTGCTTGCATTTATGCCTTGGTTGCATTTAAATCTCAGTCGCATTTAAACCCCAGTTGCATTTAAACTTCAGTCACATTTAAACCTCGATTGCAGTTAAACCTCATCTGCAATTAAAATTCGATTGCTTTTAAACCCCGGTCGCATTTAAACTTTGGTTGCATTTAACCCTTGATTGCAATTAAACTTTGGTTGCATTTAAACCTCATCTGCAATTAAAACTCGATAGAATTTAAACCTTGATAGAATTTAAACCTGGGTCACATTTAAACCTCGGTTGCATTTAAATCTCAATTGCAATTAAACCTCGATTGCAGTTAAACCTCATCTGCAATTAAAACTTGATTGCATTTAAACCTCAATTGCAATTATGCCTCAGTTGCATTTAAACCTTGGTCACATTTAAAACTTGGTCACATTTAAACACCTGTTGCATTTAAACTTTGGTTGCATTTAAATCTCATCTGCAATTAAACCTCGATTGCATTTAAACCTTGCTTGCATTTATGCCTTGCTTGTATTTAAATCTCAGTCACATTTAAACTCCAGTCGCATTTAAACCTCGCTTGCAGTTAAACCTCATCTGCAATTAAAACTTGATTGCTTTTAATCCCCGGTCACATTTAAACTTTGGTTGCATTTAAATCTTGATTGCAATTAAACTTTGGTTGCATTTAAGCCTCGGTTGCATTTAAACTTCAGTTGCATTTAAACCTCAATTGCATTTAAACTTCATGTGCAATTAAAACTTGATTTCATTTAAACCCAATTGCAATTAAACTTAGATTGCAATTAAACCTCGATTGCAACTAAAGCTCAATTGCAATTAAAGCTCAATTGCTTTAAAAACCTCTATTGCATTTAAAAACTCGATCAAATTTGAAAATCATTATGTCCGCCACTCTGTAGACCCTAACCATGGAGACAGAGCATTGGGGGGGAGGGGGTCTTATTAACATTGCAGCGTGCATCATCTTTCATCACTGCATCCTCCATCAGTCTGGTCCTGCAGGGAGATGTAATCCAATTAACCTTTGCTTCTGGAAACTTGGGCCACTAGATCTAAACCTGTAGGGTGTTCCTGCACTGTTGAGGGTTTCGAATTTCTGCAGGCCCCCTTTCCATTGATGCTGATCAGCCAGGCGCATGAGAGGGAATGCAAACAGATCAGCGCCCATCTCAGAGTTAAAACGAGAGAGTTTGGTTAGAAGGGCCCCAAGGCCTGGCTTGCAGTATCCACTTCCGGCAGGTGACATGTAGTGGGAAGAGCCAGGATCTTCATTGTTGTTGGTCCTCCATCAGCTCCTCCTTCCTGGGTCCTCCAAAGGGCCTGGTGAGCAGGGGGTGGAAAGGGGGGTGCAGTGGAAGGGAGCTGGGGGTCTGTATTAAAGATGCTCCCCTACTTTTGGGGGGCCAACAGAAATGCAAAGGGAGAGGGGAGAAGAGTGAGACTGAAGCTGAAATATTGTGGCTTAGCATAGGCCTACAATAGCATCGTACAGGCATGGGCCAACTGGGGCCCTCCAGGTGTTTTGGACTTCAACTCCCACAATTCCTAACAGCCGGTAGGCTGTTAGGAATTGTGGGAGTTGAAATCCAAAACACCTGGAGGGCCCCAGTTGGCCCAAGGCCTGCCACTTAATAGGTAAGGATACTATGATGTTTGCTGCTGACTCCACAATCCATGCCATCTGTGGCTAAAGCCAGCAAAGCACACAAAAGATTTTCAGATGCTATAACTTAACTATTCATCCTTGAACAACATCTTATTGCCATTCTCTCGGGACAGAGACCTGGGCGAGGAGGCCAAGTCCCCATCCATTGGCCATGGCCGAAGGTTTCCTCCTGCGTCCTGCAGAGGGAGAGGAGCAAGAAGAAAGGCAGGTGAGGACACACAATCAAAGCCCTCCCGACAGATGGCCATCCAGCCTCTGCTTAGAAAATGCCAGAGGAGGAGACGCCACCACTCTCCCGGGCAGCACTGCCGAACAGCTCTTGCCATCATGAATTTTTCCTAATGTTTAGCTGGAATCTTTGTTTTCCCCCTTCTGAAATTGGAATCTATTGCTCCATTGTGTCCTTGCCCCTTTTTCAATATAACATCCTTTCAAAACATCCTTTCCTCCTGTTGTGGTGACCCCCAATCATAACATTATTTTTGTTGATACTTCATAACTGTCATTTTGCTACTGTTGTGAATTGTCATGTAAATATCTGATATGCAGGATGGATTTTCATTCACTGGACCAAATTTGGCACAAACGCCCGATATGCTCAAATTTGAATACTGGTTGAGTTGGGAGGGGGGTTGATTTTGTCATTTGGGAGTTGTAGTTGCTGGGATAGTTAACCAACACTTGAAGTCTTTCTCCAGCATGGGGTTGGAGTTGATGGTCCTTGTGGTCCCATCCAACTCCTAGGATGGTGGAAGGACCTTAGAAGCATAGAGTTGGAGGAGACCTCATGGCCATCCAGTCCAACCCCTTTCTGCCAAGAAGCAGGAATATTGCATTCAACGCACCCCTGACAGATGGCCATCCAGCTTCTGTTTAAAAAGCTCCAAAGAAGGAGCCTCCACCACACTCCGGGGCAGAGAGTTCCACTGCTGAACGGCTCTCACAGTCAGGAAGTTCTTCCTCATGTTCAGATGGAATCTCCTCTCTTGTAGTTTGAAGCCATTGCTCCACGTCCTAGTCTCCAAGGAAGCAGAAAACAAGCTTGCTCCCTCCTCCCTGTGGCTTCTTCTCACATATTTATACATGGCTATCATATCTCCTCTCAGCCTTCTCTTCTTCAGGCTAAACATGCCCAGCTCCTTAAGCCACTCCTCATAGGGCTTGTTTTCCAGACCCTTGATAATTGTAGTCGCCCTCCTCTGGACACATTCCAGCTTGTCAATATCTCTCTTCAATTGTGGTGCCCAGAATTGGACACAATATTCCTGGTGTGGTCTAGCCAAGGCGGAATAGAGCATGGGTAGCATTACTTCCTTGGATCTGGACACTATGCTCCTATTGATGCAGGCCCAAATCCCATTGGCTTTTTTTACTGCCACATCACTTGCTTTTGGACCCTTCCAATCCTTCCCTAACCAGCTCTTTCCCTTTCCTCCAGCCCTTGTTCCTCTTCCAGGAGCTCATTGTGTTGGCCACAGCAGCCACTGAATTGACTGAAGCAGAGGAAGCTTCCCTGGACACCGAGCAGAAGACTCAATTCAGTTGGATTGTGCAGGAGGGAGCCGGAGGGGACGCTTCACTCGGTAAGGGCTAACAGGTTGCCCATTCCTTTTCTAACTTGGCCTTCACTCTCTAAAACAGGGGTCCTCAAACTAAGTCCCGGGGGCCGGATACGGCCCTCCAAGGTCATTTACCCGGCCCTCGCTCAGGATCAACCTAAGTCTGAAACGACTTGAAAGCACACAACAACAACAATCCTATCTCATCAGCCAAAAGCAGGCCCACACTTCCTATTGAAATACTAATCAGTTTATATTTATTACAATTGTTCTTCATTTTAATTATTGTATTGTTCTTAAGTGTTTTTTGTACTACAAGTAAGATATGTGCAGTGTGCATAGGAATTCATTCATGTTTTTTTCAAATTATAATCTGGCCCTCCAACTGTTTGAGGGACTGTGACCTGGTTTAAAAAGTTTGAGGACTCCTGCTCTGAAGTTAACCTAGATTTCTCAAAATGTTTTAATTTACTGCACTAAAAAGGGAACTGCGGCTGCAAGAATTCCTGAGCTCGCCATCCCGTGCAAATTATTCAGAAGCAGGCTGTGCTTTTTTGTCTGCAGAATCCCTTTTGGTTCACAAACCTGAACCCATCCCATGGCTGGAAGAAAGAGAAGATCCGTTGATGGAGGTGTGCGAGGAAAGCACAAGACCAGCAGGTAATTCCTTCAGAGTATAACACTATTTGACAAATTTGAAACACTGGGTTGTTGTAGGTTTTTTGGGCTGCATGGCCATGTTCTAGAAGCATTCTCTCCTGACATTTCGCCTGCATCTGTAGCAAGCATCCTCAGAGGCTGTGCCGTCGCACCTGGGGGCTCAATAAAGGAGGGATGGACGTGGCATCTTTCCCCCAGGGGATTGCTTCTTGTCCTCCTATAGGAAACTGGAACTCCCAAAAACCCAAAACACTGTAAATAGCTCAAAATAAGTTTTATTTATCACAAAGTCATTTCTTCAAAGCAATGAGCTGGAAAACTTTAGAGGGGTGAAGGAAAACATACATTAAAGTCTCAATTAGTCCTGGGTCCAAGGGGTTTGAAGCTGAGAAGCCTCACCAAGTTTCCTCTTTCCTCAATGGCTGTGAATGCCAGAGCAAACCACAACCCCAGTTCAGATGGCCTATGTCTTGAAGATTCAGGATCTTCCTTTGGTGCCAAAAGAACCGGCTTGAAGGCGCCTGGGTCTTCTCAATAATTGTCCAGGACGATCTGGACATAAAGCATGAGTCCCAGGGGTAAAAAACCTCAGAACTGGTGCTAAGAGGTAACTTAAATCAGGGTCTTTGAGAATCAAGTCTCTTACTCACGTCCATCTGGCAGGACCTCTGATTGAAAAGAAAAAAAGGAAGCTCTCCCCTCTTGCAGGAAGAGGTGGAGCCAAACAGTACTGATTGACAGCTACAAGCAACCAATCCATACAACTGTACATAAGCAATGTAAAAAGGGGCAGGATTAAACATGATACAACAGTTTAAGTCTAACAACTAACAGTTCTATACATAGGTGGCGCCACTTGCGCCGTCACAGAGGCCATAGACACACAACATATATAGACAGACACACAGAGGCTATTTAACGTTCCAGCTTCATGAGGATATGTTTCAAATTCTGGCCACAAGGGGAGCTGTCGCTTCACCATCCACTTGTGACACTGATGGAGTACTTTCTCATTCTTTTGCACGCTGCTGGAGAGATGTATGGCATTGTAAATTAGTTAAATTAGCCTCCCCACATAAGCAGTACCTAAATTTCGTAGTTGACAGAGTTTTTTATATTATTTAGATCATTTCTTAAGTGAAAAATGGGTAAGTGATTGCAAGAATCATGTCCAGTCATTGTATGACCAGCAACAGTCAAGCCACCTGTGAAAGCTTAGCTATTACAAATTGAGAGACTGAGAATGTAGAGAGTAGAGAAGAGATAGAGAAGAGAATGAGCAGAGAATGCTGATGGTGATGATGAGACTGTGAAGAAAGCAAGAGCTAGAGGAAGAGGAATAGATTCCTGTAAAAGCTTAAGGAAGGTTTGCTGGAATATTGGGATCGATGGATTGAAACTGTTATTTGTGACTATTGCATAAACATTTACTTTATTGGAAGAAAGTTTGTCTTCTGTGGATTGTATTATTTTTCTCAACGGGGCGCAGCTTCCGAGAAGGGGGTTTGAATGCTTGAAATCAACCCCAACTATAAAGCAGCAACACCATAGCTGCGACAGACAGATGCAATTGTCTTTTGGGCTGAAAACGTCAACAGCAAGCTAGACAAATGGTTGGGAGCTCACTCCAACCCGGGCTGGCTTCGAACTCATGACCTTCCAGTCAGTAAGTGATTTTAATGCAGCTGACTCCCAACTAGCTGTGCCACAACCTTTGCAAACATTAAAACAGAATTAGATATACACAATATTTTTAAATTCACAGTTGAAACCATTAAAACGTACCGTATATTCCGGCATATAAGACGACTGGGCGTATTAGACGACCCCCAACTTTTCCAGTTAAAATATAGAGTTAAGACAACTCCCATGCATAAGACTACACCTGCGTATAAGACGACCCCTGACTTTTGAGAAGATTTTCTTGGGTTAAAAAGTAGTCTTATACGCCAGAATATACTGTATTTAGAATACATGTATCTACTGAGATATTTGTGATGGGAATCTGGCAGTTAATGCCATTCCTCCCTGATGGCTGCCTTCTTCTTTTTTTCCTGCAGGAGATGCAAAGGAGAAGAACAAAGATGACAAACAGGAATCTGCAGCAAAACATAACTGGAGTCGAAACTCTGTCATTTGCAAAGCCCCTCCGTTTCCTCAAAGCTCCTTGCTAAGTAAGCGCCAAGCAGGGCAGAGAGAGGCAATGAAATCGTCTTTTTCCAAAAAGAAGAAACTATTCCACTGCTCAGAGTGTGGAAAGGGCTTTGAAAAAAGGGCTAACCTTAATGCCCATCAAAAAATTCATACTGAAGGGAAACCCTATACCTGCCCCGAATGCGGGATGAGCTTCAACCGGAACAGCAACATGACAGCTCACCAAAGAACCCACACCGGCGAGAAACCCTTTCATTGCTCCAAATGCGGAAACAGCTTTAGCCGGAAGCGGGCCCTAATCGATCACGGAAGGATCCACACTGGGGAGAAGCCGTATAAATGCTTGGTGTGCGGGAAGAGCTTCAGCCGGAGCAATAATCTCGCCCTCCATCAGAAAACCCACACGGAGAGGAAGCCTTTTGAGTGCTCGGAGTGCGGGGAAAGCTTCCGGCGGAGCTGTACCCTGACTAAACACCTCAAGATCCACGCAGGAGAAAAACCCTACAAGTGTTTGGAGTGCGGGAGGAGTTTTGCCCTGAGCAGCACCCTCAGGTATCACCGGAGAATCCACACGGGGGAGAAGCCGTACCAATGCTCGGAGTGCGGAAAGAGGTTCACGCAGAGCAGTAACCTCACTTACCATAAGGAAACCCACGGGTTTAAGTCGTTTGAATGCTCTGACTGCAGGAAGAGGTTTGCTCACAGGAGCAGCCTGGAGGAGCATCAGAGTCTGCTCACCTGCAAGAAGCTGTTCCAGTGCCCCGACTGCGGGAAGAACTTCCGCTCGAGGGAGAACTTTGGCTTTCACATCCTAATCCATACAGACAGCTCTTCCATCAAGGATCATTTCAGGAATGGTGGGAGCACCTGGGATGCAGAGCAGGCGTTACGAGAGGCATCGCAAAACAACTGTGACGGTGGGCAGAATGAATCACAACACACTCATCTCCCAGGGCTGCAAAGCGAGGAGACGGAAAGACAACATGGCCAAGGACCTGAGCACAGGACGTTGTTGGCTCCTGAGGATGAGGACATAAAGCCAGTCCTTTGAATCCACTATTTTCTGCCGTTAACAGGCTAGCCCAGAGCTCTGCAAACATTTCGTGTTGGTGACACACCTTTTAGATCGGCATCATTTCGCAACACAGTAATTCAGTGTATTGTCGAAGGCTTTCATGGCTGGAATCACTCAGTTCTTGTGGGTTTTTTCGGGCTATATGGCCATGTTCTAGAGGCATTTCTCCTGACGTTTCGCCTGCATCTATGGCAAGCATCCTCAGAGGTGGCCTCACCTCTGAGGATGCTTGCCATAGATGCAGGCAAAACGTCAGGAGAAATGCCTCTAGAACATGGCCATATAGCCCGAAAAAACCCACAAGAACACAGTAATTCAGTTTTACTAGCACAAGCTTAAAAGAGATAATAATGATATGTATGTGGATACATTTCATGTATATTTTAAATATATACAGTCTTCCCTTGCTACTTTGCGGTTCGCTTTTTGCAGACTCGCTGTTTTGCGTGTTTTTTTTTAAAATTTAAAATATAAAGTAGAAGTAGTGAGGGAATACTGGATGGATCCCCTATAATCCTTACCTATCACCTGTCACATCAGCACTTTTAATCCTGTACCCTTTACTCTGGCCCGGCCCAGTGTTATTGTGTTTTGGTGTATTGTTCATTGCTTGTTGTTTTGATGTTTTAATATTGTTTTAATTGTTTTTAATTTGCTTTAGGTGTATTGTTATGTTGTGTATTGAGGCCTTGGCTTTTATAAGCCGCATCGAGTCCTTCGGGAGATGCTAGCGGGGTACAAATAAAGTTTAATAATAATAATAATAATAATAATATTGTTTTTTATTTATTATTTATTTCACAGTTTTCTATACCGAGCTTCTCAACCTCACTGAGGGACTCAGCCCGGTTTCCAGCCATAAAAAAACATATACACTCATTAAAATATCATATATCACAATTACAAAAACAACTTTAAAAACACTATATATAAAACTACAGTGGTCAGTCGTCCTATTAAGATGGATCTACATCAACTTCCATCCAGGGTCCTATGGTGTTGTCTCATTCATCGAAGGCCTGACTCCACAGCCACGTCTTCACCCGTTTCCTAAATGTTAGGATGGATGGGGCGGTTCTGGCCTCCAGAGGGAGAGAGTTCCAGAGTCGCGGGGCCACCACCGAGAAGGCCCTGTCCCTCGTCCCCACCAGGCGCGCTTGCGAGGCCGGTGGGACCGAGAGCAGGGCCTCTCCAGATGATCTTAATAATCTTGATGGTTCGTAGGGGAGAATACGTTCGGAGAGGTAAACAGGGCCGGAGTCGTTTAGGGCTTTATAGGTCAACACCAGCACTTTGAATTGTGCTCGGAAGCTAATTGGCAGCCAGTGGAGCTGGCGTAACAGCGGAGTGGTGTGCTCCCTGTACCCAGCACCCATTAGTAATCTGGCTGCCGCACGTTGGACTTGCTGCAGCTTCCGGGCAGTCTTCAAAGGCAACCCCACGTAGAGAGCGTTGATCTAGATCTGGGAGATCTCGCAAGGCCGGGCCGGCAGTGGCTCTCTTTACCTTCCTCCTTCTCCCCTTCCTCCTTCTCTTCCTGCCAACAGGCCCCGACCCAAAGAAGGCAGGCCATGGCCTTCAATGGGTGGCGGCATAGTCCCAGGTGATGATGATAGGTCTTCTCCACCAGGACTATCCACTCTGGAGACTTCTGGAGCAGCAGCAGCTGGAGGGAAGAAGAGCTGCCCAAAGAAGGCAGGGGCCACGACTGCTGCTACTACAGAAGCCTCTGGAGCGGATAGTCCCAGCGGAGGAGGCTCCTCATCACTGACTGGGCATATGCCATCTCCACTGCTTGTGAAAGGCTGCGACCTGCCTTCCGTGAGTGGCTCTTCTTCCCTCTGGGAGCTCCCTTCAGTGGGTGACGGAGGCGGCCTAGGCCCAGGCGCTGATGAGGAGCCTCTTCCACTGGGACTATCCGCTCTGGAGACTTCTGCAACAGCAGCAGCCAGAGTGAGTGAGAGAGACGGAGGGAAGGAGCGGGGAGGGGGAAGTCCTCCCTATTTTGTGGATTTTCACTTATCGCGGATGGTCGTGGAACACAACACCCGCGATAAGTGAGGGAATTCTGTACAGTGTTCTCTCACTTATTGCGGAAGTTACGTTCAAGGACCACCCGCGATAAGTGAAAATACACGAGGTAGGGACGCAATATTTATTTTAATATTATTTGAATATTTATATATTACTAGCTGCACCCGCCTCATAGGAAACCTGCTACAAAACAGGAGCTTTTTTGTTGAGTTCCAGGGCCAGAGAAGCAGGTGGCGGAAACAGAAGAACGGCCTGCCTCAGGGGAGCGTGCTTGCTCCATCCATGTTCAACATCTACACAAATGACCAGCCACTGCCAGAAGGGACAGAGAGTTTCATCTATGCTGATGATCGTGCCATTACCACTCAAGCAGGGAGCTTTGAGATGGTTGAAAAGAAGCTCTCCAAAGCTCTAGGTGCTCTTACTGCCTATTACAGGGAAAACCAACTGATCCCTAATCCATCTAAAACACAGACATGCGCCTTTCACCTTAAGAACAGACAAGCATCCCGAGCTCTGAGGATTACCTGGGAAGGAATCCCACTGGAGCATTGCAACACACCCAAATACCTGGGAGTCACTTTGGACCGTGCTCTGACCTACAAGAAGCACTGCCTGAACATCAAGCAAAAAGTGGGCGCTAGAAACAACATCATACGAAAGCTGACTGGCACAACCTGGGGATCACAACCAGACACAGTGAAGACATCTGCCCTTGCACTATGCTACTCTGCTGCTGAGTATGCATGCCCAGTGTGGAACACATCTCACCACACTAAAACAGTAGATGTGGCTCTTAATGAGACATGCCGCATTATCACAGGGGGTCTGCGCCCTACACCACTGGAGAAATTACACTGCTTAGCGGTATTGCACCACCTGACATCCGCCGGGAAGTAGCAGCCAATAGTGAAAGGACCAAGGCAGAGACATCTCCAGCTCATCCCTTGTTTGGGTATCAGCCAGCACGTCAACAACTTAAATCAAGACATAGTTTTCTTAGATCTACAGAGACACTCGCTGGAACACCTCAGCAAGCGAGAGTCCAAAAGTGGCAGGCCCAAACCCAGCACCTCAATCAATGGGTGATACCAGATGAGAGACTCCCTCCTGGGCACACAGAAGACTGGGCGACTTGGAAGGTGCTGAACAGACCGCTCTGGCACCACAAGATGCAGAGCCAATCTTAAGAAATGGGGCTACAAAGTGGAATCCACGGCATGCGAGTGTGGAGAAGAGCAAACCACTGACCACCTGCTGCAATGCACCCTGAGCTTTGCCGCATGCACAATGGAGGACCTTCTTGCGGCAACACCAGAGGCACTCCAAGTGGCCAGCTACTGGTCAAAGAACATTTAACCAACTACCAAGTTTGCAAAATCTCTGTGTTTTTTTTTTAATCTGTGTGTTTGTTTTGTTCTGTTATGTAATACAATGGTATGGTTGCTGATGACACGATAAAGAAAATAAATAAATACTAGCTTCCCCCTGCCACGCTTTGCTGTGACTCACTCTGGTTATCTGGAAAATAAAGTAATGAGAAAGTGTTGGTTTCTAATATATGTAATGTGAATAAACAGTAATTCTTGTTGTTTCTTTGTCAGTGTTGCTGTGGAAATTCTATCATTGGTGGGGTTCAGAATGCTCTTTGATTGTAGGTGAACTATAAATCCCAGTAACTACAACTCCCAAATGTCAAGGTCTATTTCTCCCAAACTCCATCTGTGTTCACATTTGGGCATATGGACTATTTGTGCTAAGTTTGGTCCAGATCCATCATTGTTTGAGTCCACAGTGTTCTCTGGATGTGGGTGAACTACAACTCCCAAACTCAAGGGCAATGCCCACCAAACCCTTCTAGTATTTTCTGTTGGTCATGGGAGTCCTGTGTGCCATATTTGGTTCAATTCCATCACTGGTGGAGTTCAGAATGCTCTTTGATTGTAAGTAAACTATAAATCCCAGTAACGACAACTCCCAAATGACAAAATCAATTTTTTGAGTAATGGTCACTCCTTGGGTTAGTAGGTGTCTTGTGGCCAAATTTGGTGGCAATTCGCCCAGTGGTTTTTGAGTTCTGTTAATACCTCAAATGAATATTACATTTTATTTATATAGATTTTAGTAAGTATACACTTTTTAAAGTCTTTATAAACTTAAAATAAGCCCTGTACCTGTTTTACCGAGTACTCCTCCTCCTCCTCCTTCTCCCCCACTTGCAGCTCCCCCAACCCTCTTCCCTGTCAGTATTGTGGCTGCGAAGGAAGGAAGAAAAGGAAGCAAACCCTCCTTGCCTTCCCCTTTGCTTGGTGAAGAGAGAGAGCGCAAAGGAAAGGAAGGAAAGGCCCTTCAAGGCTGGAGAGAGAGAGGACTGAGGAGAAGGAGGAAAGTGCCTCGGAAAGCAGTGGCAGCAAAAAGCTGCAAAACAGGGAAAATATCGCGATACATATTTTAAATGAATATTTATTTTAAAACCGTGAAACAGCGAGTCCACTAAAAGCGAACCGCGAAGTAGTGAGGAAACACTCTCTCTCTCTCTCTATATATATATATATACACACACACACACAATATATATATATATATATATATATATATATATATATATTGTGTGTGTATATATATATAGTGTATGTGTGTGTATATATATATATGTATAGTGTGTGTGTGTGTATGTGTGTGTATATATATATATATAGTGTACCATATATATGTGGTAAACCCGACCACGCTTCGCTATGGCTCAGTCTGATATGAAATTAATGAGATAGTAAATAAAAGTTGTGAACATAGATTCACTAAGAAAGCACATCATTCGATTCTATATCCTGCCTTGTATCGCTGTGTCTATGTAGGCAAAAAGGAAAGAATAAGAAATAGTGGGTTGACTATGTTTTTTGTTTGTCCATTTTCTGCATACACATAAAGATCTGACAGTTTACCAACTCTGGAACATGCGACATATAAATGCCCCTAAGAGAATATCTTCTAAATTCAAACCGCACACTTGCAAAGATTTCCCCTGCGCTTGCTTTACTGATAGTCATAGCAAATGCAAGGTGTATTAGGAACTGAAGTTGTTAATACTCAAACACCATGTTGGTTGGAATGAGTGGTATGCCAATAGCAACCAATCACAGCTTGGTTATACTGCCGAGGTGAAAGGAAAGCTGTGCTGTGACTGGTTGTTATTTCTTTCACTTGAGACTAGTTATGTGCCCATGACTGTCACAAAGCTTGCTGACAGAATCACTTTCATTTGTGCAAAAACTCTTTTACGTTTATCAAACACTCAAGAGGTGATATAAGCATATTGTTGACATTTTTCAGGGGCCAAAATGCACTTGCAAGGTTAAAAAAATCACCTTTTGGACCAATTCCATGTTTTGATGGCACTTTGGTTCCTAACCTTTCAGACAAGTGGGGGCTTCTTGTCCGTAGAAGATGTATCATGACTCCTTTGAGACTGAAGCTCCATCCACAGTTAACATTGAATGCAGTTGCAAAACAGTATTGAAGAAAGTGGTTTTGCTGTGCAGATAATTACACAGGAAAGCCTGGAACCGATTTCCTCCACAAACAAGCACAAAGCATTGATGTACTTCCATGGCATACAATATCCAAGAAATAGTGGTGTGTATACATACGTTCTTCCAGCTTGATCTGAAGTCTGCATCAGTCACATCAACCACCCCTAGACTATTCTTTCTTTGTACAGGAAACTAGTATGTCTACTTGACTTTGCTTTCATCCCTTCTTTCTTTCCCTCTCCTCATACCTTTTCCCCTTTGCTGTATCTTTCTTCCTTCCCTTCTTTTTCTTTCTTCCCCTCTTCCTTCCTCCCTCCCTCCCATTCCTCCTTTCTCCCTTCTCCAGAGGCCCCATCCACAGTAAGCATTGAATGCAGTTCCAAAACAGTATTGAAGAAAGTGTGCAGATATAATTATACAGTAAACCCTGGAACTAATTTCCTCCACATACAAGCACATAGCACAGCTGGTAAATCACCAGCAGCAGCAATAAGATCTACCAACCGAAAGGTTGCCACTTCGAAGCCCGGATCGGGGTGAGCACCTGACTGTCAGCCCAGCTCACTGTTTACCTAAGCTGTTCAAAAACAGCTTAGAGTGGTAAGTAGAGAAATTAGGTACTGCTAAAAAGTGGGAGAGGTATTTTACAACACCATAAGTGTCTAGGACTGTGTGATGTATCGGCGAATAATGCGTGCAGATCCCAGTAGGGTGGCCTTTTGTAGCTGGCAGATGGTAATCTTGTCAGCACCGATTGTGTTTAAGTGCAGGCCAAGGTTTTTAGGCACTGCACCCAGTGTGCCGATCACCACTGGGACCACCTTGACTGGCTTGTGCCAGAGTCTTTGAAGTTCGATCTTTAAATCCTCATATCGTGTCAGCTTTTCCAGTTGTTCCTCTTCAATCCTGCTGTCACCTAGGATTGCGACATCGACAATCCATACTTTGTTAACACAATCGTGAGGTCAGGTGTCTTGTGCTCCAAAACTCTGTCTGAATCCGGAAGTCTCAGAGGAGCTTGCCATCTTCATTCTCTGTAACTTTTTCAGGCTTGTGACTCCACCAGTTCTTTGTCCCAAGCAGATGGTGTTTGTGGCACAAGTTCCAATGAATTATGCTTCTGCTTGTATTATTATTATTATTATACCACTTTGATGGCTGAAAGCAAGGAGGAGCTGAGGAGCCTTCTAACCAAAGTGAAAGTCTGATGGCCATTCTTGTGTTTCCATATTTGCTGACATATGGCATGCATCACCTTTCAAGATTTTGAACAGTTCAGCAAGGATCCCGTCGTCTCCTGCTGCCTTGTTGTTAGCAATGCTTCTTAAGGCTCATTCAACCTCACTCCTCAGGATGTCTGGTTCTAATTCCCTCACCACACTGTCAAAACTATCCTTGATATTATTATCCTTCCTATACAGATCTTCTGTATAGTCTCGCCACCTTCTCTTGATCTCTTCAGCTTCTGTTATGTCCCTGCCATCTTTGTTTCTTATCATTCCAATTTTTGCCTGAAATTTACCTCCAATGTTTCTAATTTTCTGGAAAAGGTCTCTGGTTCTTCCTATTCTGTTGTCTTCTTCCACTTCCATGCATTGCTTGTTTAAAAATAGTTCCTTATCTCTTCTGGCTAATCTCTGGAATTGCGCATTTAATTAGGAATATCTCCTATCATTGTTTACTTTTGCTTTCCTCCTTTCTTGGGCTACTTCCAGTGTCTCAGCAGACAACACTACCATTTGATTTATATAGACTAGCCGTCTCCTGCCACGTGTTGCTGTGGCCCAGCCTGTGTATATGTGTTTTCATATGTGTATATATGTGTATATATATGGTTTTATGCATGCATTGTAATATTTTTTTTTGGCTTTTAAAGTCCCTTCTGCTGTATTTTTCAGTGTTTTTATGAGTGATGGTCACTTGTTGGCGTAATAGGTGTATCATGTCCAAATTTGGTGTCAATTTGTCCAGTGTTTTTTGAGCTATGTTAATCCCACAAACAAACATTACATTTTTATTTATATAGATAACACTATGCTTAATGCAATTTCGTTCGTATTTATTTCACAGCCTCTGAAACAGAGCAAGGAACTGCCTATGTAGAGAGGCATTTCCTTCCAGAAAAAAAAAGTCACATCCAAGTTCTTGAATGACAAATGCCCACAACTTTTCCAGGGGAGACGAATGTGCCTCTTCCCTGTTGACATTTGTCAGGCACAAGGCGAACATGCAGAGGTTATAACGCTTGCACAAAAAGGGGTTGCAGATGCATGTCCAGACAGCAGGCAAGAAAACTGGAATAGAGACACAATTCAATAAGAAGCAGCCCTTCTTCACAAACAAAAATGGGATTCGAACTTTTTTGGGTTTAGACATCTGATTCATTCAAAACATAACTTTGCTGTCCCGACATCTCTTTCAAGAATTGCTCCCAAGACCCATTAGCTGAATAAGCTATATCTTAGTTGCAACGTTGCCTCTTTCCTTTATCCCTTTTTGAGTCTTTTTTTTCTTTTTCGTCATTTGCCTCAAGGTTAAAACACTATATATAGTCAGCCCTCTGTCTAATGGATTCTGCACCCACAGATTCAATCATTCATAGTTAGAATTTGTTTTAAATGGAAACCCAGTTTATGCAAGGGATATTGCATATAATGGGATTTGAGTACTTATGGATGTCAATATCTATGTGGGACCCTAGTTGCTTCTGGTGTAAGAGAATTGGCTGTCTGCAAGAGTGTTGCCCAGGGGAAGCCTGGATGTTTTGCATCCTGTAGGAAGCTTCTCTCATGTTCCCACATGGGAAGCTGGAGCTGACAGATGGGAGCTCACCCCGCTCCCTGGATTCGAACTGGAGACCTTTCAATCAGCAGTCCTGTTGGCACAAGGATTTAATCCACTGCACCACTGGGGGCTCTCTCCTGGAACTGAACTCCAGCAAATACTGAGAGCCCTTTTTACCTACAGTTAGATTCCGATATCCATGGATTCTGTATCTAGGGATTTCAACCATCCACGCTTCGAAAAGGTTTTTAAAAATCCAAAAATCAAACCTTGGTTTTGTCATTTTATATATCATTAAACTATATCATCATTATATATAATGGGACTTCAGCCTCTATGTATTTTGATATCCACAGAGACATCCTAGAACAGCGTTTCTCAACCTGGGTGTCGGGATCCCTGAGGGGGTCACGAGGGGATGTCAGAGAGGTTGCAAAGTTCATCAGAAAAAGCAGTATTTTCGGTTGATCATGGGTGGGAAGTTTGGCCCAATTCTATCATTGGTAGGGTTCAGAATGCTCTTTGATTGTAGGTGAACTATAAATCCCAGCAACTACAACTTCCAAATGTCAAGGTCAATTTTTCCCAAACTCCACCAATGTTCACATTTGAGCATATTGAGTTTGGTCCAAATCCAGCCTTGTTTTTTGTCCACAGAGCTCTCTGGATGTAGGTGAACTACAACTCCAAAACTAAAGGTCAATGCCCACCAAACCCTTCCAGTATTTTTTGTTGGTCATGGGAGTTCCGCATGCCAGGTTTGGTTCAATTCCATCATTGATAGAGTTCAGAATGTTTTCTGATTTTAGGTGAACTATAAATCCCAGCAACAACAACTCCCAAATGACAAAATTAACCCCCCCCCCCCACCAGTATTCAAATTTGGGCCTTTGTAAGCCACATCGAGTCCTTCAGGAGATGCTAGTGGGGTACAAATAAAGTTAATAATAATAATAATAATAATATCAGATATTTACATTACGATTCATAATAGTGTCATAACCTTATTGCCTGGTTTTGCGTGAAGCCAGGAAATTAGGCCATGCCTTAGATTTGTTCTGCGTATATTTGAAATCTGGGAAGGGGCTGCCATGGAAACAGGAGCAATACAGGGGAGGGGCCAGCATAAGGCGTGATGGAAATAAACTGTCAGTTGGAACTTTGTTGTGTTCCCTAATGAATGTTTTTGAATTAACTTTGTTTGTGAGGTAATTTTGTCACCATAAAGCTACAGATCTGGACAGAAAGTAGCAAAACTACTGTTATGAAGTAGCAACGAACATAATTTTATGGTTGGGGGTCACCACAACCTGAGGAACTGTATTAAGGGGGCACAGCATTACAAAGGTTGAGAAACATTGTCCTAGAACCAAACGCCAATGGATACCATGGAGCTGGTGTACACTGCAAACTAAGCTATCCCAAACTGCAACAAAGGAGAGCCTCATTCTACAAACCACACTACCATTTGGCTCAAACTGGAATAGAGGAAGGTCATGTTACAAGATCTCCCTTAACTTCACTCACTGTTTGGGTGTAAGACATCCCTCAAGATATTGTTTATGCACATACTGATTTTAAAACTATAATGGAACCCATAAGGACTAGAATCATGCTTTAAAACAAAACAAAGTAGAAGAAGGTTCCCAGAAAGGCTGAAGGCTAATCTTAATTCCAGAACATTGTGAAAGTTACTAGTCTGTAGTAGAAGAAGAAAAAGGTTGGTGGACTATGTGAATCATTTTCAATCTGAAGGGAAAGAGAAAACAGAGGGAGGAAGGGAGACTTCCATATTACTCCCTCCAAGCGATCAGGTAAACCACACTATAGGTAACCCCACTCTGTGTGGAGGAGGAGACACATGTGCCCCATCCGCATGTCCTTTTGGGCCATGATTTTTTGAGAAGTTTCGGCAACTTCTTCCTTCGCCAGCAACCCGAGGTCAGTGGGGCTTTTCCTGTTCTCTGAACACTGTGCGAACGGTTTCTGCCGCGAGTGCCTTCGCTCGTGTGTGCTGCAGTGGGATCGCTGGCTGAAGCCCTTGCCACAGTCCAAGCACTTGAAGGGCTTCTCTCCCGTGTGGGTCCTGCGGTGGCGAACCAGGTCCGAGCGGTGCCGGAAGGTCTTGCCGCAGTCCGCGCAATTATACGGCCGCTCTTTGGCGTGCATGCGCTGGTGCCGGCTGAGGAGCGAGGCCTCGCCGAACTTTCTCCCGCAGTCCGGGCACCGGTAAGGCTTGTCGCTTGCCGTGTGAGTCCGCTTGTGCACCACCAGGTTCGAGCTGTCGCTGAAGCCTTTGCCGCAATAGGAGCACTTGTACGGCTTCTCGCCGGTGTGGGTCCTCCGGTGGCGGACCAGGTAGGAGTTCTGGCAAAAGCACTTGCCGCAGTCCAAGCATTGGTACGGCTTCTTGTCGGCGTGGATCCTCCGGTGTGCAATCAGGTTGGAGCGGTCACTGAAGCTCCTCCCGCAATGGAGGCACTGGTACGGCTTCTCTCCCGTGTGCGTCCGCCGGTGTTTCAGCAGATCAGAACTCCGGCTGAAGCCCTTCCCACACTCCAGGCACACCTTTTTCCTCTGGTCCATCTGGATCCCTTCTTGGGCAGGTTGCTCTCCATGTTTCCGGCCAACTTTCTGGCAGGCTTCCTCGCCAAAGGGGCCTTCATGCTCATTCTCTGCTTTGTGTTCATTTTCAAAGGCATCTAGCTGCTCCTGGCACAGAAAAGCAGTTTCTCCAAAGGCCTCGGATGGTTCTGTTTTCTCAGAACATTTGAGCTGAGGTTTTTCTTCCTCGACCTCGCTCACCCACCCATCGCCTGCTGGAAGTAAGAAAAGCAGAGAGTTACGCATATATAAATCATTCCCTGTGCAAAATCAAAAGTGGAAAAAGTGAGATCTAATCACAGTGATATGTACACCTTGTGTCGTACACCAGAGCAGGAACACCTCTGACCTTAAACACCACACCAGCTTGATAAAATCAGCAAGCAGTTTATTGAAGAATATATGTAGGCAAAGCAGTAAAAATAGCCAAAAACACTAATGACTTATGCTTTTATTGATGTTATGGTTTTTATTATATGTTTTAAACTGTATTTATGGTATTGTGGGCATTGAATTTTGCCCTGTAAACCGCCTTGAGTCGCCTGTGGGCTGAGAAAGGTGGTATACAAATACAGTAAATAAATACATAAATAAATAATAGAAGGCCTAAAACAGTTTCAGACCAGAGACTGCCTCCTTCCAGATGCCTGGATGATGACATCAGTAGCAGAAGTTTGTTACGTGTTCCATCAATAAAGGAGGTTTCAGTCATGCAGATGTGAGACAGTAACTTTTCTATGGCTACACGTCTGTCATGGTAATGCCTTTCAATAAGTTTGGAAAAGTAAGCTAGTCATGCAGGCTGAGAGAGATGTAGTCCAAGATATAACTTTTCAAGCTTTTCAGTGCAGGAATGGTATTTGTACAAGACCAGGAGTAAGAAAATATTCTTAGCAGAATGGCTCCTAAATCAAAGGTTTTTGATTTGTGTGTTTTTGCCTAAATGGATGCTGAGATGATGCATCATCAATGTATGATCATGCCCCCAACTCCCAAATTACCTTTGCAGCACTCAAACTGTTTATGTTTGCACCCTAACTTAGTCTGAGGATGAAGGAATCAACCCAACTGAGCTATCTGTGCTTGTTTCAATCCAGATCTTTCCTTGAGCTAGTTTACTCACCCAATGAGCTGGCCTCTCCCTCGCTGTCCGGCTTGGCTTCTCTGTAGAGCTGCCACTGTCTGTTGTTCGATGGGCCTTGCTCTGCCTTGGCAGCATTCCCAAGAGCTTCCTGAAAACCGTTGGGCACCTGGAATGGCAATGAATCAAATAATAAAACTTATTGACAGTATTTATATACTGCTTTTCTCACCCCTGGATGGACTCAAAATCAGTTTACACAGAAATAATGGCAAAATTCAATGCCTTACCAATGTAAACCAAATCATAAGTCAACACCATATAACTGAAGATAAAAAGACAATTCACTATAAAATAAGATAAAGGATATTTAAAACATGAAATATAAGAATTAAAAACATCTAATAAAAACATTAAAACCACATGATCCAAGCGCATAGAGCAAATTCGTGGTCTGAATGCAGAGAAAAGAAAAATGGGTTCCCTTGGAATGAAATAAACCAGTATCCATTAAATGCAATAATGCAAATGTGTCTAAACACACAAAAACTCAATGTATGCATACAAATACAAATGTCAATAAAACATAGGATTGTTGCAATGTATTGTCGAAGGCTTTCCATGGCCGGAATCACTGGGTAGTTGTAGGTTTTTTCGGGCGATATGGCCATGTTCTAGAGACATTCTCTCCTGACGTTTTGCCTGTATCTATGGCAAGCATCTATGACGTTTTGCCTGCATCTATGGCAAGGACCTCACTACCTCACTACCTCTGAGGATGCTTGCCATAGATGCAGGCAAAATATCAGGAGAGAATGCCTCTAGATGGCCATATAACCCAAAAAAACCTACAACAACCCATAGGATTGTTGCATTCACATTTAACAGAAATAATTTGGGTTGTTGTAGGTTTTTCAGGCTAGAGGCATTCTCTCCTGACGTTTCGCCTGCATCTATGGCAAGCATCCTCAGCCTAGCTGTAACGAAATGTCTAATAGAAATGTAAGTTTTAGATATACTTATTACTGTTGGGGTGTAAGTGCAGGCAGGCTGATGGGTAGCCTGAGCTGGCCACTGAAAGGAAGAACACAATTTGAAAAGTTCTCAGTTGGTGGCTGGAGGATGCCTCAGGATGGTTGGTTCTAGTTATGTGGAGCTAGACCAAGTAGTTTAAGCCTCTGACAGGTAGTCAGAAGGAAAAAGGTGGCTGTGTTTAATTTTCAGCATTGAGTAATTAAAAGTAGAAATATTTAATGTATTGTCGAAGGTTTTTATGGCTGGAATCACTGGGTTGTTTTATTTTTTCGGGCTATATGGCCATGTTCTAGAAGCATTCTCTCCTGATGTTTCATCTGCATCTATGGCAAGCATCCTCAGAGGTTGTGAGGTCTGTTGGAACTAGGAAAATTGGGTTTATATATCTGTGGAATGATGTCCAGGGTGGGAGAAAGAACTCTTGTCTGTTGGAGGCAGGTGTGAATGTTTCAACTGGCCACCTTGACTAGCATTTGATGGCCTGGCAGTTTTTTTGTGTGGCTTGTTACTGACTCGGAGAATCTTTTGTTGAGAGGTTATTAGCTGTCCCTGATTATTTCCCCTCTGGAGTTTCCCTGTGTTTGGGTGTTGTTTTGCTGTTCTACTTCTAGAGTTTTTTTTAATACTGGTAGCCAGATTGTGTTCATTTTCATGGTTTCCTCCTTTCTGTTGAAATTATCCACATGCTTGTGGATTTCAATGGCTTCTCTGTGTAGCCTGACATAGTGGTTGTGAGAGTGGTCCAGCATTTCCGTGTTCTCAAATAATATGCTGTGTCCAGGTTGGTTCCTCAGGTGCTCTGCTACGGCTGACTTCTCTAGATGAAGTAGTCTGCAGTGCCTTTCATGTTCCTTGACTCGTGTTTGGGGGATGCTGCTGCGTTTGGTGGTCCCTATGGAGACTTGTCCACAGCCGCATGGCATACAGTAGACTCCTGCACACACAGATAGATACCTACATAAAAACTCCAACCATCACCTAGTCAAAAAAGAAGCACCATTAAAGTCCTGGCAGACCGTGCAAAAAGAATCTGCGAACCCCACCTTCTCCAAGATGAACGGAACCACCTAAACTGGGCTCTACAGGCCAATGGAGACTCCACCTCAGACGTCAGAAGAGCTGCAAGACCGAGAACAAGCCACGAGAATAAAGATGAAGATCCACCCAGAGGAAAAGTGTTCCTGCCATACATCAAGGGAATCACTGACAGCATAAGGAAGCTGATGAGGAAGCACAACATACAAACTATCTACAGACCCACCAAGAAAATCCAACAAATCCTACTTCAGCAAAGGACAAGAGGGCTCCTCTCACTTCTGTAGGAGTCTACCATATACCATGCAGATATGGACAAGTCTGCATAGGGACCACCAGACGCAGCACTGCCCAAACACGAATCAAGGAACATGAAAGGCGGCACGGCAGACTACTTCAACCAGAGAAACCAGCCATAGCAAAGCACCTGATGAACCAACCTGGACACAGCATATGTGAACCTGAGAAATCTTCAAATAAATGTTGTTTCTTTTCATTTTAAATACTGAGTGTTTATGACTACTTATTTAAGAGAAGATTCCCTAGAAGAGAGGAAACTGAAGATCTCGTGGAGCCAAAGATAAATTTGTTGCATTGGATTACACATTTTAAGGTGCCATAAACAAGTGCCCTAGAATTATCTCTCTCATATAAGCCCCACTCTAAAATAAACAAAGCCTCATCTTTTACAGTCACAATTGGTGGCAAGGTGGGATGATAAAGTACAGGTCCCCCCTGCCTGAAGATTTCTGCCAATATTTCCTAGGCTGAGTGTTTCATATTAATTGGTGGCAGTGCTATGTATTAATAGGTGGGTGCGTTTCACGAGCTCTTTAATGTGTTATAGTCATTTTTGGATTCTGATCCGGTCCTTTGGGGTATGAGCTACCCCAATGTGGCGTCAGCTCCAAACCCGATAGGACTCCCTGACCATGATTGGGAAAGAGGTTGCCTCACCTGCGGTTCCCACTGTGTGGGCTCTTGTTGCCTCTGCAGGAACTCCTCTGCCAAAGCCACTGCCTGAGTGCAGTCCTCCGCTCCTCGTTCCCGGACACAGCTTTGGATCTCCGAGGGAAGGATGGTGAGGAACTGCTCTAGGACCACCAGCTCCAGGATCTGCTCCTTGGAGAGCCTGTCGGGCTCCAGCCACTGGCGGCAAAGGGCCCGGAGGTGGAAGCAAACCTCTCGCGGGCCGTCCGCTTCCAGGTAGCAAAACTGCCGGAAGCGCCGGCGCTGGGCCTCTCCACTGATGACAGGGCTTGGCTTCGGGATCTCTGCTTTCAACTTCCTGGCATCTCCCCGGTTTGCTGCCTGCGAGCCGAGGGCAGCTGGCTGAGCCTCCCCCATCATAGGCCGGGCCATCCATTCCGCTCGGGGCCACATCCAAGCGTCGGCGACCCCCTCAAAGGGGAAGCCCTTGCTGTTCTCCTCCCAGGGTGTGGGAAGCAGGAGCTGTGGGCTGCCCCATCCAAGGTGAGGGGGCTGTGTGGCCTTGAGGAGCTCCTGGAGGGATCCGTCCCAGCCCTGCGGCAAGATCTCCCCCGGTTCCTGCTTCACCTGCTGGGGGGCCGCCCAACCCAGGAGGTCCTTCATCATCCCACATTGAAGACTTCTGCCTGGCCTTTTGGATTCCTTCCCTGGCTTGGACCCTCCGGGATCTTCCAGCGCTTCTTGCTCCAGGAGCGGGAGACCTATGGATGTTGCAGCAGTGTTTGCCACAGCCGCCATCGTCTCTCAGCCTAGAAGCAGAACAACTATCTTTATTATTATTATTATTATTATTATTATTATTAGAAAGACATCTAGATTAGTACACAGCAAACTAATAAGATCACTATGCTGGCTTTTGTATTAAATCACATGTCGAACACTTCTAGGACTGTGTGATGTATTGGCAAATAATGTGTGCAGACCCAAGTAGGGTGGCCTTTTGCAGCTGACAGATGGTAATTTTATCAGCGCTAATTGTTTTTAAGTGCAGGCCATGGTCTTTAGGCACTGCACCCTGTGTGCCAATCACCACTGGGACCACCTGTACTGGATTGTGTCAGAATCTTCCTCTTCTTTCTCCTCCCCTCCTTCTTCTCCTTCTTCTTCTCAGTTTTAAGGATTTAAACCAGGCATGGGCAAACTTTGGCTCTCCCTCCAAGTGTTTTGGACTCCAACTCCCACAATTCCTAACAGCCTACTGGCCAGATCCTAGAAACATTCTCTTCTGATGTTTCACCTGCATCTGTGGCAAGCTTCTTCAGAGGTTGTGAGGTCTGTTGGAAACTAGGAAAATTGGGTTTCTATATCTGTGGAAAGTCCAGGGTGGGAGAGGTAAGTGTGAATGTTTCAATTGGCCACCTTGATTAGCATTTGATGGCCTGACAGTTTTTAGGTGTGGCTTGATACTGTCTGGGGGAATCATTTGTTAAGAGGTGATTAGCTGTTCCTGATTGTTTCTTGTCTGGAGTTCCCCTATGTTTGAGTTTTGTTCTTTATTTACTGTTATAATTTTAGAGTTTTTTGGTAGCCAGATTTTGTTCATTTTGTTCAGAGAGTTCCACTGCTGAACAGCTCTCACAGTCAGGAAGTTCTTCCTCATGTTCAGGTGGAATCTCCTTTCTTGTAGTTTGAAGCCATTGTTCCATTGCGTCCTCCTTTCTATGACTTCCTCTCACATATTTATACATGGCTATCATGTGTCCTCTCAGCCTTCTCTTCTTCAAGCTAAACATGCCGAGCTCTTTAAGCCGCTCCTCGTAGCGCTTGTTCTCCAGACCCTTGATCATTTTAGTCGCCCTCCTCTGGACACATTCCAGCTTGTCAATATCTCTCTTCAGTTGTGGTGCCCATAAAATGCACACGTAGCCATGTACAATTACAACATATATAAACACATCATTTAAAAACCCACAAAACATGATTAAAAATACACATACAAACAAGTACCACTGCAACAGACATACACAAGCATGCCTGATCAAAAGCACATGAATATGCACTATCAAAACACACAAGAAAAACCCCATACAAGCATTCATCATACAAAACACACACACAAAGATGCAAAATTAAACATACTTCATAAAAATATACCCAAATGTGCATTATTTAAACACACACACATATGCACCATGAAAACACACAGAAATATGAACTGTCAAGAGATACATACAAGTATGCAACATTATATTATATTATATTGGTTTTTAAAAATCACATTATTGGGGTCACATGTCCACTATTGGAAGCTACACAGATCCAGCTTCAGGTCCTCCCTCCAAGCCTCCAAGGAGAGGATCCCTATGCCTTTCTTTCAATTCCTTGCATTTCTTTATTTCTCAATGGCACTGATCCCCTTTCCTTTTGATCTGAGCCTTGCTGCCTTGCAGAGCCCACTTACCCAGCCAAGCTGCTTCTCCCACGTGGGAGGCGGGGCCAGCAGACCGGAAGGAACGTTGGGAAGCCAGCGTTCTATTGACAGCCTTCTGCTCGCAAGCAACTTTCCCACGCTGCCTCTCTGGGCCTGATGGAGGGGAGCTCTCCATGATCTTAACCCTTTCCCCGCCTCCGTATGAGACCCATACCTGGGAGTTGGAAGGGGATGACCCCAAAGGTCATCCAGCCTCACCCCATTGGGCCAGACAAGAATGTCACAAAAATTTAATATGCAGATTTGAGAAATGTAAAATTAATATGATGTGTGGGAATGAATGGAAGAATGGAAGGAAGTATGGAGCTAATAATTTTGGAAACACCAGTAAAAGACCCAGGCCTGCAATGACTAACTTACCTGCTTGCTGGACTGTAATTAAATGTTGCTAATGATAAATAGTGAAGAAGTTAGGGAAAAAAAGAGACACCCAGGAGACCTGGCAGACAAAAAGGTCTGGGTCTGTTTTGTTAATTAAAGAAATGTATGACATCATCATCCCTGGTGGTGCAGTGGGTTAAACTGGTGAGCTTCTGAACTTGCTGACCAAAAGGTTGGTGGTTCGAATCCGGGGAGCAGGGTGAGCTTCCGCTGTTAGCCCCAGCTTCTGCCAACATAGCAGTACAAAAACATGCCAATGTGAGCAGATCAATAGGCAGGAAGGTAACAGTGCTACAGTGCTCCATGCTTGCCACATGACCTTGGAGGCATCTATGGACATCGCTGGCTCTTTGACTTAGAAATGGATATCCCTCTATGAACCATCTTGGCTAAGATTGTCCAGGAAAGCCCTACTCTCGGTCCTGCCTCTTTCGCAGGCATGATTGGTGGGGATGAGATGGGGCCTTGTCAGTAGTGGCCCCTCAGCTATGGAACTCCCCAACAAAATTAGATCAGCGCCCTCTCTCTAGGCCTTCAGGGGAAAAAAAGGTAAAAACATGGCTGAGGCACCAAGCATTTGGGCAGTAAGCAATCCAAGGAACAAACAGGGATTATGTGGAATTGCTATTTGATATTGGAATGGCTTGGACTATGCTTTTGGATCATGTGATTTTAATGTTTATATTAATGTTTTAACTCCATGTTTTAATGTTGTTACATTTTATGATTTAATGGATAGTTTCATGTTATTTTTGTTTCATTAGGTTTCTATATTTTTATGAGATATTAAATTTTGTTGTGAATATGTTGGAAATCGCTTGAGTCCCACCACGCCGGGGTGAGAAAAGCGGTATATAAATGAATGAATGAATGAATGAATGAATGAATGAATTCTGCAGTGTACCTGAGTCTGGAGACATCCTATGTACACAAGAAGGATATCGTATAAACTCAACTTCATGCATACGTTGTGGTCAAGTTTTGGGGGCAAATCTTTGGATTTTGACAGCCTCTCTGTGGTTGCCACAGGCATCTTCTACCCAAGCATTAAAAAATGGCATAAGCAATGCCATGGCTGAGAGAAGAGAGGGTCAGTGCTTCTTTTAGTTCCTCCCAGGATGGACTAAGCTCTCGCCTTTTGCCACTCAAGATACAGAAATCGGTCCTTTTTTGAAATAAGCATTAGGGTACACAGCTTACACTGACCTATGGACATGTCAATCCAGGATTTATTTATTTCATATCAAAAGCATTGCATAAATAAGTATAAAACTGATAAAAATAGAAGAAGCACAGACGATAAATTTTTTTAACCAAAAATTAGCAACAGTGACTGCACTGTCCATAGCTTTAAACAGTTCTTCTTCTATGCATGAGGCAGGACATTGTGGAAAAGCATACAAATACGGAGTTGTTTGTTCTGCTCCATGGTTGCACAAGGTGGGGGATTCTTTTAGGTAGTGCCATTTTGCCAGGTTGTCTTTTGATCTGCCCACTCCACTTCTGAGTCTGTTCAGGGACTTCCAAGTTGCCCATTCTTGGCTTGCCCCTAGAGGACGAGCCTCTCTCGTGGGATTTCTTAGTTTAGCTGCCAGGAAAAGGAATTGCTTTTTAAACCCAGTATACATGAATATGTCCACCAAACATGTTGGTGGACAGGAAGAGATGTAAAGATGAGCTTAAAGCTAACCTTAAAAACGTTTGCATAGACACCGAGAACTGGGAAGCCCTGGCTCTTGAGCAATCTAACTGGAGGACAGCTGTGACCAGCAGTGTTGCAGTATTCGAAGAGGCACGAACAGAGGGCAAAAGAGAGAAATGTGCCAAGAGGAAGGTGTGTCAAGCCAATCCTGACTGTGACGGCCTACTGTCTGGAAACTGATGTCCTCACTGCAGGAGAATATGTGGATCAAGAATAGGGCTCCACAGCCACCTATGGACCCACCGCCAAGACACTTAATCTGAAAGACCATCATCCTCAAGCTACGAGGGATTTCCTAAGTAAGTAATGTGAGTAGTGCAGGGGTCCCCAAATGAAGGCCTGGAGGGTACATGCAGCTTTCCAAGGTCGGTTACCCAGCCTCTGCCCTAAACTTTAGTCTCAGGGCAGCCCTAAATATGAAAGGACTTGAAGGTACACAACAATAATCCTAATTAACTTGATTATCTCATCAACCCAAAGCAGGTCTGCACTTCCGAGCACACCTGCTCTCCCCTCCCCACTTGGAGTCTCAGAAACAGCCCTTCCCTTGGCTGAGAGGCCGACCAATCACAGCAGAGGAGGGCTTTTGGTGGGAGGATTTGCTGTCAGTATCCAAAAAGTAAGAGAAGGACAGGTGGAGAGATCTTCAGCCTTCTCTGCCAAAGGGGTTCCTAAGAACATCAGAAATATATGTTTCCTGATGGTCTTTCGTGACCCCCCCCCCCCAGGAGTCCCGACCCCCAGGTTGAGAAATGCTGCACTAGACTTTTCGTTGGATTCAGTGATAAGACAAACACAGCCACGCCAGCACTCAACAAATACTGATTTTTGTGTGACAGCGTCTCTTGGCATGGATTCTCTGATGGAAAGTCAAGCTGTGACTTTGACTGAATCTCTTCCCACACTCTGAACAGGTGTACGGTTTCTCTCCGGTGTGGATTCTCTTATGTCTGATAAGGCTAGACTGGTCACGAAAGCTCTTGCCACATTCGGAGCAGGGATACGGCTTCTCCCCTGTGTGTATCTGTTGGTGGAGGCTAAGGTTTATTCGGCGGCTGAAACTCTTTCCGCACTCTGTACATTGATAGGGCTTCTCCCCCGTGTGCACTCTTTGGTGCTGAATGAGCTTGGACTTCTCGGTGAAGCTTTTGCTGCAATCCAGGCAGTGGTGTGGTTTCTCCCCCTTGTGGATCTTCTGATGCTTGACCAAATAGGCACTCTGGACAAAGCTTTTCCCACACTCCAAGCACTGATACGGTTTCTCCCCAGTGTGGATTCTCTGGTGTTTTTTGAGATGGGCCCTCTGACCAAAGCACTTCCCACACTTCAAGCACTGATACGGCTTCTCCCCAGTATGGATTATCTGGTGTCGTGAGAGGTGGGTCTTACAGCCAAAGCATTTCCCACATTCCAAACATTTATACAGCTTCTCCCCTTTTTGGATCCTTGGATGCTTCATCTTACTAATTTCCGAATTCATATTCTGTCTCTCATCTGCAGGAATACTTTGATTCAGGTATATGTTGGAACTCGTCCCTTCATAAAGCGTTTCAGTGAGGTTTCCACTCTGATTTAAAGTGTTTGCAAACATTAAATCTGATTCAGCTTCACTGGGAAAAGCAATCCCCTTTTTTTCTTTCTCGCTTTCCTGTTGGATTGAGATTTTGTGAAAGTCTGCCACCTGAAATGGGAAGGATTTGGATTCTATGTGGCTTCCGACTTGGCTTGCTATCCCAACTTGGCTCCAAACATTCTTCTTCAATGCTTCAAAATGTGTCCTTTCTGAGGAATCCTCACCCAATTGCCCCTCATTCTCACTTTTCCTTTCATTGCCTGTTGGAAATAAAGCAGAAGGCAAATTAAGACCCATTCTCACAATGCCACCAGGAAGCTTCCCAGGAAGCTTTAGGGGGAACAAGACACAATGGTTGCTCCCAAGTCTTTGGAAAGTCTTTCCTGGCAAAGTTAGGATAATCCTTCCTTTCTTTCTTTTGTCTGACCAATGAAAATGGTATAGTCTGAAAAAGCATCTGAATCTTGACTAAGATCCCAAAGAGAAATTAGACCATATACTGATTTTCTAATTTTTCCTTTCCTTCTGTTCCTCGCACAGCATCCATTTCTGTAGTGCAACAAGCTTCATATTCATTTATTCAGTTTTTTTCCTTATATAGCTTCTTCATCAAATATAACAACAGTCATCAACCCACACACAACATGGATTATAAGAAGGATAGAAGACTTTGCCCCAAATGAAGAGGGCAACTGTGCCCATGCATTTCCTCGGGAAATGTGAAATCTCCTTCTCTGGAAGTTTTTAAACAGAGGTAGGATGGACATCTGTCAGGGTGCTTTGAGTGTTTTCCTGCATGGCAGAATGGAGATGGACTGGGTGGTCTCTTCCAGCTCTATGATTCTACATCTTTACAGGATACACTGGTAACCCACTCACCCACAATATTAAAAATACTTTATGGTATCCAGCAGAATCCAATTCTGTGATTTCACTTACTTACACTTAAGGGAAAATTATCTGTCTAGGCATTTGCTAGATCCTCCAGTGTGATTCTATGGTACATTTTCCCTGGATGTTCTTGAACCCTGATGGCCGGAACTGGCTACAATAATCCAGATGAAAATTGGCCAGCGATGATGAGGACTTCCAGGCCAGGGGTCTGCCCACGCAGTCCCTTAACTTACCCCAGGGAAGAGGGCAATTTGGTCTTCCAGATACTACAACTTTCAATCCCATTTGGCAAAGTATTACAGAACCTGAGAGCCCCATGTACCTGGCAGAGTCTTGGGCTTAGACTATCCAAAGAAGGATAGTCTATAGGAAGGTCCTACTTAGGGAGAGAAGCAGCCATAGTGTTGTCATTAGTCTAGGAAGAGTATCACTGGCATCCAAGGACACAAACAGCCCATTCTTCTTACCCAAGGGTCCAGCATCCCCATTGTCGTCTTCCTGTTTGGTCTTCACACGAAACATCTTCTGCTCAATCCCAGGCAGGGCTTGGTCAGCTTCAGGGGAACCCACCATTTCCTCTCCTTCTAATGGCACCTAAAATATTTATCACTTGTTAGAAAAATGTATAACTTACTAATATGGTTTTCCTCTCCTCTACATAGCTTTCAAAATATTTGTGATGGTTCACAGCCTGACACAATAATTGGCCCACAATGAATTTTGTGGTCCACAAGGGACTTGAACCTGGATCTTGGACATCACAATCCCACATTACACCTACTGCCTGGGCATTTGATGGGGGCTGTGTTTGCTCTTTGCAAGGCATTCCTCACCCCCACTGTATTTCAACCTTCCATTAAATTAAAAACTTACTATGCACAACTCCTCAAGGTGGTTTGTGAGACAATTTTGTCATGTTTTGCTTTCCTTCCATGGCTGTTTCAGGCATAAATGATGCCTTTTAAAAACCAAGAAGTAAACTGAGACTACGGTGTCAGGCTGAAGAGATGGATGGGAGCCCTCACAGGGTTCAAAAATAGACACGCACCAAGCTAATTGAAATTTAACCACAGGGCCACCCTGGCTAAATAGCTCAAGGAGATCTTTTGAAACCTCGCACTAAGTAGCCCTTTGGGAAGCCTGGAACCCAAGAGTATGTAGCAAAGTTTTAAAATCGTTTAGAGTTGATGCCAGATTAAAAACCCAACATTATTCAGGCTCAACGACTATACTAGATGTGGAAAAAATCAGCGGAAAAAAGTTGCCAGAATAAACATTTTCAACCCATATTGAGCCTCAGGACCGATACAGTAAGAGCTACACAGGATTGAAACAATGAATGGTCCTCACCTGGTTTGCCTGCCTCTTGGCCTCTCTCTGCTTCTGGAGGAAGTCCTCCGCCAAGGCCACCGCCTGGGAGCAAGTCTCTGGACCACATTCCTTGACCCAGTTCTCTATTTCTGGAGGCAGGATGGCCAAGAACTGCTCCAAGATCAACAGCTCCAGGATCTGCTCCTTCGAATGCCTTTCAGCTTTCAGCCACCGGCAACACAGTTCCTGAAGCTGGCCGTAAGCCCCTCTCGGCCCCTCAGACTCCCGGTAGCGGAAATGCCGGAAACATTGCCGTTGCTCCTCCCGCCACATAGTGTCCCCATGCAAGATGGCAGCCTTCACTTTCCCATAATCCTCCCTGCCTTCGGCCTCCAGGCTGGTGAAGGCCCGCTTGGCCTCTCCGCTCAATGCTGGCAGGAGCCGGGGCACCCACTCTTCCTTGGGCCACCGGCAGGCTTGGGCCACTTGCTCAAAGGAGGCCAGGAAGGCTTTGGCGTCGTCCCACGGCTCCTCCCTCGACTCAGAGGCACCCCAGTTTGGGTCAGGACCTTCCATGCTCCTTAGGAACTCCTGCCATTGGGTTTCCCACTGCTGAAGTGAGTCTTTGTCGGGCTCCTGTTTCACTTCCATTGGTCTCCTTTGCAGGGCTGCCTCCGTCCTCCCAACATGGCAGCTCCCTCTTGCTTCCCGTGACACCTGCCCTAGTATATGACTTGTAAGGTCTTCTCGAGTCTCCATTTTCATCCTCAGACAATACTAGCCTGAAATGATGGGAAATGCTAGACTCTACTGCAGCAGTTGAAATATCCGCATGGAGCTTTCTGCCTGGAAAACTGAAAGAAAAAAAGAATGTTGCACAACATTCACATTTTAAAGAGGAAGAGTTACAAAAGCAAGTGGCCAGGCGTGTCAATCCCATTTTAATCAAAGGGCACATCAGCCTTATGGTTGCCTTCAATGGGGAATGAGACCATGAGTGGAGTCTGTGGATAAAGAGGGACAGCTATAATTCTTTTACATAGTGTCTGGTGCTTCTTTAGTTTTTATCTACTTTAGGTCCCCAGATGCTATTGAATGACAACTCTGACTACTTAATAGGATGAGCAGTCTAACAGCACTTATGACTCTGAGGTTGGGGAAAGGCTGCAGGGCATTTTAACATTGGGCATCATATCCACAAGCTTCTCCCTAAACCCAACCCGCTTTTCCTGACCAAAGAGCGCAAACAGCAGTCTTCCATCTGTTACTCTAGTTCAACTCCCATCAACTCTACTTCTGATGAGGAATGCATCCACTTTTTTGTATTTATTATCCCTCTTTTCCTCCCATAATTGGGACACAACTTAAAAAAGAAAGACAAATAAAAACATGCAAAAAGTACATTTTAAAATGGAATTAAACTGGTCACAATAACTGAGGGTGCATCTCCACTGGCAAATTATTTATTTTTTATTTATTTACTGCATTTGTATACCGCCTTTCTCAGCCAGAGGCGACTCAAGGTGGTTCACAGTTGGCAGTGATTTGGTGCCATAACAAATATATAGAATATAGTTAAAACAATTATAAAAACAATTCAACATAAAAAATGTAATATAAAAGAAACAGTAGTATCTATAAAAACAAAATCTTCGGCGTCTCCTTACTGAAATCATAGTCCAATTGCTTCGTCAGTCATTCCATATTCCGTTTTCGTCTAATTATGCTCCAGTAGTAAATGCTTGCTTTTAGAGCCAGGTCTTAACCATTTTGCGGAATGTTAGAAGGGAGGGAGACCCTGCCAGTTTCACAAGCTTGCCTTGTAGGCACAAGGGAGAGAGCCTTCTCCTTTGTGGCCCCCCGACTCTGGAACTCATTACCTGGAGAGGTTAGGAAAGCCCCTACCCTAGAAACCTTTAAAAAGAACCTCAAAACCTGGCTCTTCTGCTGTGCCTTTGGTGAGTAGGTACACAACCTCACATTATTGCTCACCCTCAACTGTCACTGGAGTACATGCTCCCTCCCCATAGGAAAGCTCGGTCCCACAACCCCATTTTTTTATGAGCTCCCCTTCTCAAATAACCTGCTCCTCCTTTTATCTCACCCGAGTTTTTTAATCATTTTATTCTGCACATGTGGCCTGCCCATTGTCACTGTGATTGTAACTTATTTATTTATTTGTCGTGTCAGGGCAACCAGTCAATTATATTACATTTCTAACAGAAACAAAGCAAACAAACAGACAAAATACAAAATTTGTGAGTTTGATAGTTGATTAAATGTCCTTTGACCAGTAGCTGGCCACTTGGAGTGCTTCTGGTGTTGCTGCAAGAAGGTCCTCCATTGTGCGTGTGGCAGGGCTCAGGTTGCATTGCAGCAGGTGGTCAGTGGTTTGCTCCTCTCCACACTCGCATGTCGTGGATTCCACTTTGTAGCCCCATTTCTTGAGATTGGCTCTGCATCTTGTGGTGCCAGAGCGCAGTCTGTTCAGCGTCTTCCAACTTGCCCAGTCCTCTGTGTGCCCAGGGGGGGAGTCTTTCATTTGGTATCAGCCATTGATTGAGGTTCTGGGTTTGAGCCTGCCACTTTTGGACTCTCACTTGCTGAGGTGTTCCAGCGAGTGTCTCTGTAGACCTTAAAAAACTATTTCTAGATTTAAGTCGTTGATGTGCTGGCTGATACCCAAACAAGGGATGAGCTGGAGATGTCTCTGCCTTGGTCCTTTTACTATTGGCTGCTACTTCTCGGCGGATGTCAGGTGGTGCAATACCGGCTAAGCAGTGTAATTTCTCCAGTGGCGTAGGGCGCAGACACCCCGTGATAATGCAGCATGTCTCATTAAGAGCCACATCCACTGTTTTAGTGTGGTGGGATGTGTTCCACACTGGGCACGCGTACTCAGTAGCAGATTGTAATATTATATTGTAGTGATTGTAATATTATATTGCTAATGTATTAATATGTTTTTATGTAATTATGTTGTTTGTTGCTTGTGTTTTTGGTTTTATTTTGCTGTAATTTGTTGTTGGCCTCATGTAAGCCGCCCGAGTCCTCGTTGGGGAGATGGTGGTGGGGTATAAATAAAGATTATCATTATTATTATTATTATTATTATTATTTCCCTTTCTTTCCTCCCTCTGTCTTCACTCACCTTCATCCCTCCAGTTTTTTCCATCTAAATCCAAGAACTCAGGCTGAAAAGTTTCTCCTTTTCCTCCGAAATCCTCCAAGAAAGAAAAGCCAAAGGCAGGAGTTCCCCAAGAAGCCGCTTTTGGAGGAGAAGCCCAACCAGGAAGAGGAGGACACAGCCCACATCCCGGCAAAACAAAACTGCAGGAAGTCCTCTGTCCAAGGAAGCGAGGCTTCTGGGAGTTGAAGTCCAAAAGCCTGGAGGACCAACGGCTGCTTAAAGGCAAACATTCGAGATCTCGAACTACAGGTGGCTGGCTAGAGAGGACTTCCTGTAGTGTTGTGTTTTGAAAGGATGTGGGTTGTATTCTCCATTTCCTGGTTGGGTTCCTTGGGAAACTCGTGCCTTTTGCTTTCCTTTCTTGGAGGTTTTTAGAGGGAAAGGAGAAAGGTCTGAGCCAGAGTTGTTGGACTGAGATGGAAGAAGTTTGAGGAAGGGAAGGAGAGGAAATAAGGAAAGGTTGGTCTGATGGGAAATGTTTCCCTTCCTCCTTTGGGAGCAGGGTGAGGAAGAGCAGGAGGGTTGCAACTGGAGTGTCCTGGGATGCATCTCCACTGGAGAAGGAGTGCACTTCACTCCCCTGACACTGCACTGCTTCCATGCTGGGGGATCCTGGGAATTGCAGTTTCATAAGGTCCTTTCCCTTCTCTGCCAAAGAGTGCTGGTGCCTCCCCAAACTACAGCTACCCTGATCCTATTTCATTGAGCTCTCACGATTCTAGGGTTGCAACTGGAATGTTCTGGGATGCATCTCCACTGGAGAACGAATGCAGTTCACACATAGAATCATAGAATCCTAGAGTTGGAAGAGACCTCATGGGCCATCCAGTCCAACCCCCTGCCAAGAAGCAGGAATATTGCATTCAAATCACCCGACAGATGGCCATCCAGCCTCTGTTTAAAAGCTTCCAAAGAAGGAGCCTCCACCACACTCCAGGGCAGAGAGTTCCACTGCTGAACGGCTCTCACAGTCAGGAAGTTCTTCCTAATGTTCAGATGGAATCTCCTTTCTTGTAGTTTGAAGCCATTGTTCCGCGTCCTAGTCTGCAAGGAAGCAGAAAACAAGCTTGCTCCCTCCTCTCTGTGGCTTCCTCTCACATATTTATACATGGCAATCAGATCTCCTCTCAGCCTTCTCTTCTTCAGGCTAAACATGCCCAGCTCTTTAAGCCATTCCTCATAGGGCTTGTTCTCCAGACCCTTGATCATTTTAGTCACCCTCCTCTGGACACATTCCAGCTTGTCAACATCTCCCTTCAATTGTGGTGCCCAGAATTGGACACAATATTCCAGGTGTGGTCTAACCAAGGCAGAATAGAGCATGGAGCATGACTTCCCTGGATCTAGACACTATACTCCTATTGATGCAGGCCAAAATCCTACTGGCTTTTTTGCCGCCACATCACATTGTTGGCTCATGTTTAACTTGTTGTCCACGAGGACTCCAAGATCTTTTTCACACGTACTGCTCTCAAGCCAGGCATTGTTCCCCATTATGTATCTTTGCATTTCATTTTTTCTGCCAGTGGAGTATCTTGCATTTGTCATTGTTGAATTTCATTTTGTTAGTTTTGGCCCATCTCTCTAATCTGTCAAGATCGTTTTGAATCCTGCTCCTGTTTTTGCTAACAAAGAAAATGCTATATCACACAGGGCTGGGAATGGTTTCTCCCTCCTGATACTGTTGGAACTGGAACTCCCAACATTCCCCACTGCTAACTATATTGATGATGGGGTCAATTCTTCTTTAAACTATTGGGAAAAGGTAAAGGTTGATGTATCGTTGAAAGCTTTCATGACCAGAATCACTGGGTTGTTATAGGTTTTTTGGGCTGTATGGCCATGTTCTAGAAGCATTCTCTCCTGACGTTTCACCTGCATCTATGACATGCATCCTCATGAGAGAAGCCTCCCACAAGGATATAAACATCAACTCATCCGGGCGTCCCCTGGGCAACGTTTTTGCAGACAGCCAATTCTCTGACACCAGAAGCAACTTGCAATTTCTCAAGTCGCTCCTGATACAACAAAAAAAATCCTCAGAGGTTGTGAGGTCTGACCTGCCATAGATGCTGGCGAAACATCAGGAGAGAATGCTTCTAGAACATGGCCATGCAGCCCAAAAAACCTACAGCAACCCAGTTTCCCCTTGACATTAAGTGTAGTTGTGTCTGACTCTGGAGGTTGGTGCTCATCTCCATTTCTAACTTGAAGAGCCAGCGTTGTCCATAGACACCTGACGTATAGGTCCTGACCACTTGGTACTTTTAAAACCTCTCTACTGTCACTAATATTGAAAGATTATGCTGTCAAGGTGATGCATGCTATATGCCAGCAAATATGGAAAACACAAGAATGGCCATCAGACTGGAAAATATCAACTTATATCTCCATACCAAAAAAGGGAAATGCTAAAGACTGCTCAAACTTCCGTACAGTGGCCCTTCTTTCTCATGCCAGTAAGGTAATGCTCAAGATCCTGGGTTTAGCTGGGTTGCAGCTAAACATAAAAAACCCCCAAGATTATGGCAACAAGAATGACTGACAACTGGGAAATAGAGGGAGAAAACATGGAGGCCGTGACAGACTTTGTGTTTCTAGGTGCAAAGATGACTGCAGACGCAGACTGCAGCCAGGAAAACAGGAGACGCTTCCTTCTTGGGAGGAGAGCAATGACCAATCTCGATAAAATAGTGAAGAGTGGAGACATCACACTGGCAACCAAGATCCGCAATGGTATTCCCCGTAGTCACCTACGAATGTGAGAACTGGACCATAGGAAAGGCTGAGCGAAGGAAGAGAGATGCTTCTGAACTGTGGTGCTGGAGGAAAGTTCTGAGAGTGCCTTGGACCGCGGGAAGATCCAACCAGTCCCAACCAGTCCATACTTCAAGAAATAAAGCCTGACTGCTCATTGGAGGGAAGGATATTAGAGACAAAGTTGAAGTACTTTGGCCACATCATGAGGAGAAAGGAAAGCCTAGAGAAGACAATGATGCTGGGGAAAATGGAAGGAAAAAGGAAGAGGAGCCGACCAAGGGCAAGATGGATGGATGGTATCCTTGAAGTAGGAGCCCCGGTGGCGCAGTGGGTTAAACCCCTGTGCCGGCAGGACTGAAGACTGACAGGTCACAGGTTCGAATCTGGGGAGAGGCGGATGAGCTCCCTCTATCAACTCCAGCTCTTCATGCGGGGACGTAAGAGAAGTCTCCCACAAGGATGATAAAAACATCAAATCATCCGGGTATCCTCTGGGCAACATCCTTGCAGACTGCCAATTCTCTTACACCAGAAGCGACTTGCAGTTTCTCAAGTCACTCCTGACACAACAAAAAAAATAAATCCTTGAAGTGACTGGCTTGAGCTTGAAGGAGCTGGGGGTGGGGATGGCTGACAGGGAGCTGTGGCGTGGGGTGGTTCATGAGGTCACAAAGAGTTGGAAGCGACTGAACAAATGAACAACAACTGTCACTAGCTTCTTGCTATCAGTCAACTACCTTTTTCTAATCCCAAGCTCACTCCCTAACTGACTCCAGCTAACTGACCAACTGACATAGAATGCTCAGCTGGGCTTCTCCAACTGTCATCCTTAGCTCCGCCCACCTTTCAAATCTCGGCACCCGCTCATTTGCATCCGGCCAATCAGGTCGCTCTTATGCAAATAACTTCTTCACTGGTGCTGCTGCTCCCTGAGAGTCACAAATGGCTGCTGACACGCCGACCTTGTAAGGTAGGCCATGCACCAACTTTCTAAGGTGAGTTAGATCCGTTAAACTAACATAATAATAATGTTGGGCGAGTGGGCTTAATAACAAAAGACCCTCCCCATAAATGCATGGCAGAGTAACTGATCAGCTGCAGCGTGATCCAGCACCAGGTTTTCATAACACAAATAAATACACAGAAGCCTTCACACTGGAGCTTTCATACACAAGGCTTCTCTCATATAGAAGTTTACCTCACACTCCTCAAGACGACACTAGCTTTGGCTCACTGACTAACAGGCTTCGGCCTACTCACCCTCCTCAGGACAACAATAGGTTTGGCCCACTGACTGACATGCTTTGGCCTACTCTCTTCTGGATGACACTAGCTTTGGACCACTGACTCTAACAGGCTTTGGCCTACTTGCTCTCCTCAGGATGACACTAGCTTTGGCCCACTGACTCTGACAGGCTTTGGCCTACTTGCTCTCCTCTGGACAATACTAGCTTTGGACCATTGACTAACAGGCTTTGGCCTACTTGCCCTCCTCAGGACAACATTAGCTTTGGCCCACTGACTCTAACAGGCTATGGCCTACTTGCTCTCCTCAGGACAACACTAGCTTTGGCCCATTGACTCTGACAGGCTTCTGCCTACTCTCCTCAGGATGACACTAGCTTTGGCCCACTGACTCTAACAGGCTTCGGCCTACTTGCTCTCCTCAGGACAACATTAGCTTTGGACCACTGACTCTAACAGGCTTCGGCCTACTTGCCCTCCTCAGGACAACACTAGCTTTGACCCACTGACTCTAACAGGCTTTGGCCTACTTGCTCTCCTCAGGACAACACTAGCTTTGGCCCATTGACTCTGACAGGCTTCTGCCTACTCTCCTCAGGATGACACTAGCTTTGGCTCACTAACTCTAACAGGCTTCGGCCTACTAACTCTTTCAGTGCTTGACTCACACTTTTGTTATAAAAAATGTGCAGTTAATTCTTAATATTTCTAACAGTTTTCCTGTTAGAAATCTCCGTGTGGATGTTTAGGCTGCTGCGGTAGATTCTAGAATTTTCCACCATTTCAGGCTAAGATAACAACAACAACAACAACAACAATAATACATTATCGGGTACAACATAGTAGACATATTAAAACATAGTTAGAATGCAACCATAAAAGCATGTTAAAACATACATAAACACAATAAACATCTTACAATAAAAGAAACGTTATTGAAAATGGATAACTAGATAAAAACTAAAGAACACTGTGTGCCATGTAAAAGAATTATAGCTGTCCCTCTGTATCTGTATCCACAGATTCTCCATTCATGGTCTCAGTGCCCTATTAAAGGCAAGTAGAAGCCTGATGTTCCCTGTGATTAAAATGGGCTTGACACGCCTGGCCACTTGCTTTTGTAACTGTTCCTCTTTAAAAGGCGAATGTGGTGTAATATGCTTCTTTTTTCTTTCAGTTTTCCAGGCAGAAAGCTCCATGTGGATGAATCTAGCATTTCCAACTGTTTCGGGCTAGTATTGTCCGAGGATGAAAATGGAGACCCGAGAAGACCTTACAAGTCATATACCAGGCCTGGTGTCACGGAAAGCGAGAGGGAGCTGCCATGTTGGGACGACGGAGGCAGCCCTGCCAAGGAGACCAACGGAGGTGAAACATGAGCCCAACAAAGACTCGCTTCAGCAGTGGGAAACCCAATGGCAGGAGTTCCTGAAGAGCCTGGAAGGCCCTCACCCATACTGGGAGACCTCTGAGTCAAAGGAGGAGCCTTGGGACGATGCTAAAGCCTTCCTGGCCTCCTTTGAGCAAGTGGCTCAAGCCTGCCGGTGGCCCAAGGAAGAGTGGGTGCCCCGGCTCCTGCCAGCATTGAGCGGAGAGGCCAAGCGGGCCTTCACTGGCCTGGACCCCAAAGGCAGGGAGGAATATGGGAAAGTGAAGGCCGCCATCTTGCATGGGGACGCCATGCAGCGGGAGAAGCAGCGGCAGTGTTTCCGGCATTTCCGCTACCGGGAGTCTGAGGGGCCGAGAGGGGCTTATGGCCAGCTTCAGGAACTGTGTTGCCGGTGGCTGAAAGCTGAAAGGCATTCGAAGGAGCAGATCTTGGAGCTGCTGATCTTAGAGCAGTTCTTGGCCGTCCTGCCTCCAGAGATAGAGGCTTGGGTCAAGGAATGTGGTCCAGAGACTTGCTCCCAGGCAGTGGCCTTGGCAGAGGACTTCCTCCAGAAGCAGCGAGAGGCCAAAAGCCAATCAAACCAAGTGAGGACCGTTCATTGTGTCAATCTCGTGTGGCTCACACTATATTGATCCTGAGGCTCAGTATGGGTTGAGGTTTGGACCAGTTGAAAATTTTTATTCTGGCAACTTTTTTTTTGCTGACTTTTTCCACATCTCGTACAGTTGTTGAGCCTGAATAATTTTGGGTTTTTAATCTGGCGTCAACTCTTAAGTGATTTTTAAATTCTTGGGTTCCAGAGGGCTACTTAGTGCGGGGTATCAAAAGATTTCCTTAATCTATTTAGCCAGGGAGGAGGCACCGCGGTTGTGTTTTGAGTGAGGTCGTTGTGTGTCTATTTTTGATCCTTCAGAGGGCTCCCATCCATCTTTTCATCCTAATAACATATTCTCAGTTTTTCTTGGTTTTTAAAAGGCATCATTTTTGCCTGAAACAGCCATGGAAGGAAAGCAAAACATGGCAAAATTGCCTCACAAACCACCATGAAGAGTTGGGCATGCTGTGTTTTTAATTTAAGAAAAGCTTGAAATATAATGGAGGGTGAGCAGTGTGAGATTGTGACTTGCTGGATCTGGGTTCAAGTCCTTTCTGGACCATGAAACTCATTGTGTGACTCATTATTTTCTCTGGCTCTGAGCTACATCACAATTATTTTGCGAACTATGTAGAGTAGAGGAAAGCCACATACATTTTTCTAACAAGTGACCAATATTTTAGGAGCCGTTAGAGGAAGAGGAGACAGTGGGTCCCACTGAAAGTGACCAAGGCCTGCCTGAGATTGAGCAGAAGAAGCTTAGTGTGGAGACCAAACAGGAAGGTGACAGCAGGGAAGCTGGACCCTTGGGTAAGAAGAATTGGCTGTTTGTGTCCTTGGATGCTGGGGGTGTTCTTCCTAGATTAACCACAGCACTGTGGCTGATTCTCCCCCTAAGTAGGACCTTCCCTTAGTCCTCTGGATAGTCTAAGCAAGTGGTTCTCAACCTGTTGGTCCCCAGATGTTTTGACCTACAACTCTCAGAAATCCCAGCTCAGAAAATCCACATTTCCTGAGAAGTTGTGTGGGCACAGTTGCCCCCTTAGTTTGGGGCACATTCTTGTACCCTTGTCACAATCCGTGTTGTGTGTGGGTTGATGAACTATAAATCCACACAACGCAACTCTCAAATGTCAGGGTCTATTTTCTCCAAACTCCACCAGTGTTCAGATCTGGGTATATTGAGTATTTGTGCCAAATTTGGTCCAGATCCATAGTTGTTTGGGTTCACAGTGCTCTCCGGATATAGGTAAACTATATCTCTCGTAAATCACTGTCAGTTCCTCCTAACCTCCTCCAGTATTTTCTATTGGTTCTGAATGCTGAGTTTGGTCCATGTATGGGGTTCTCAGTGGTCTGTGGAAGTCAGAGCTGAGTCATTTGAAGGTACTGCAGATCCCTTCATCCGTTATCCATACTCCCCCAAACATATTGTTTTTGTGATTAATCACTATGCTTTAATTTTGTTCAATTTGTAACAATGAAAATACATGCCGCATATCAGATATTTACATTATGATTCATAACAGTAGCAGTTATGAAGTAGCAACGAAAATATGGTTGGCGGTCACCACAACATGAGGAACTATATTTAGGGATCACGGCATAAGAAAGGTTGAGAATCACTGCCCTAAACCTTACTGGGAAGCTTCCTGGTGGCGTTGTGAGAATGGGTCTTAATTTGCCTTCTGCTTTATTTCCAACAGGTGATGAATTTAAACACAAGAATGAGGGGCAACTAGGTGAGGATTCCTCAGAAAAAGAAGAAGGTGAAGCATTGAAGGAGAATGTTTGGAGCCAAGATGGGCCAGTGAGCCAAGACGGAAGCCACACAGAAGAGCTGGAAACCAAATCCTTCACATTTCAGGTGGGAAACTCCCACAAAATCTTAGTCCAGCAGGAAAACGAGAAATTTGAAAAGGGGATTGCTTTCCCCAGTGTCCATAGTAAAATTTGCCCTGAAAACAAATCAGATTTAATGTTTGCAAAGACCTTCAGTCAGAGTGGAAACCTCACTGAATGTGAAACACTTTATGAAGGGATGACTTCCAATATATACCTGACTCGAAGTGTTTCTACAGATGAGAGAGAGTGTATGAATTTGGATCTTGGTAAGATGAAGCATCCAAGGATCCAAAACCGGGAGAAGTCGTTTAAATGTTTGGAGTGTGGGAAATGCTTTGGTTGGAAGGCCCACCTCTCAAGACACCAGATAATCCACACGGGAGAGAAGCCATACCAATGCTCGGAATGTGAGAAATGCTTTGGTCGGAGTTCCCAACTCAAGGCACACCAGATAATCCACACCGGGGAAAAGCCGTATCAGTGCTTGGAATGTGGGAAATGCTTTCGCCGGAATGCTGATCTCAAGTCGCACCAGACAATCCACACCAGGGAAAAGCCGTATTGGTGCTTGGAGTGTGGGAAATGCTTTGGCCGGAGTGCTGATCTCAAATCGCACCAGACAATCCACACCGGGGAGAAACCCTATAAATGTACAGAATGTGGAAAGTGTTTCAGGCTCCATGGAAGCCTTAGCTTTCATCAACGGATGCACACACGGGAGAAGCCGTATCCCTGCTCCGAATGTGGCAAGAGCTTCCACGACCAGTCAAGTCTTGTCAGACATAAGAGAATCCACACCGGAGAGAAACCGTACACCTGTTCAGAGTGCGGAAAGAGCTTCAGGCGAAGTACCAACCTGACTTTACATCAGAGAACCCATGCCAAGAGCTACATGAGACTCAGCAATTACTGAATGCTGACTTGGCTCCTCCGATGTGCCTTTGGAGAGTGACCATATATTTCTTTCCTGTTGTTTCTCCCACAATGTTGTCCTTATATTGCATCCCGCCCCCACCTTTCTTACGGCTTGATTTTACTGTTCTGTCCCCTATGAGCTCCTCCCTTACAAATACATCTTTTTCATTGTTAACTCTTCCAGAGTTTTATCATTTTATGTCATACATTTGGCCTGCCCACTATGCTTGATTTTTCACTTTGTATTTTGCACTGGTTATTGTATTCTTATGTTTTATTTATTTTATTGCGATGTTATCTTTGCTATTCTGTACTTATTATACTGTAATTGTATTACCAGGCTTGGCCTCATGTATGCTGCCCTGAGTCCCCTCTGGGGAGATGGGGGCGGGGTATAAATAAAGTTGTTTTATTATTATTATTATTATTATTATTATTATTATTATTATTATTATTATTTCTTCTCCCTACCCAACGAACAGTGTAATGGCATCTTTAAAATAAATATCCTATATCAGTTTTTAAGTAGAGGGCTGGGTTCACAGTTCCTCAGATTGTTGGGAGGCTAGACTATAGTTTGAAAAAATCATGAACCAATTCCTACGCACACTGCACATATCTTATTTGTAGAGCAAAAACATGAAAGAGCAAAACAATATTTGAAATGAAGCACAATTTTAACCAACATAAACTTACCAGTGTTTCAATGCGAAGTGTGGACTGCCTTGGGCTGATGAGATAGGCAAGTTAATTAGGATTGTCGCTGTTGTGTACCTTCAAGTCAATTTAAATTTAGGGCGGCCCTGAGACTAAAGTTTAGGGCACGGGACGGGCAAATGACCTTCAATGGCCTCATGCAACTCTTAGGACTTTGTTTGGGGACCCCTGCACTATATAATTCATGTATAAGTCTAGAAACCCAAAAATCATAGAATCATATGACCTCGTGGGCCATCCAGTCCAACCCCTTTCTGCCAAGAAGCAGGAAAATTGCATTCAAAGTACCCCCGATAGATGTCAATCCAGCTTCTGCTTAAAAGCCTCCAAAGAAGGAGACTCCATCACATTCCGGGGCAGAGAGTTCCACTGCTGAACGGCTCTCGCAGTCAGGAAGTTGTTCCTAATGTTCAGATAGAATCTCCTTTCTTGTAGTTTGAAGCCATTCTTTCACATCCTAGTCTCCAGGGAAGCAGAAAACAAGCTTGCTCCCCCCTCCCTATGACTTCCCCTCACATATTTATGCATGGTTATCATGTCTCCTTTCAGCCTTCTCTTCTTCAGGCTAAACATGCCCAGCTCTTTAAGCTGCTCCTCATAAGGCTTGTTTTTCAGATCCTTGATCATTTTGGTCGCCCTCCCCTGGACACATTCCAGCTTGTCAACATCTCCCTTCAATTGTGGTGCCCAGAATTGGACACAGTGTGATTCCAGGTGTGGTCTGACCAAGGTAGAAAGAGGGGTAGCATGACTTCCCTGGATCTAGACATTAGACTCCTATTTATGGAGGCCAAATTCCCATTGGCTTTTTTGCCACATTAAAAAAAAATCTTGGGTATACTTATAATTCTTCTTATTCTTTTTTAAGGCCCATCTCTGTGAGTAGAGTGGAAAAAGCCGAGAGCTTTTCCATCCTCAGAGCGGATTACAATGCACATATACATGGCAAACATTCAGTGCCATAGACACACAACATATATAGACAGACATGCAGAGGCTATTTAACTTTCCAGCTTCATGAGGGTATGCTCGAATTCTGGCCACCGGGGGAGCTGTCACTTCACCATCCACCTGTGACACCGATTGAGTACTTCCCCATTCTTTTGCACACTGCGGGAGATTTTTGTGGCATCATAAATTAGTTAAATTAGCCTCCCCGCATAAAGTGGTACCTAAATTTCCTACTTGACAGATGCAACTGTCTTTCGGGCGTTGCACTCCAGGGCAGGAATAATCCTCTGACTTTAAACACCACACGTTGAACAGGAAAAAAAACCAATACTTTTATTGAAAATAAGTAAAAAACAGTAAAGCAAAAAGCACTTTAAAGAAATGGGTAAATCCAATTAGGTAAGGAAATAAGGAACAAATTAGTCCAAGGTGGAGTTCAGCAAAGTCCACAAAAGCAAAGTCCACACAACTCTAATACAATCCAGAAAATCAGGAATACATTGATCCAAGGCTTGGGTAAGCAACCATGAAATCCAGGAATCAAAACCGTGAAACAAGAAATATCTTAGCATGAATCTTTACAGCAAGGTTTCCATGAACAAGGACAAGAACTTGGCATGAATCTAAACTATGCTTCATCTGACTACATATCCCAAACTTGAGACTTTTATCTCCTCGTTAGCTAGGTCACAATCAGAAATTGGTTTCTCTTCACATGAGGCTTTGTTATTATTTTCTGTTGAAGCCTGGCAGAGCACCAAAGCCATTGCTCAGCTCTCCTGTTTTGACTGATGTCTTTTCATATATCTCTTGGCTCGTTATCTATTTGCTTATTAATTTTTGCAGCTGAGCCAGGTGCAGAGCTATTTTCATGTTTTCTCTCATGAGAACTCTCTGGTAACAATTCAGAAAGCACATTATCATCTCCACACCCCTCAGGGACATTCTCATGGGAAACTACAGGGATCTCCTGGTCATTCTCTGCATCCATATCACTGACCAAACCATTGCCATGTTGAAACTCATCTTGAACCTCATTAATGTAATTCCCCACAACCAAAGCACCCTGATCCTGAAACACAATCACAGGCTGAACTCCAACATCGGGCTGCAAAGGTCGAGAGCAAACTAGACAAATGATCAGGAGCTTACTCCAGCTCGGGCTGGCTTTGAACTCATAACCTTTTGGTCAGTAGTGATTTTTTAATGCAGCTGACTCCCAACCAGCTGCGCTACAGCCCGGTCCTTTTGGTTCTGGGGTCAGGGAAAGCTTTATATTGATACAATTATCTTGGGACTATTCTGTTTTTACCATTTTTACTGCTTTGCCTACATTTATTCTGCAATAAACGGCTTGCTGTTTTCATGAAGCAGGTGTGGTGTTTAAGGTCAGAGGTGTTCCTGCTCTGGAGTACAACAAGGTGTTCCTGGAAATGGGGAGTTTGGAATAGCCTCCTAGATTGGCTTTCAATGTTCTCAAGCAGGACTACCATACAGTGACGCTTTCACTGTATGGATTCCAACATGAAAGGCAAGGTTTTCACTGGAGCGGAAGATCTTGCCACACACCGAGCACTGAAGTGGATTGAACGCATGAGTCTTTTTATGGGCAGTGAGGTTACTGTTCTGAGTGAAGCTCTTCCCACATTCGGAGCACTGATAGGGTTTCTCTCCCGTGTGGGTCCTTTGGTGGTCACTCAGGGTGCTGCTGTGTGAGAATCTCTTCCCGCAGTTCGAGCACTGATACGGCTTCTCCCCGGTGTGGGTCCTTTGGTGCCTAGTAAGGCTACTGCTTTCGTTGAAGCTCTGTCTGCACTCGGGGCACTCAAAAGGCCGCTCCCCAGTGTGGATTCTCTGGTGTGCGGTGAGGCTACCCTTCTGCGTGAAGCTCTTCCCGCACTCCTCGCAAGTATAGGGTTTCCGATTCATGTGGGTTTTCCGATCAGAAGCCAAGAGACCGCGATTTGTGACACTCTTCCCACACTCTGAGCATTGATATGGTTTCTCCCCCGTGTGGGTTCTTTTGTGATCTCTGAGACTGAACCTCTGACAAAAACCATTTCCACTCTCAGAGCATTCGTATGCCAAGCTGTTGCTCCAAATGAAGCTCCGTCCACAGTCTGAGCATTTATATGGTTTCTCCCCAGAGTAATGATCACGAAGGGGACTCGGCTTACAAAAAACCTTTCTACATTGTGAGTTTTTAAATACATTCGGCTTTGAATGGGCTTTGCTGGGTGTACTAAAGGGTGCCTTTGAGTTCCTTCTTGTGTGACTTTGTCCTAGCATCGAAGGTTCAAGGAAATCTGCATCATAATTCCTCAGTTTTGGTTTTGCTTCCATTTGACATCTGCCTTCTTCCTTTCCTTCCTTCTCCTCCCCTGCAAGAATGAAGACAGAAAACTTACCAAGGAAGAAATAAATACAGATAACAATCACAATGCTAGAAAATTCACACACCTCCTTGCGAGGCCACCTCAGTTTTAATTCAGGAGAAAAGTGGCATATACAGGGAATAAATAAAATATATGACCATTGCATGTGAGGAGAATGCTCAAAGAATGGCTGGTTGGAAAAGTTTCAAGGAACTTCTCATGACACCTAGACCAGACCTCACCCCAAACCTGTTGACAAATTAAATATTATCTTCAGTAATACTACTGGATGGAAACAGAGCTTCAAAAGTTCAAAAACACACGGTGGGGGGAACCTTACCCAGAGCAGCTAGATTTCTATGGATTTCCTCCATGACGTCCTTGTGCAAAGCCCTTTGGCTGGGATCCAGCAGCACCCACTCCTCCTCTGTGAAAGACACAGCCACATCCTGGAAGTTCAGGAAACCCTGGGAAAAGGAGGAACAATGTGAAGAGGAGGAGAAATTCAAAAAAGAAGAACACAAGTTCCTGGAAAAGAGAACATCACAATATAAAAAGCAATGGAGATTCCACCTGAACATAAGGTGGAACTTTCTAACTGTGAGAGCTGTTCAGCAGTGGAACTCTCTGCCCCGGAGTGTGGTGGAGGCTTTGGAGGCTTTTAAGCAGAGGCTGGATGGCCATCTGTTGGGCGTGCTTTGAATACTCCACTTAGGCAGAAAAAAATGAAATACAAAGATACAGAATGGGGCTTGACAGCAGGATGTGTGAAAAAGATCTTGGAGTCCGTGTGGTCAACAGGTTAAACATGAGCCAACAATGGGATGCTGCAGTTTAAAAAGCCAATGGGATTTTGGCCTGCATCAATAGGAGTCTAGTGTCTAGATCCAAGGAAGTCATGCTCCCTCAATCTTCTGCCTTGGTGAGACCACACCTGGAATCACACTGTGTCCAATTCTGGGCACCACAATTGAAGGGAGATGTTGACTTTAAGCTGGAATGTGTCCAGAGGAGGGTGACTCAAATGATCAAGGGTCTGGAGAACAAGCCCTATGAGGAGCGGCTTAAAGAGCTGGGCATGTTTAGCCTGAAGAAGAGAAGGCTGAGAGGAGACATGAGGACCATGTATAAATATGTGAGAGGAAGTCCTAGGAAGGAGGGAGCAAGCTTGTTTTCTGCTTCCCTGGAGACTAGGATGCGGAACAATGGCTTCAAACTACTAGAAAGAAGATTCCATCTGAACATGAGGAAGAACTTATTGACTGTGAGAGCTGTTCAACAGTGGAACTCTCTGTCCTGAAGTGTGATTGAGGCTCCTTCTATGAAGGCTTTTAAACAGATGCTGGATGGCCATCTATTGGGGGTGCTTTCAACGCGATTGTCCTGCTTCTTGACTGGATGGCCCACAAGGTGTCGTCCAAATCTATGATTGTATTTTTCTATCACTTATCCATAGAATCTATAGAGAGTTGTAAAAAAATAAGAATTCAAGTAATGGCACAGTTTTGTGGTTAGAAGCAGGCATTGATAGGGATTTGCCTTCTTGGTTATACCGTTTGCAAGACTGGTGCAGCAGGTTAAACCGCTGAGTTGCTGAACTTGCTGATCTAAAGATCATAGGTTCAAATCCGAGAAACGGTGTGAGCTCCCACTGTTAGCCCCAGCTTCTACCAACCTTGAAGTTAGAAAACATGCAAATGCGAATAAATCAATAGGTACTGCTCTCGTGGAAAGGTAACAGTATTCCATGCAGTTATGCTGGTCACATGACATTGGAGGTGTCTACGGACAATGCCGGCTCTTCGGCTTAGAAATGGAGATGAGCACCAACCCCGAGTCAGACTCAACTAGACTTAATGTCAAGGGGAAAGTTTTACCTTTACTAAGGGGCAGGCTGCTGGAGAGATTGTGTGTGTGTGTGGGGGGGGGGGGGGGGGGGGGGGGGGGAGGGAATTGTGAAGCACATTTAGTTTTAAATGCAATTTTAATTGTACAAGTATTATTACTGCATCTTAGCTGTGCTTTAATTTATATCCATGCCAACGTTTTTAATTTCTGTATTAGCCATTTTTAAATTTATTTGGTTGCATCATATAATTGTGAGTCACCTTGAGTCCCCGTTGGGAGAAAGGCAGGGTTAGAAATAAAGTAAATAAAAATAAATAATAAACATGGGAGGAGGCCCAATCCTCCAACTGACTGAAACACCAGCTTCTTTTGACTCCCCAGTCCTACTATAATCCAAACAGACCACTGTGGGCCAATGAAGAGGACTCCACTTAAGTCCTTTTCAGAAACAGAAACATTCCATGATTTTGGTCCTACCTGATCCGGCACTGGAGGAACCATCTCCTCTTCTCCAAACGAAGACCCAGGACTCAGTTGGAGAGTTATCTTACCACCTTTGAGAGGAAATAGAAGCAGCGAGGATATAGATTTATCCCTGATGAACACTTGAAAATTACTTTTCTGGGTCGAAACTACAGTGTTATGGTTTTACGAAAATGAAGCAGAGCAAGATTCCAACAGAAGTGGCAAACCATGAATGTAAACAATACAAATAGCGAAAGGCCTTTGGTCGATTTGGCTCAGGCATGGGCAGCCTGCCCCCTTCCTGACTGTTTTATGTCTTGAGTGAGATAAATGCAACAAGTTTGAGTGCCTCACATAATTATTGGCCATCTGTCAGGGGTGATTTGAATGCAATATTCCTGCTTCTTGGCAGAATGGGGTTGGACTGGATGGCCCATGAGGTCTCTTCCAACTCTTTGATTCTATGATTCTATGATTCTATTGGTGGCAGGGGTGGGATGATAAAATAAAAGCCCCCCCTGTCTGAAGATTTCAGTTTCCTAGGCTGAGTGTGCGAAGGAGCTCGGGCCCCAAATTCGGTAAGGGAGGTCCCAGGAGAGAGAAGTTACGATTTATTATTTATTATCCTTAATGGTGCCACCAATTTGGTGATGTGAGGTAATTTTGGGAGATTGGGCACACTAAACGCAGAATTAATGGAGATGAGGCAGTTTTACAATCAAAGAGAACAAGTTTATTTTGAAACAAAGCGTATGGTTGCAGTTTGGTGATCAACTTGGAAAATACTTGGAGAACGTTACATGTAACTTGGTTGCGATACAGTTCAGTCTTCTGATGTTACAACCTATAAATAACCTTTGCTGTCGTGAAGCACTTTATTAAACAATGGTTCCTGAGGTGAATAGTCTTCCTGTTTGACCCTTCCGTGATCAAACCTCAGATCTCTAGTTCACTTTTAACTAGTGATCTAAACGAGCTTCTATTAGTCTTCTCTAACTAATAAAACTAATAAGGTTTCCCCTTCAGCCTTCCCGAACTGAAGAAACCTCTGACTATTCACAAACACTGCTTCTCTACTTCCCACTCTCTCTCTCTCTCAACTCTTCACTTCCCTGAGCCTAAACCTAACTCTTCATTCCTCTGAGCATAAAACCTAACTTACTTTTTAACTGTCGCTTTTCAAAACTTCCCTCTCTAAGCTCCTCCCACTTCTCTACAGCATTGTTTCCATGGTAACACACTCCTCACAGCTAGGCCGCTCCAGCATTAGCATCGTTTCCATGGTAACACACTCCTCACAGCTAGGCCGCTCCAGCATTAGGGCAACCAGTGTAAACACAAATACAGTTATAATAATATCATTTACAATCAATACAGTTTATAATCATATCATTTACAATCAACTTCTGTACAGAGTGTTTCAGTGTCTGTGTTCTGGGATAAGACAGACGTGCTGCTAATGGACTTCCTTCAAAATGGTTCCATCATCAATGCAAGGTATTACACTGAACTTTTGGATCAATTGAAGGCAGCTCTGAAGGTCAAAAGGCACAGCAAGCTGTCCAAAGGAATCTTGTTCCTGCAAGATAATGCCTCCGCTCATACTGCACAAGCGACCATGGCCAAACGGGTGGAGCTAGGCTTCCAGCTGGTTGACCATCCACCTTATTCACTGGATCTAGCTCCCTCTGACTATTTCCAAACCTGAAGAAACACCTCAAGGGTACCAAATTTCACACAATTTCTGCTGCCATGGCTGCTATGCATGACTGGTTTGAAGCACAATCAAAATCCTTCTTTTTACAAGGCTTACAGAACTTAGAATACCGATGTAAGAAGTGTGTTGATATCCGTGGAGAGTATGTGGAAGAAATGTAAAGTTTCATCTTCCTATCTCGTTTCTTTCTGGGTAAAGGTTTATCAGCAGCCCCTCGTATGCACAGCAACCTAGAAATGAAAGGTCTGTTCCACAGTGTGATGTCTAATTGTGAATGGAAGGGGAAAAGGTGTTCTCTCCTACCTGGCAAGAGTACACCGTCATCCACTTGTGTCGTCCACTCGCTGGGTAACTCCTGGCCAAAGTCGATTAGATCCTTCATGCCTTCAGGAAACCCGCCAAAGACTTTGCCTTTCTCTTCCTGAAAGCAGAATCAAGATTGGTGCCCAGAAAGACAATATGGAACTGTAGAGGAGAGTCTACTGAACAAGCCAGTACCTGCCGCGTACCAGAACTGCCATTGCAACCCTTCTGAATGTAGGTCTCCTTTCTGTGCATGTATCTATTTTATTCATTTCACAGAATCATAAAGTTGGAAGAGACCTCCCGTCCATTCCGTGTCACACAGCAACAAAGAATCAAAGCCCTCCCAATGGATGGTCATCCACGTTTCCCTTAAAAACTTCAGAGAAGGTAACCCCGAGGCAGCATATTCCACTGAGGAACAATAATAATAACACTGTTTACAAGGGTTGAATGAAAAGTAATGCATCTACTTCATTGCTTAGGTTTGGATGGGAATGTTTTAATAAACCAAACGCAGAAATAATCCTTAGAATGTGCTCTTTAACTACCACTATTCACGTTTCCACATAATCACCAGACAATTGGATACATTTCTGCTAATGATGAACAAATTTTCTGAAGCCGTCATGGAAGAAGTCAACACTCTGTTTTGGGTACCCATCGTGCACAGATCTTCCAATAGCCAAGCAAAGCAATAACGTGACCCACATGTTCTTGTGACTTACCAATTATGCTTGAAATTTTTCTCTGAGTGATACGATAATCGTCCTGAATCAATCTGTCAACCTTTTGCTTGTGAAACTCAGTGGTTACTGTCACAGGACATCCAACTCTTTGTTTGTTACACAAGTCAGATGTTCCCACCTCAACATCTCTAAACTTACTCACCCAACGACGCACAGTACTCACATCAACACAATTACCATAAACAGCATTCTCTGAGGAATCTCCTTTGGGGTGACACCTTCTGCTGTCAAGAATTCAGTAACTGCACATTGCTTAAGTCAAATTGATCAACCGTCTGTGCAAGGTTCCATACTTCGCACTTTAACAACACAACCGTTCAATGCTAAGGCTGACTGCCAAAATGGAACTGTAGAGGAGAGTCTACTGAACAAGCCAGTACCTGCCGTGTACCAGTACTGCCAACTCTTGAGGGGTATGAAGGTGGAGGCATTACTATTCATTCAACCCTCGCATATTCCACCCTTGTCCCTGAGGGGACTCAGAGTGGATTACAGTATGTAAACAGGCACAAGAAAACATTCAGTGCCTTGATTACAAATGGAACTGTAATCAGTGGCTTGATTACAAGGCAACTCTTACCATGAGGAAGTTCTTTCCAATGTTTAGATGGAATCTCTTTTCCTGCCATTTGGATCCATTGCTCCACTGGGTCCTAGTCTCCAGAGCAGCAGAAATCAAGCTCTATGAAATGATGATATTGCAAAGCGCTCACCTGCCTTTCTTCCATCCTTTTCTCTGCTGAGCGGCTGAGGAGGAATCCTTCTGCCAGGGCCACGGCTTGGGCGCTGCTCTCTGCCCCGCACTCCCTCACCCAGCGCTCCATCTCCGCAGGAAGGATGGCCAGGAACTGCTCCAGCACCACCAGGTCCAGCATCTCTGCCTTGGAGTGTCGCTCTGGCTTCAGCCATTGCCAACAAAGAGAATAAAGTCGGCTGCAAACCTCTCTGGGACCTTTGTCACCCTGGGCACAGAGCTCCCTGAAATGTTGTTGTGATTCGGATGTGGTGCCAAAACACTTAGCCAGGTTCATCTTTACAGTTCTTCCCAGAATACATTCCCAAGCCCAGGGGCATCTGGGCCTGCTTCTTCCGTTTTCAGGCTCTGCAGTTTTCGCTCTTCCATCTTGGATCTGTGCTGTGGATCAGCCTCCAATGAGATTCCAATACTTTCTCCATTGTCAGTTTCTTTCTAGAGGGAAGGACAGCATGAATGGGGCTGTCAAGTTGCAATTACAACTTGCAACTACAACTTTCTATATGCATCTGTTTGACTCAGGTAGATGCTGCACAAGAAGCCGTGGGTGATTCCATTTATTCCATGGAGATTTTCCCTACCAGAAAGGAAGATAAATGATTATAATTATGGGTTGTTGTAGGTTTTTCTGGGCTATATGGCCATATTCTGGAGGCAATTTTTCTCCTGACGTTTCGCCTGCATCTATGGCAAGCATCCTCAGAGGTAGTGAGGTCTCACTACCTCTGAGGATGCTTGCCATAGATACAGGCAAAACGTCAGGAGAGAATGCTTCTAGAACATTTATTTATTTATTTAAGTTTTGTATACCGGCCTTCTCACCTCTCTTGAGGGACTCAAGACCAGTTTCCAACCATAATATCACATACAATCAATAAAACATCATAATACATATTACAGTAAAACATTAAAACAGCAATTACAATCAATAACTATAATGGTCAGTCATCACACTAAAATCGTTGCTCATCATCCTCCATCCATATCTCAGGGTGTTGGCTCACTCATCGAATGCCTGTCTCCATAACCAGGTCTTCACCTGTTTCCTAAATGTCAGGATAGACAGGGCAGTTCTGATCTCCAGTGGGAGAGAGTTCCAGAGTCGAGGGGCCACCACCGAGAAGGCCCTGTCCCTCGTCCCCACCAGACGCGCTTACGAGGCCGGTGGGACCGAGAGCAGGGCCCCTGCAGACGATCTTAACAACCTAGATGGTTCATAGGGGAGAATACGTTCGTAGAGGTAAACAGGGCCGGAGTCGTTTAGGGCTTTATAGGTTAACACCAACATGGCCATATAGCCCGAAAAAACCTACAACAACCCAGTGCTTCCAGCCATGAAAGCCTTCGACGATTATAATAATGATGATGAAAATACAGTACAAGCCTTGTATTACACTCTGAGACACGATTTTTGTCCCTGGGTGATAAATGTCATGGTTGTACCTCAGCAACAAGATGCTGGAAATGTTGGGGATTCTGGGGATTCCATGCATTGTCGAAGGCAGGTGGAGTTTGGAGAAAATACACTGACATTTGGGAGTTGTAGTTACTTGGATTTATAGTTAACCTACAATCAAAGAGCATTCTAACCCCACCAACGACAGAACTGGGGCAAACTTTGTGTTTTTTAAATGCATTTTAACTGTACCCTCAACTTGCTTCTGACACAATAAATATAAATAGTTTAAATACTTAAAATATCACACTCCACCCTCTTTAGGTTTCATTGTTGGTGCTTCCCCCCTCCATTCACAGTCTCTATTGTCTGAACCCCTATTTCTTCCTTTTTGTAGCCTTTGCACCCCAATGCCCTTTGCATGCAGCAGATCCCTTGGAAAGGACAAGGAATAAAAGAAGAGAGGCTGATGATAATGAGTCCTCCCCAAATGAGAAAGCATTTTTAATTTAAAATACATCTTTCCTTCTTGCTTGATTTCTTCTCCCATTGTCCCCCGCCCCTCCCCCCCCCCCCCCCCAATAGCTTGCACTGCTACTCACCAAATCCCTGGGAAGACTTTGGAGGGGGGCGATACTGGGCTTTGCCAGCAGGTAGAGCTATTGGGAATAGGCTCTGGCTGCCTCTAGGACTCCCATCTCCATCACTTTAACCCTGTGCTGCTTTTCCAGCCTCCAAAAAGGGTACCTTGCAGAAAGAATGCAGTTTGACCCCACTTGAACTGCCATGGCTCAATGCTATGGGGTTCCTGGGAGTTGTAGTTTCATAAGGTTCATAAGGTCCTCAGCCTTCTCTGCCAGAGAGCACAAATCCCAGGAGTCATGGCAGCAAAAGTGGTGTCAAGGTGCATTTATTCTATAGTGTAGATTAGGTATGGGCTAACTTGGGCCCTCCAGGTGTTTTGGACTCCAACTCCCATCATTCCCAACAGCCTCAGGCCCCTTCCTTTTCCTCCTCAGCCTCTTAAGCTTGGGTGTGATCCTGGATTCATTGCTGAGCCTGGAACCCCAGGTTTTGGCGGTGACCAGGGGAGCATTTGCACAGTTAAAGCTTGTGCGCCAGCTGCACCCATACCTTGGGAAGTCTGATCTGGCAACAGTGGTCCACGCTCTTGTTACATCCTGAATAGATTACTGCAACACGCTCTTTGTGGGGCTGCCTTTGAAGACTGTCCGGAAGCTTCAAATGGTCCAATGAACGGCAACCAGATTACTAACAGGAGGGGCACTCAGGGAGCGTACAACTCCTCTGTTGCACCAGCTCCATTGGCTGCCAGTTTGCTACCGGGCACAATTCAAAGTGCTGGCTTTAGCCTATAAAGCCATAAACAGTTCTGGCCCAACTTACATGTCCAAACACATCTCCTCTTATGAACCCTCCAGGAATTTAAGATCATCTGGGGAGGCCCTGCTTTCATTCCCATCTGCCTCACAGGCGCTTAGCAGGGATGAGAGACAGGGCCTTCTCAGTGGTGCCCCCTCGGCTGTGGAACTCCCTTCCTGGGGATATTAGATTGGCTCCCTCCCTCCTGACTTTGAGGAAAAGAGTAGAAACCTGGCTCTTCAAGCAAGCTTATGGAACCTCATTGTAACCAGACAAACTCAGTATTGTAAACGACTATAGAAGGTTGTTGTAGGTTTTTTCGGGCTATATGGCCATGTTCTAGACCAGTGGTTCTCAACATGTGGGTCCCCAGATGTTTTGGCCTTCAATTCCCAGAAATCCTAACAGCTAGTAAACTGGCTGGGATTTCTGGGAGTTGTAGGCCAAAACACCTGGGGACCCACAGGTTGGGAACCACTGTTCTAGAGGCATTTCCTCCTGACATTTCGCCTGCATCTATGGCAAGCATCCTCAGAAGTTGTGAGGTTTGAGAAGTTGAGAGGTTGACCTCACAACCTCCGAGGATGCTTGCCATGGATGTGGGCAAAATGTCAGGAGGGAATGGTTCTGGAACATGGCCACACATGGCAAACTTTGGCTCTCCCTCCAAGTGTTTTGGACTTCAACAGCCCGGAAAACTCACAGCAACCCAGTGATTCCAGCCATGAAAGCCTTTGACAAGACTACGGAAGGGCTTAACAATGCAAATGGACATGGATTTAAAACTGGAAGTCATTGATTTTATAGTTTTAAATTGTTTTTATATGAATTTTAATATGTGATTTAACCTGTTTTAAATGATGTACTTACGTGTGTTTGGCATCTAATTATTGCCAGTCTGTATGCTGCCCCGAGTTGCCTTCAGGTTGCAAAGGGTGGGATAAAAGTGTGGTAAATAAATAAAATAAATAGATGCCAATCTCCATTTTTCTCCAGTATGTTCTTTTTTCCTGTTTGACATCACTGGCCTTAAGTCAGTGAAGCTTCAAACACTGGTGATGCTGCATTGTGTGCATACCTATGCAATTGTCATTTTTGGAACGCTATCTGTTGTTGTTGTTGTTGTTGTTGTTGTTGTTGTTGTTGTTGTTTTTCATTGCTTTCCAGTCAGCTTTGACTTAGGACCATTTGATACATAAGAAGAGGCTTCTAAAAGAGTATTGCTGTTGGATTTGTTGAAACTGTAGAAGGAATGCAGCATGTCACCACTTGAACTGCCAGCGCTCAATGCTATGGGAGGCTTGTCGTTTTGCAGGGTCTTTCCCTGCCAAAGAGTGGTGGGGTCTCAATCAAACTACAACCAATGCGGAAAGCTAAAGTCTGGGTTTCTATGAGTTTTCTAGGCTGTATGGCCATGTTCCAGAAGCATTCTCTCCTGATGTTTCACCCTCATCTATGGCAGGCATCCTCAGAGGTTGTGATGCAACATTCCCACTTACCTCAAGCAGACAAGAGTTCTTTCTCCCACCCTGGACTTCCCAGAGATATATAAAACCCACTTGTCTAGTTTCCATCTAGCACTGGGGATGCCTGCCATAGATGTGGGTGAAATGTCAGGAGAGAATATTTCTGGAACATGGCCACACAGCCCGGAAAACTCACAGCAACCCAGTGAGTTGCAACCCAGTGAGGGCCAAAGCCCTTGTAAAACTACAAATCCCAGTTAAAGTATAGTACCATACATTTCAAGGGCCCCTGTTGGCGCAGCAGGTTAAACAACTGAGCTGCTGAACTTGTGGACCAAAAGACTGGTGGTTCAAATCTGGGGAATGGTGTGAGCTCCCACTGTTAGGCCCATCTTCTGCCAACCTAGCAGTTTGAAAAGACACAAATGTTGAGTAGATCAATAGGTAACACTTCTGTGGGAAGGTAATGGTGCTCCATGCAGTCATACTGGCCACATGACCTTGGAGATGTCTACAGACAACGCTGGCTCTTCGGCTTAGAAACGGAGATGAGCACCAACCCCCAGAGTTGGATACGACTAGACTCAGGGGAAATTTTTAGCTTTACTTACCATACATTTATCCCTCTTGGAATCCATTTAGCTTTGGTTCAGTTCTTTCAACCTGCTAAGGTCAGTTTGGATTCTGATCCTGTCCTCTGGGATATTGGCTCTTCCTCCCAATTTGGTGCAAATGTCCTTGTTGTGTCTATCTCTTACTATAAGGCAGAGGTTGGTTCTGAATTTGGCAACCCTCTCATTACAAGCAGAGCTGCTTTCCACCAGCTGAGCCTTGGCAACCTCCTGCCCAGGCTGGAGTGGCACCAGTTCTCCCAGTCTGTCAGGCTCAGCCCAACCCAGTAAGGACAGGGAGTGGTGGGAGTTATAGTCCCAAACTCTGAGTTGCTGTGAGTTTTCCGGGCTGTATGGCCATGTTCTGGAAGCATTTCCTGCAGGCGAAACATCAGGAGATAATACTTCTGAACATGGCATACAGCCCGGAAAACTCACAACCCAACCCAGTGATTCCTGCCATAGAAGCTTTCAACAATACAAAGTCCAAAACTCCTTCTTGAAACCAAGTTTTTACCTGCCTCCATATCCCAAAATGTAGAGACTTTTGCAGCAATATTGTTGTTGTTGTTGTTGTTGTTGTTATTCAAAACACAACAAGATGAGTCCACAGCAGACACTCTACTGGCTGTTGTATTGGATCGAACTTTTATATATTGTTTTTGCTTTTATGTATTGTGGACACTCTGTCCATATGTAAGCCACACCGAATCCCTTCGAAGAGATGGTGGCAGGGTAGAAGAATAATTTTTATTATTTTTATTATTATTATTTGATAAATAACAAGATTAGTACACAGTAAACAAGATCACTGTGCTGGCTTTTGCATTTGAACACATGTCAGACACTTTCCAAGTGTCTAGGACTGTGTGATATATCGGCAAATAATGTGTGCAGATCCCAGTAGAGTGGCCTTTTGCAGCTGGCAGATGGTAAACACAATCAGCACCAATTGTATTTAAGTGCTGGCCAAGGTCTTTAGGCACTGCAGCCAGTGTGCCGATCACTACTGGGACCACCTTTACTGGTTTGTGCCACAGTCTTTGCATATTATTATTATTATTATTATTATTATTATTATTATTATTATTATTATTATATTCCTTCCCATCTCCCCAAAGGGACTTCATCAGGACTACAATTCCTATCAACCCCACTGGTTGGATTCTGTGCTAAAGAAAACATAGTTCACCTTGCAAATGGAAAAGGAAATCAAATGCTGAGCAATGATTTTAGTTGCACTTTAATCTCATGTGACAATTTCACAGAAAAGCAGGTTCTAAATCTAGAAGACAGGTGGTTTCTTCATCCTACACAATCAACAGAATCGAGCCATTCATGCCAATACATCACCGAGATGCCCATCCCTGAGAAAGCCATCCACCAACACAAGGGGATTGTTTTGGGTATCGAAGGGTTCATCTACACCAGGCATATGCAAACTTCGGTATTTTGGACTTCAACTCTCACAATTCCCTACGACCTAAGGCCCTTTCCTTTTCGGCCCTCTTTGGGGCCTGAGGCTGTTAGGAATTGTGAGAGTTGAAGTCCAAAACACTTGGAGGGCCAAAGTTTGCCCATGCCTGGATTATAGCCAAACCCTGCATATGTCACTTTGCTGTTAGGGATTGTGGGTATTGAAGTCCAAAACACCTAGAGGACTGGAGTTTACCCATGCCTGCTATAACCTAAGCTTTGAGCAGTTTCTTTGGAGGACTACAACTCCCCGAATAGCCTAGCCAGCAACTGGAGGAGTCTACAAATATGCACATTTTGAGAATACTTAGTGGCATGGAAGGTTGTTATTAATATAATGGAGATTGAAACACAGTGTCTTTAAGTCTGCTATACGGCAACGTTTGTAACCACTTCTGGTCCCACTTTCTTCATTGGCATGTACTTCTTGCCAAGTGTGCCATCTTGTTCTTGGGATACAAGACGTGGGTCAGAGAATGGTAAGACAATCTTATTGGTTGGGAAACCAGGAGAAATGTCCTGGATTTAACATTTAATAATGTAAAAGAAATCATACAAGGTCTGTGTTGTCGAAGGCTTTCATCACCAGAATCACTGGGTTGTTGTGTGTTTTTGTGCATGGCCATCTTCCAGAAGCATTCTCTCCTGATGTTTCACCTGCATCTATAGCAGGCACCCTCAGAGACTGTGAGGTCTGTTGGAAATTGGGTTTATATATCTGTGGAATAATGTCCAGGGTGGGAGAAAGAACTCTTGTCTGCTTGAGGTAGGTGTGAATGTTTCAATTGGCTACCTTGATTAGCACTGAATGGCCTCGCAGCTTCAAACCCTGGCTGCTTCCTGCCTGGGAGAATAATTTGTTGGGAGGTGTTAGCTGGCCCTGATTGTTTCATGTCAGGAATCCCCCTGTTTTTTTGAGTGTTGTTCTTTATTTACTGTCCTGATTCTAGAGGTTTTAAATACTGGTAGCCAGATTTTGTTCATTTTCATGGTCTTCTCCTTTCTGTTGAAATTGTCCACATGCTTGTGGATTTCAATGGCTTCTCTGTGTAGTCTGACATGGTGGTTGTGAGAGTGGTCCAGCACTTCTGTGTTCTCAAATAATATGCTGTGCCCAGGTTGGTTCATCAGGTGCTCTGCTATGGATGACTTCTCTGGTTGACTTAGTCTGCAGTGCCTTTCATGTTCCTTGATTTGTGCCTGGCCAATGCTGCTGTGTGTGGTGGTCCCTATGTATGCTTGTCCACAGCTGCACAGTACACGGTAGACTCCTGCACAGTAGACTCATTTGGTACTTTTAAAACCTCTCTACTGTCACTAGCTTCTTGCTGTCAGTCAACTACCTGAGTTAGTTGCAGAGCGGAGAGGATCCCTCTTGTCCCTTGCTCAATGTAGCATTTGGATTTTCTTGGTGGGTGGACACTAGTGGCTGGACACAGCATATTCTTTGAGGACACAGAAATGCTGGACCACTCTCACAACCACCATGTCAGGCTACACAGAGAAGCCATTGAGATCCATAAGCATGTGGACAATTTCAACAGAAAGGAAGAAAGCCTGAAAATGAACAAAATCCAGCTGCCAGTATTAAAAAACCTCTAAAATCATAACAGTAAATAAAGAACAACACTCAAGAGCAGGGAAATTCCAGACAAAAAACAATCAGGGCTAGCAAATCACCACCCAACAAAGGATTCCCCCAGGCGGTAAGAAGCCAAACTTTGAAAACTGCTAGGCCATTAAATGCTAATCAAGGTGGCCAACTGAAACATTCACACCTATCTCAAATAGACAAGAGTTCTTTCTCCCACCCTGGACACCATTCCACAGATATATAAACCCTATATATATATATATATATATATATATATATATATATATATGAATTATTATTATTATTCTTTTCCTAGTTTCCATCAGATCTCACAACCTCTGAGGATGCCTGCTGTAATGGATCTAACTCACCTTAGAAAGTTAGTATGTGGCCTACCTTAGAAGGTCAGTGTGTGAGCAGCCATCTTGTCACTTTCACAGTGCAGCCACACCAGTGGAGAAGCTATTTGCATGACAGCGACCTGATTGGCTGGATGCAAATGAGCAGGTGCCAAGATTTGAAAGATGGGCGGAGTCAAGGATGACAGTTGGAGGAACCCAACTGAACATTCTATGTCAGTTGGTCAGTTAGCTGGAGTCAGCTGGAGAATTAGCTAGGGAATAGCTTAGGTAGTTGACTGATAGCAAGAAGCTAGTGACAGTAGAGAGGTTTTCAAAGTACCAAGTGGTCAGGACCTCTACATCAGGTCAAAGATGGTTGGAAACCAGTTTTCATATGTTAATATTAAAAAGCCTTTTAGGAAAGAGGAAAGGCTTGAATGAAAGTCATGCTGAAATGTTGTTTTGTAACATCTTCATAAAAGAATATTTACCCCATTTGCAACCACCAAGCACAGTGGCCCTTCTTTCTCATGCCAGTAATGTAATGCTCAAGATCCTGCAAGGAAGACTCCAGCAAGACGTGGAGAGAGAGTTGCCAGATGGACAAGCTGGGTTTAGAAAAGGCAGAGGAAGGAGAGAACAAATTGCCAATATCCGCTGGATAATGGAGAAAGGCAGGGAGTTTCAGAAAAAAACATCTATTTCTGTTTTATTGACTATTCTAAAGCCTTTGACTGTGTGAATCAGAATAAATTGTGGCAAGTTCTTGGTGGTCTGGGCATACCAAGTCACCTTGTCTCTCTCCTGAGGAATCTGTACAAGGACCAAGTAGCAACAGAACTGACCGTGGAACAACAGACTGGTTCAAGATTGGGAAAGGCGTGTGGCAGGGTTGTATAGTCTCACCCAATCTATTCAAATTGTATGCAGAACACATCATGCGATGTGCGGGGCTTAACGAATGCAAGGCTAGGGTGAAAATTGCTGGAAGAAACATTAACAACCTCAGATATGCAGATGACACCACTTTGATGGCCGAAAGCAAGGAGGAGCCGAGGAGCCTTCTAATCAAGGTGAAAGAAGAAAGCATAAAAGCTGGGTTGCAGTTAAGCATAAAAAAAACCAAGATTATGGCAACAAGAATAATTGACAACAGGGAAATAAAGGGAGAATAGGTGGAGGCAGTGACAGACTTTGTATTTCTAGGTGTAAATATGACTGCAGATGCAGACTACAGGCAGGAAATCAGGAGACGCTTACTTCTTGGGAGGAGAGCAATGACCAATCTCAATAAAATAGTGAAGAGTAGAGACATCACACTGGCAACGAAGATCCACATAGTCAAAGCAATGGTATTCCCCGTAGTAACCTATGGATGTGAGAGCTGGACCTTAGGGAAGGCTGAGCGAAGGAAGATAGATGCTTTTGAACTGTGGTGTTGGAGGAAAGTTCTGAGAGTGCCTTGGACTGTGAGAAGATCCAACCAGTCCATACTTCAGGAAATAAAGCCGACTGCTCATTGGAGGGAAGGATAGTAGAGGCAAAGATGAAGTACTTTGGCCACATCATGAGAAGACAGGAAAGCTTAGAGAAGACAATTATGCTGGGGAAAATGGAAGGAAAAAGGAAGAGGGGCCGACCAAGGGCAAGATGGATGGATGGCATCCTTGAAGTGACTGGATTGACCTTGAAGGAGCTGGGGGTGGTGACAATTGACAGGGAGCTCTGGTGTGGACTGGCCCATGAGGTCACGAAGAGTCAGAAACGACTGAACGAATGAACAACAAACCAACAGTTACTGTTTTACTTTAAGCAAAGTCCCACTTTCAATCTCTAAGCCTCAACTTAAATAATCAAGGCTCCTGAACAGAAAAGGTGGCAAAGATAATTAAAACACCCTTGCCTGATGGATTCATTCCTCTACATTGTATGGTGGCAGCAGAATTAAACATTTATATTTATTGGTGGGATATCCAAGAAAGGTGGGATATCTCCAAAATAGCTGGCCAGAGAAAAGGAAGGGAGGCCCTTTTGCACCTGCCATAGATGCAGGCGAAACGTCAGGAGAGAATGCTTCTGGAATATTGCCATACAGCCTGGAAAACTCACAACAACCCATACAAGGCCTGTGACTTCTCGGTTGATCTTCACCTTGCACAGCCTGTCTAGAGATTGAAAAGGTCCTCCCAAAAACTATGTGGGCAGATTCCCATACCCAAAGCGTCCTTGGTCAGACATCGACACTGATTGCTTGATGTGAAAGGGACTCAGATCAGCTCCATGGGGGTCAAAACGCTACATGGAATGTTCTCTTTTATTGTATCACTACAAAAAATTTCTGAATAAAAATCTATATAGATATATATACACTGCACGGAGTTGATCTGAGGCCACCGTAAAACTAACCAAAGTAGGGGAATGCTCCAAATTATGGCCCACGACTTTGGACCAGTGTGAACAGTTGGGCTGATCCAAGACGGAACCTGCAGTGACTCTTTTCACTGCCGTCCAGTGTTTCCCAGGTTTGGGTCAATGTAGATTCATCCTTTATTTCAGCACCTTTCTCATAGAATCATAGAGTTGGAAAAGACCTCGTGGGCCATCCAGTCCAACCCCCTGCCAAGAAGCAGGAAAATTGCATTCAAAGCACCCCCAACAGATGGCCATCTAGCCTCTGTTTAAAAGCCTCCAAAGAACGAGCCTTCACTACAACCTTCTCAACCTTCAAGTGGTTCAGGAAAGACCCAAAGACGTCTATTACTTCTTTCTAGTATACTAACAATTGGAAAGGGTTGAGGTTTTCCCAACTTCTCAAGGCATGTTTATATTCAGCACAGTGTGCAATACCAACCATGCATTTAGCAATGGGCTCTGAATGGTAATATCTGACAAAGAGACATAATACACATACATAGAGGTGGAGTGAAAGCCAGTAGTATTTAGCGTGACACAGGATGCTTTGAAAATACAAAGACACCTTCAAGTGTGTGAGACCATTTGTCTGTCCAGGGCAATGCTGTCTGTTGTGCTCTGTTCCTTTCCGGAAGCGCCTCAGGTAAAGGCGTATCCCATCATCCACTACCGGAATCCTTTTGGGGAGGCAGCAAGATGATGTGAGAAGTCACCAAAAAGAGCAATGCCAGGCCTCATGTCCCCCCCCTTCTGTTTTAGGTGGCCTTTCCCCTTTGTAATAATATGGCACGGAGTCCCGGAGAGATGTTCTCCTGCCTCTCAGCCTAAGCAGCCTTCCTGCTCCCCGTGGCTCCGCTGGTGCTTCACCAGATGCGCCGTCTGGCGGAAGGTCTTCCCACAGGCCGAGCAGACGTACGGCTTCTCTCCTGTGTGGATCCTCATGTGCCGGAGGAGGTGTGAATGGCAGCTAAAACCCCGGTCGCAGTCCAGGCACCTGAACTTCTTTTTCCCTTTGTGGCTCCTCTTGTAGTTCCGCAAGCTCAGGTTCAGGCTGTTTCTCTCATCGCACTTGGCACAACGACAGGGCTTCCCTCCTGCCGGTGCCACCTGGCCTAGGATTTTCCCACAGTCGGTGCATTTATTCAGGCCTTCACTTGTGTGCACCGTTCGCCTGTGCCTGTTGAGGGTCGTCCTGCGGGTGAAGCTCTTCCCGCAAACGGGGCACACATTCGTCCCTGTCTCTCCTTGGTGCCCCGTTTGGGGGACAGTGAAGTCAAAGCTGGCACTGCCCTCTTGGTGCATTACGGGTTTCGATTTCCAGATCCCTGAAGGTTCTTCCAGCTTTTGTTCGCCTCGGTTCTCTTTCTCGGACGCTTCCGTCCCTTCCAGTGTCACTTGAAGTAGACCCTCTTTGTTCTGAATGGTACACTTGCCGCATGCTGAAAGAAGATATAAAGGAACCCACATTAGGACAATCCCTTCCCACAGAGAAAAATTACAGTCTCCATTGATGAATGAATTGCATGATTGGGGTCTGGCTAGGGCCTATCAAGATCTGTCAAGACACCATCCTAAAAACAGAACCTAGAAAAGGCCTTCTCTGTGGTGGCCCTCCGACTCTGGAACTCTCTCCCCAAGGACATCAGACAAATCCCAACGTTGGCTGTCTTTAGGAAGAGCCTGAAGACCTGGCTGTTCCAGTGTGCCTTTCCAGAATAGGAAACTCCTGGTTTCAAGTCCCAATTGCACTTTGCTAGAGACTCAGGATTATCTGCACATTGCACCTACCTCCATATACCTCTACATATTACCTGTCAAGTTCAGCATTTTAAATTTTGTCCATTACATTTGGCCCGGTCTTTGGTTTTAATTGTGTCACGGTGTCATTGTCTTACTGTTTTATTGTTTTGCTTGATGTTTTATTATTTGCTTATGAGTTTATTGTGTATTGTATGTTGTTGATTGTTGGTGGCCTTGGCCTTTGTAAGCCGCATTGAGTCCTACGGGAGATTTTGCGGGGTATAAATAAAGTTAATAATAATAATAATAGTAATAATAATGTATTGTCGAAGGCTTTCATGGACGGAATCACTGGGTTGCTGTAATAATAATAATAATAATAATAATAATAATAATAATAATCTTTATTTATACCCCGCCACCATCTCCCCAAAGGGGACTCGGAGCGGCTTACATGGGGCCAAGCCCGAACAAGAATGACAATATAATAATACAAATTGCAATAAAATAAACAACATAACATTAAGATATTAATCATCAAAGCATATAAAACAATATACACAGAACATAGGGACATAATGACAGAAAGACAAAAGGCGGGCTGCATGTACATAAAATGATTTTAAAACTCCGGGTGAGATAAGGGGGCAGAACTAATTGTAAGGGAAAACATAGAAAGATAGGAAAATAAACAAAACCTTCGTACATGGGGGGGGGGGGAACTCCTGGGACAAGAACGTTGGGGGAAAATTAGCATAAAATTATGTGGTTACTCTTCGAAAGCACGATGGCAGAGCCAGGTCTTAAGACTCTTTTTAAAGGTTTCCAAGGTAGGGGCTTTCCTAATCTCTCCGGGAAATGAATTCCAGAGTCGGGGGCCACTGAGAAGGAGGCTCTCTCCCTTGTACCCATAAGGCGAGTCTGAGAGACTGGCAAGGGCGAAAGGAGGGCCTCACCTGAAGATCGAAGGGTTCGAGCTGGTTCGTGGAGAGAGATGTGGTCACGAAGGTAGGCGGGTCCCAAACCGTTTAGGGCTTTATAGGTAAGAAATTGTACCTTGAATTGGGACCGGAAGATGAATGGCAGGTTTTTCTGGTCGTATGGCCATGTTCTAGAAGCATTCTCTCCTGACATTTCGCCTGCATCTATGGCAAGCATCCTCAGAGGTTGTGAGATTTTTCTTTTAATTCTTCCTGACTCCAGACTGGCCTTTCTCTGGCCAAAAAAATTGGAGGAGGTGCAAATCCTCCCATGGCCATTATTATTATTATTATTATTATTATTATTATTATTATTATTATTAGCTGTCCCCTGCCACATGTTGCTGTGGCCCAGTATGTGAATATGTGCTTTGTGTGTGTATATATTTGTGTGTATGTGTATATATGTGTGTTTGCGTATATATATGTGGTTATGCGCATGCATTGTAATGTAGTTTTTTATTTTTTTGGCTTTTTTAGTCCCTTCTGCTGTGTTTTTCAGTGTTTTTATGACTGATGATCACTCATTGGCTTGATAGATGTATTGTGTCCAAATGTGGTGTCATTTTGTCCAGTGGTCTTTGAGTTATGTTAATCCCACAAATGAACATTAGATTTTTATTTATATATATATGATAATGATGATGATGATGATGATGATTAATACCCCACTTTTTCTCTCCACAAGGAGACCGGGTTGTGGTGCAGCTGGTTGGGAGTCAGCTGCATTAAAATCACTGTTGACTGAGAGGTCATGAGTTTGAAGCCAGCCCGGATCAGTGTGAGCTTCCAGCCATTTGTCTAGCTTGCTGTCGACCTTGTAGTTGCATCTGTTAAGTAGAAAATTTAGGGACCACTCTCCAACATTTGTACCAAAAGGGTTACAAATCAGTTTTTGGTCAACTATAGATTCGGTTTGGTTATTTGGGGTGCTGATTCAGAAAATTGCATCGGATAGACCGCATCAGATCTAGTTTCTGCTACAGAACATATGCCATCCAGTAGTTGCCATCTGCTCACCCACAGAAAACCATATTTAATAATCTAGAGCTGATGTGGTAGTGATAATCTTTCATGGGTCGTCAGCCGATCCCCTCTCGACATCCCTTGTCACTATAAGAGGGTTTCGCGAGACCAGTCGCTCTCGTTGCCGTGTGGTTTCAAGGCAACGGTGAAGTAATGGTGAGGCCGCGGATCATATTTTCATTCTTGCAGGTCACTGGTGGTTCATGGACCACAGGTTGGGAACCACTGGGTTAAAACAACCCCTTATAAGAGATATGGGCATATACTTAACTTGCAGTCACAAAGCACATGGAGAGGACACAACGTATCATTATTTATTTATTTATTTATTTATTTATTTATTTATTTACCCCATTTATATCCTGCCCTTCTCACCCCGAAGGGGATTCAGGGCAGCTCACAACAAAGGTACAATTCAATGCCTTGAGTATATATAAAATAAAACAACATACACTTTAAAATCAAATAATTCAAACATGTCATTTAAAACGGTTACTTAAAATCACATAGTCCAAAAGCATGAAAACCGCTCTCCCTCTCTATCTATCTGTCTGTCTGTCTATATACACATACATATGATTTGTTGCTCATTTCACATAGATGCAGAGGTTTCTCGTTCTATTTGTGTGGCACATCTACACATTGCACCCAAGGTGGGAATATTTTAGAACCTTACTAGCTCGCGCAGGAGGGGGGCGGGGACAGGGGAGTCATTTTCGTGTATGCGCTATATCGTCATTTAGCTTTTTGGGGATTTTAAATCCTTGCCGACATGTTTTTAGGGTTTTTATGAGTGATGGTACTCGTTGGTCTGTTAGGGGTGCAATGTCCAAGTTTCATGTCAATTTGTTCAATGGTTTTTGAGTTATGTTAACCCCACAAACATATATGGTTCCAGCCCAGTGTATCTGTCCGAACGTATCTCCCTCTATGTCCCATCTCGGAGTTTAAGATCTTCTGTGGAGGCCCAGCGCCTTCTCGGTGGTGGCCCCCCGCCTGTGGAATTCACTCCCCAGCGAAATTAGGTTATCCACATCCCTCTTTTCCTTCAGAAAGAAGTTAAAAACATGGTTGTGGGACCAGGCCTTTGGGTAACATGCTGACAATGACAATAGTAATGATGACAATTCACTATGGAAATGGACTATGGACCATGGACAAGCTTCTGATAGAATCTCTGGTCACAGAATTTGGCTTAGATTAGGCCACCAGGCTGTAATGTTTTAAACAGTCTTAAAATGGAATTGATCTAATGTTTTTATCTATATGTAATTATTGCGTTTATTATGTGTATATAGGGGCATTGAATCGTTCTTGGCTGTAAGTCCCCTCCCGGGGGTTGAGAAGGGCAAGGTATAAATATTTGAAATAAATAAATAAACAAACATTACATTTTTATTTATATAGACTTAGAGAGACTAGTAATTGAACTAAGGGCTGTCTACATATGAAGCTACAATGCCTGCCTGTGATCTGCCTAAGATCTTTCAAAATAGAAATACCTGGGGCCTTTTTGCAAGGAAAACAAGAGCTTCTACATCCAGCTGTGGATTATCTCTATGTATACCAATAATACGAAAAGTGCTCATCAATATACCATAGCGCCTGCATTATCTGTTTGCAATTCGCAGACATTGTGTGTATATGTGAAACCGTGGTTCACAGTGAACCCTATTGAAATGAAGGCCCTATGGGTGAAGTATACTACAGTGTTCCCTCACTTTTCGCGGGTGTTACGTTCCAGGACCGCCCGTGAAAAGTGAAAATCTGCAAAGTAGGGACTATATATGTATGTATAGTGTGTGTGTGTATGTATATGTATAGAAAGAGCATTCCAAGGGTGAAGCAGAAGCGAGGAGAGATTTAAAGGCATCACACACCTCTTTTTTTTTTGCTAGCTATAAGGAAGGGGCTATAATGCCGTGATTTACATTCTGCTTTGTATCTCCTCTCTCTCTTTTTTAATGATTGGCTGCCTCTCTCTTGCAGGGGAGGGTGAAACCCCCTTCCACACTCCATCATTGCCAGGAGGCAAAAACCTGCGAAACAGTGAGTCCACAAAAAGCGAACTGCTAAGTAGCGAGGGAACACTGTGTTACATTAAGTCGTAGCAGGATCAAGTGTGTGTTAAAGAAAAACCTTATGATGCTAATTATTATGTGCAGCTGGTAATGTAGGTCAGCCAGCATGTTTGAGCCACACCTTATATGTCATTTAGGGTGTAACTGTATGGATTTTAGGGTGTAACTGTATGGATTTTAGAATACAGTTTGGAGAAGCAATACGCTACTTTGAGGAGGAGAAGCAATATGAGGAGTAGCAGCAATCAGGGATTTGAGATCATCATAGGAGGCCCTTCTCTCGATCCCATCTGCTTCACAAGCACGTCTGGCGGGGACGAGAGATAGGGCCTTCTCTTTGGTGACCCCTCGACTACGGAAGTCCCTACCTAGGGATATTAGATCGGCCCCCTCCCTCCTGACCTTTCGAACAAAACTGAACACTTGGCTTTTCGAACAAGCCTTTGGAACCTTGTTCTAAGTATAACTTAGAAAAACTTGAATCGGAAAATGATCTAGGAATGGCTATGACGAAGGAACGGATGAGGACTGAACACAAAGACATAGTTTTAAAACTTTTTATTGTTTACTGTTTTATGCTTTTAAATGTTTAGAGATGTTTTTTTATTTTTGTTAATGTATGCATTTTATATATGGCATCGAATTGTGGCGACTTCTTCGTCACCCTGAGTCGCCATCGGGCTGATATGGGCGGGGTAGAAATAGCGTAAGTAAGTAAATAAATAAATAATGCTGCTATGCTCTAACAGCGATGCTCTTTGCTATGGTGGAATAGCTATTTACTCAAGGTTTATGTTTTGCTCTCATTTGAATGAAGATGAAGAAGCCTTATTCTGTGTTACTTACAAGGACTATGTAAGTTTGCACTGCTTGATTTTGCATGCAACACTGCAAATGTATGCCTCCGTTGATAAGAGTAAAGTTTTTCTGTTCCTTTTTCCTCTTGCCTGTGTGTTTTTTGCATGGGACTTGGCTAAAATTCGCTTCTGTGCAACACACTGTATAGAGTTGTGCTGGGTGACCTGGGAAAGGCTTAGAGAGGACGTATTTTGTCAGGTGTGGATAACTGAAACCCTGGATATGGGGACTTCACTCAAATAAAGTAATTCTGGGGATACACTGTATCCATGCTTCCTCAGTCTTCACCCTTTACCTGGCGCTGCTCACCTGTGTGGGTCCTCAGGTGTCTCACAAGATTCTCCCTCCTGGTGAAGCTCCGGTTGCAGACAGCGCACAGGTGCAGCTTCAGCCCAGTGTGGAGCTGCTGGTGCCGAAAGAGGTTGGCTCTCCGCGTGAAGCTGTGCCCACACATTGTGCAGATATGCAGCTTGGGCCCTGTGTGGTTTATCTGATGTCTCCTGAGGTTGGACGTCTGGCTCAGGCCTTTCCTGATATCAGTATAGACATTATTCGTTTGCATCTCCGGTTGTGGGAGTGTGATTTCAAGGCGCTCCTCCCAAGTATCATCAGGCACTGTTTTGTTCCAGTTTTCCATCTGGATTGGCTCTACATGAGTTTCCGCTTCAACCGTATTCATGATGTTGACTTCCAGCTCTCCCCTTGCCGTATCATATTCAACCAGCAACTCATCACTTCCTGGAAGAGGGAAAAACATTACTTTCAGAAGCAGGAGTCCTTCATCTTTATCCTTGGGGAAAGAGGGGGATTATTAGTACACATTACTCCCCATAAGAGGTGTGAACATATACATATACCTAAATGCTGTGTCCAGTTGTGGACACCACAATTTAAGAAACAAGAATAACTAGAACTAGAAACTAGAATGTGTCCAAAGGAGAGTGACCAAAGTGGTGGAAGATCTGGAGGCCATTAATCCCTCTGAGGAGCGGCTTAAAGAACTGGGTCTGTTTATCCTGCAGTCAGAAGAGAATCATAAAATAATAACATTGGAAGAGACCACATGAGCCATCTAGTCCAGCCCTCTGCTATGCAGGAAAAGCACAATCAAAGTACCCCTGACAGGTGGCCATCCAGCCTCTGTTTAAAAGCTTCCACCAAATTCCAAGGCAGAGAGTGCCACTGCTGATCAGCTCCTCTTACAATCAAGATGTTCTTCCTAATGGTCAGGTGGAATCTCCTTTCCTGTCATTTGAACCCATGGCTTGGAGTCCGAGTCTCCAGGGAAGTCTGCAACCCTCTTCCTTCTGGCATCCTTTCACATATTTAGTACGGTTGGATAGGTTTGTTTGGAAGAGCCTGAAACTCGTAAAAAACTTCAGACTTTTGACTTTCGAAGCAGTTTTGAACCATGAAGGATGGGGGGGGGGGGAATCCAAATTTGAACCATTGACCTTTTTTTCCAGAAATATTCCATAATGTTAGGATGTCTCCCAAGGTTATTTTAATTTTCACAACCATTAAGCAACTTTGGTAAAACCTAAAAACTATTAAAATCTCATGCTTTCCCTCCCCTGGCGATGCAAGGGAGGGATAAGGTGGGCGTGGATAAGCACAGCCATTGTTGTAGTTTGTGAAGGCCAGGCCCTCAGTGGTAGAGATTGCAAAAGGCCCTGCTGTTAAACTACATTTCCCACACTGCCTTGCTGCTCATTAGACAAAATGGCTGAAGGAGCCAAAAATAGCTGTCTGTAGCAGTCTTGTCTAAATATAAAATAAACTGATTGAATCTACAAAGGTGTCTAAAGAAGGCAGCAAAGCAATAAGCAACTTTTGCAAAGCCAAGAGAACATAAACTGCTTAAAAACCAATCATTTCACTTTGGCCTGATTGCCAGGAACAAGGCACTGGGGAAGCCAGCCACAGCCAGCCAGTCCTTTACGTCAGTAAGTAATGATAAAATAAAATGATTGATTGCATCTGCAAAAAGGAATAAACAGATGGATGTATCTTGAGGGTCCCGTCCAACTCAGTAGCAAATGGATGTCAGGAGAGTTTGGATGGTGCCTTTCTGTCCAGAAAAAGGGGGTCAGTCTAGATGTCCCTGGATTGGGTCTCTACTATGATTTCTGTTCTCCACCAATTTAACACAGTTTGTGCCACACAAACAAAGTTTATGGAGTAGAGCAACTACTTTCAAAGTAAAGACCACTCAATGAAACAGGAAATAACACTTTCGAACCAGAAACAGATTTTTTTAATTATCAAAAATGTTTTTTATTTTTTAAAAGTTTGAAAATTTGCCAAAAATCCATGGATAACTCAAAGGTTGTGAAATTTGGTGAACTAACAGTGGTTCATGTGTTCTACCACTGTGGCAAATTTCATCAGAATTGGTCTAAAACTGAGGGAGGGAGAATCCCTTGAAGTCTCCCCAGTGCCAGTGTTGTTTTTTTCCTACTGCGCATGCGTGTCTGCCATTAACGAAACGATTCGGAAATTTCAGAAGTTTTGGAAAGTTTTGAATTTTTAAAAAAATCAGAAGTGACTTTAGAATCGAACCACCAGCGCCCCCTACATCCGAAACGAGTTTTGAACCATTTTTTTTAAAATCAACCAAGCCTAATATTTATACATGCCTCCTTTCAACCTTCTCTTCTTCAGGCTAAACAGACCCAGCTCTTTAAGATGCTCCTCAGAAGGATTCATGGTTTCCAGACCTTTGATCCGTGGAGTTCCCCTCCTCTAGACTCCTTCTAGCTTGCCAATATCACTCTTGAATTGTGGTGCCCAGAACAAGACACAGGTTTATTTCAGGTGAGGTCTGACCAAAGTAGAATAGAAGGTTTCCCCTATCCGAAAGATCCCTTGTGTTTCTGCCAACATCACATGTTGCCCAAGTTTTCTGGCAACCAGGAGGATTGACACTCAAAGCTGAAATGTTGAAAACAGAAAGCTGGTTCCATACCGAGCGAGCGAGGACCATTCCCATGATCCACCTCCTGCTTGATCTCCGGGTAGAGCTCAGAAGCAGCCTCGTCTGTTGCAGAAAAGCTCACAGATACTTCAGCAGGTGTTGGCAGTTCCTAGAAGAGGGAAGAGATGCATCGTAGTGGGAAAAAGGGGGAAGGCAAGCTTTGGAAAATGACCATGGCAGTAATAATATCTAATAAATTGATAATTATATTATAATGCAATACAATATAATATTAATAATAATACAATATAATAATATAATTATTACATATTACATGTAATACAACTAATTTTCTTTTGAGAAACTGCAAGTCGCTTCTGGTGTGAGAGAATTGACCGTCTGCAAGGACGTTGCCCAGGGGACGCCTGGATGATTTGATGTTTCATCATCCTTGTGAGAGGCTTCTCTCATGTCCCCGCATGAGGAGCTGGAGCTGATAGAGGGAGCTTATCCGCCTCTCCCCGGATTCGAACCTGCGACCTGTCGGTCTTCAGTCCTGCCAGCACAGGAGTTTAACCCACTGCGCCACCGGGGGCTCCAATACAACTAATAATATTGCAGCATAGTGGTATAGTACAGTATAGTAATTCACAATACTAATATTGAGCTATGCTAATAAGATAATATATTGTATGTATGTACATATAATATTGATTATACAATATAATGCTAACAATAATACAAAAATAATTTTATATGTAATATTACTAATACTATTGAAGTATAGTGGTATAGTACAACAGAATAATATATAATGCTAATATTGAGCTATGCTAATAAGATAATATATTGTATGCACATATAATATTGACCATACAGTATAATGCTAGCAATAATACAACATAATAAATATATGTAATATTACTAATAATATTGAAGTATAGTGGTGGACCATATAGTTTTGAGTGTGGGTAAGTTAAACATTCCCCAGATAGTGCAAAATTACTTCCTATGGCACAATTGTACTTTGAAGACTGATTAGAAGCTTTTATTATTTATTTTTCTATTTATTTATTTACTATATAACCCCCACCCTCTCTCATCCCAAAGGGGACTCAGAGCGGCTTACAAGTTATATGTACATACAATATATTATATTATTAGCATTGCACAATATTGGCATTACATATTACTATACTTTACTATATCACTATACTTCAATATTATTACTGATATTACATATATAATTATTATATTGTATTATTGTTAGCATTATATTGTATTACAATATTACGATCAACATTATTTGTACATACAATATATTATTTTATTAGCATAGCACAATATCGGCTGATAGGAATTGTGCGAGTTGGAGTCCAAAACACCTGGAGGGCTGAAGTTTGCCCATGCCTGTTCTAGAGTAAAGCATTCTCACAGAATCCTAGTGTTGGTAGAGACCTCATGGGCCATCCAATCCAACCCCCTTAGTTTTATATATTACTATATTGTACTATACTAATATTGTGTTAGTATATTGTGTTACTAATATTGTATTAGTATATTGTACTATACTAATATTGTGTATTACAATAATCAATATTATATGTACATAAAATATAATATCTTATTAGCATAGCACAATATTAGTTTTATATATTACTATATTGTACTGTACCACTATACTTCAATATTATTAGTAATATTACATGTAGTATATAATTATTTTATTATATTGTTGTAAAGAGGGAACGTTCCAATGCTACCGAATATCACCAATTTGTGATAGATTGCCACACCACTGACACCAATTTGTAAAAGTATCCCACCCTCTCCCGCCTGCACTGGATTTCTTTTACTGTGGTTAGCAACACTGGCCAATCTGCGAAGGTATTCCACCTAATACTGTTTAAATCTCCAAAGGTTTGCTAATTTATAAAAGGTGTAGATAATTATAGCTGTAATTCAGGTAACTGCCACCAACGGGAGGTAATGCCGATGAGAACTGGTTCCCAGACGCAGATATATAGAGATGACACTGTCTTCAAACAAAAGTTAATAAGTTTATTTTGAACAAAGCGTATGGTTGCAGGCTGTTGATAAACTTGGAAATACTTTGAGAACTTTACATGTAACTTGGTTGCAATACAGTTCACACTTCTGGATGACACAACTTGTAATTGACTTTTACTGTGGTGAAGCACTTTCTTAAACAATGTTTCCTGAGGTGAATAGCCTTCCTGTTTGATCCTTCCGTGATCAAACCCCAGATCTCTAGTTCATTTCTAACTAGTGATCTAAACAAGCTTCTCTTAGTCCTCTCTAACTAATGAAACTAATTAGGTTTCCCCTTCAGCCTTCCTAAACTGAAGAAACCTCTGACTATTCACAAACACTGCTTCTCTACTTCCCACTCTCTCTCTCAACTGCTAACTCCGACTCCAAAACCCTAACTGAACATTAACTGTCGTTTTTCAAACTCTCCCCTCTAAGCTCCTCCCACTTCTCTCTCTAGCCTACATCGTCTCCATGGCAACGCACTCCTCTCAGTTAGGCCGCTCCAGCATTAGTGCAGCCAATCTAAACACAAATACAGTTAAAATCATACAATTTATAATCAACTTCTGTACAATTGTATTATAATATTATGATCAATATTATATGTACATACAATATATTATCTTATTAGCTTAGCACAATATTAGTATTATATATCAATTATAATATTAGTATTAATATTATACCTCCCAGTGGCACAATGGGTTAAACAACTGAGCTGCTGAGCTTGTTGACCTAAAGGTTGCAGGTTCGATTCTGGGGAGCGGTGTGAGCTTGCGCTGTCAGCCCTAGCTTCTGCCAACCTAGTAGTCCGAAAACATGCAAATGTGAGTAGATCAATAGGTACTGCTCTGGCGGGAAGGTAACGGCACTCCATGCAGTCATACTGACCACATGACCTTGGAGGTGTCTATGGACAACGCCAGCTCTTCAGCTTAGAAATGGAGATGAGCACCACACCCCAGAGTCAGACATAACTGGACTTAATGTCAGGGGACAACCTTTACCTTTTTTTTTAATTAATATTATATTTAGGAATTGTGGGAATTGAAGTCCAAAACACCTGGAGGGCCGAAGTTTGCCCATGCCTGTTCTAGAGTAAACCATTCTCACAGAATCCTAGAGTTGGTAGAGACCATGTGGGCCATCCAGTCCTACCCCCTTTATTCTGCTATGTAGTCCAACCCCCTTTATTCTGCCCTTGTTGTGTCAGCTCCACTGGCTGCTGATTCAGTTCCAAGCACAATTCAAGGTGCTGGTTTTGACCTACAAAACCCTTTACGGTTCCGGTCCAGTGTATCTGTCCGAACGTATCTTCCTCTATGTCCCATCCCGGAATTTGAGATCATCTGGGGAGGCCCTGCTCTCGACCCCACCGCTACCACAAGCGAGGCTGGTGGGGACGAGGAGCAGGGCCTTCTCGGTGGTGGCCCCCCACCTGTGGAACTCACTCCCGGGGGAAATCAGGGCTTCAACATCCCTCCTTGCCTTCAGGAGGAAGGTAAAGACATGGCTATGGGACCAGGCCTTTGGGCATCCTGACAATTAGATATGGAAACCAGATGGATAGGACCGACAATGTGTGGAAAGTAGAACCTAAACTATGAGTCTGTTAAGCGCTGACCAGCAATGAGGTTTGTATTGCTTTTATTGTTTTAATTGCTTTTACGGGTTTTATGGTTGTTTTGCTGATAATAATTATTGCTTATGTTAATTGTCATTATTGCTATAATTGCTGTCATTAACTGATGTTGTGTTTTTGCTGTCATGTAATGCGGGCATTGAATTGTGCCTTGCTTGTGTAAGCCGCCCTGAGTCCCCCCCGGGGTGAGAAGGGCGGGGTATAAGCGACCGTAATAAATAAATAAATAAATAAATAAATGTAGGGAAAAGGCACAATCAAAGCGCCCCCAGAGGATGGCCACCTTACCTGTGCTTCCCATCCTTTGGCCCCTTGCTGCCCCTGAAGGAAGTCCTCGGCCAGGGCCACCGCTTGGTGGCAGGACTCAGGACTGGCTTCCCTGACCCAGCTCTGCATCTCCAGCGGGAGGATGGCAAGGAACTGCTCCAGGATGAGCTGGTCCAGAATCTGCTCCTTGGTGCAGGTCTCCGGGGTGAGCCACCGGCAGCAGAGGTTGTGGAGCTGTCCGCAAACCTCTCGGGGCCCCTCTTCCTCTTTGTAACGGAACAGCCGGAAGCACTGGCGCCGCACTTCTGCGCTGGCCGTGTCCTCGCTCGGGATCTCTGTGTCTGTCCCTCGTCCATCTCCAGAGTCCGGTCCATGTAATACCTCTGGGGCTCCTGGTGATAGTATAACGGCTGCCTCGGCTTGAGAGGCCGGGCTGAAATCGGAGGCCACTTCGGAAGGCACCAAGGCAGACTTGGACACTTCCCAACGCATGGTTTTGGGCATCTCCGGGATCTCCCACTGAGGGACATCCTTCGGGGCATCGTGCCACTGGACTTCCCAGCTCTGGGCCAATCTTTCCTCATCTTCCAGCCTCAGCTGTCCCAATGCCGTCCAATTCGGAGGCTCTCCAAGCTGGGCAAGGCACAGCGCCTGCCTGCCTCCGTTTTGCCCCTCTTCTCCGTCCTCCATGGCTTCGATGCAGAGACCCAGCTGGGCCAACGACTCCAGCTCAACCTGCATTGCCTTGTGCGACTGCCAGTTGTTATATAGGTTGGATACCGAGAAAACCTCATTCACTTTCTGCACGCGAAACACGAAGAGTGCATCGCAGGGCTTCAACTCTGGACTGGTCTTTGCTCACTTTGCTCTATCCCAAGGGAAAGAAGTGATATATAGAGAAAAAGTGGCTCTGCAGGGACTCACAGGTGGTGGATATGCAAGGGTGGCTGATTCCTGAAATAAAAGAAACAGTGATCAATCTTTGTATTGTCGAAGACAATGTCAGGAGAGAATGCTTCTGGAACATGGCCATACAGCCCGGAAAACACACAACAACCCAGTGATTAATCTTGTTTTGGTTGTGTTCTCTTCCTTCCCAGCAAGGACACAGCAACTCCAGTATATATGTCAGGGGCTGCTGGGGTTTTATATGTTTTTAACCTGAATTGGTTTTATACATTTTAATCCTCTTCTATATACATTACATGGCCTGCTTACCCAGTGTTTTAGACTTTTAATCTCTGCAATTCACCCTGCCCAGTGTGATTACTGTGATTTTATATTGCTTGGGGTGTTTATTTATAGTTTTGTATTTTATTTTTTATTTTCATTATATTTTACTGTATGTATTTATGGTGTATATTTGCTTTGCTGTACTGTTGGGCTTGGCCTTGTGTAAGCCGCCCCGAGTCCCTTTGGGGAGATGGTGGTGGGGTATAAATAAAGTTTATTATTATTATTATTATTATTATTATTATTATTATTATTATTAATTGTTTTTAATACTCAAAGGCAGGGGTCCTCAAACTACGGCCCGGAGGCCACATACAGCCCTCCAAGGTTATTTACCTAGCCCTCACTCAGAGTTAAACCTAAGTCTGAAACGACTTGAAAGCACACAACAACAACAACAACAACAACAACAACAATCATATCTCATCAGCCAAAAGCAGACCCACAGTTCCCATTGAAATACTAATATATTTATTTTTGTTTTAATTATTGTATTTCTTTAAAGTTTTTTTGTACTACAAATAACATATGTGCATAGGAATTTATTCATGTTTTTTCAATTTATAATCCAGCCCCCCAACAGTCTGAGGGACTGTGACCTGGCCCTCTGTTTAAAAAGTTTGAGGACCCCTGCTCAAAGGGAAAGGTTTCCCCTTGACGTTAAGCCTAGTCGTGTTCGACTCTGGGGGGTGGTGCTTATCTCAATTTCTAGGCTGAAGAGCCGGCGATGTCCGTAGACACTTCCTATGTCATGTGGCCAGCATGACTACATGGAGCGCTGTTACTTTCCTGCTGCGACATTTTTATTTATTTACTTCACTCTTCTCAGCCCTCAGGTGACTCAGAGCGGTTAACAACTAGTAACAACAACACAATACAAAATCATTAGTCATTTAAAACAGTAATATCAATTAATTAACATCAAAACATCAATACAACAATACAGCAAAATAACAATCCATCACATCTCATCAATAGAATCAGCATCCGATCTCGTCCATTAATCCATATTCCAGTAATCAATCAATTGCACTGCTTAGTTGAAAGCCTGTTCGAAGAGCCAGGTCTTCCCTATCTTCCGGAATGCCAATAAGGAGGGGGCCGATCTGATGTCTGTAGGAAGGGCATTCCACAGCCAAGGGGCCACTACTGAGAAGGTCCTGTCTCTCGTCCCCGCCACGCATGCTGTATGTATTGATCTAACAGGCCTCAGCAGTACGTATTGATCTAACAATGTGATGTGGCGGCAAAAAATGTCAATGGGATTTTGGCCTGCATCAATAGGAGCATAGTGTCTAGATCTAGGGAAGTCATGCTACCCCTCTATTCTGCTTTGGTTAGACCACACCTGGAATATTGTGTCCAATTCTGGGCACCATAATTGAAGAGAGATATTGACAAGCTGGAATGTGTCCAGAGGAGGGCGACTAAAATGATCAAGGGTCTGGAGAACAAGCCCTATGAGGAGCGGCTTAAGGAGCTGGGCATGTTTAGTCTGAAGAAGAGAAGGTGATAGGAGATATGATAGCCATGTATAAATATGCGAGAGGAAGCCACAGGGAGGAGGGAGCAAGCTTGTTTTCTGCTTCCCTGGAAACGGAACAATGGCTTCAAACTACAAGAGAGGAGATTCCATCTGAAAATTAGGAAGAACTTCCTGTGAGAGCCGTTCAGCAGTGGAACTCTCTGCCCCAGAGCGTGGTGGAGGCTCCTTCTTTGGAAGCTTTTAAACAGAGGCTGGATGGCCATCTGTCAGGGGTGATTTGAATGCAATATTCCTGCTTCTTGGCAGGGGATTGGACTGGATGGCCCATGAGGTCTCTTCCAACTCTTTGATTCTATGATTCTACTCACATTTGCATGTTTTTGAACTGCTAGGTTGGCAGAAGCTGGGGCTAACAATGGGAGCTCACCCTCTCCTGCGGATTCAAACTGCTGACTTTCTGATCAGCAAGTTCTGCAGCTTAGCAATTTAACTCGCCATGCTAATGATGCTTAATACTGTTGTAATATTTGTATATTTTAAATAGTATTGTCATGCTTTCGATGTTAGCTGCTTTCAGTTGCCATATGGAGAGAAAAAGCAGAATATAAGTAAACACAATAGCAATAATGAGTCAAAGATCAGACAATAAACAATGTATCCCAGGGATGTACAAACTAGCTGCTGTAGTCAGATTTTTTCTTTAAACATCCAATGTGTTGAACTCATTTGGAGAATCTATAATTTTTCAGCACTTTAGAGAGCGTCTTAAACTTCAGGATAAAACCCAAAACAGATTCCTCCCTGGCATGGAAGCTGCAGGCTATCTTATAGAGTAGGCATTAAAGAAGACTTGGATCCTATCTCATTATGTAAATGTAAAGGTTTAGGTTTCACTGTGAACAGGTTTCCCTGACATTAAGTCTAGTTGTGTCTGACTCTGGTGGTTGGTGCTCATCTCCATTTCTAAGCCGAAGAGCCAGCGTTGTCCGTAGACACCTCCAAGGTCATGTGGCCAGCATGACTGCACGGAGCACCGTTACCTTCCTGCCAAAGCGGTACCTATTGATCTACTCATATTTTCATGTTTTCGAACTGCTAGGTTGGCAGAAGCTGGAGCTAACAGCGGGAGCTCACTTCACCCCAAATTCAAACCGCTGACCTTTCGGCCAGCAAGTTCAGTGGTTTAACCCACTGTGCCACAGAGGGCTCCCATGTAAACATGCATATATAATAAAATAAACATATATATTAAAACAGTCATTAAAAACATATCAAACCATCCAGTCTCTGAATCATAGAATCCAAGGAATAGGAGAGAATCCAAGGGTGGGAAGGGACCCCAAGGGCCATCCAGTCCAACCCCGTTCTGACATCCAGGAGGACACCATTAAAGCCCTCTCGATAGAGGACCCTGGTCCTCTTAAGCCCAAGACGAATGCTATTCAGCACTGCATTGTCCCAACAGCCTACCACCAACACAATCCATATCCAAAAGGAAAGACCTAATTCAGGAGCCTGCAATGCAAAGCCATGCAAATCAATGTAATGCCATCCAGTGCAATGCAAAGCAAAGCCATCCAGTGCAATGCAATGCCATACAATGCAAAGCAATCCAATCCAACGCCATTCAATGCGATGTAATGCAACACTGCAAATCCCCAGCCCCTCCCCACCCCATAACCCTGGTCCTGCTTCCCCTCCCCATCACCTGCTTCACTTCCTTTTAAACCCTTCCCTCCTTCTCTTTGATCTCCACTCACGCATTCCCACGTGAACGCCAGCAAATGGCCCAAGGTTTCAGAGATTCAAACCTTCTGTTTTCTGGGGAAGGGGAGGAGCCTGGAGGACCACCTGCCTGAAGGAGACCACCCAGTCCTCCCAGCCTCGGATGCTCCAGGAAGAGGCCCTCTCTATGGTTTTAACTCTAGAGTGCCCAAAAGAGAGAGTGGCTTCCTTCTCTACCAGGGAGGTCTCTGTCTGTCTATCTATCTATCTATCTATCTATCTATCTATCTATCTATCTATCTATCTCCATCAATCCTTCCATCCATCCATCCATCTATCCATTCATCCATCTATCTATCTATCTATTTATCTATCTATCTATCTATCCATCCATCCATCCATCTATCAATTCATCTATCCATCCATCCATCTATCCATCCATCCATCTATCTTCCAATCAATCAATCAATCAATCAATCAATCAATCAGTCAATTCATCCATTCATCCATCCATCATCTATCCATCCATGCATCTATCTGTGTCTGTCTGTCTATTCATCTATCTATCTATCTATCTATCTATTCATCCGTCCATCCGTCCATCCATCCATCAATTCATCTATCCATCCAACTATCCATCCATCAATCAATTCATCCATCCATCTATCCATTCATCCTTCCATCATCTATCCATCCATCCATGCATTATCTATCTGTCTGTCTGTCTATTCATCCATCTATCCATCCATCCATCTATCTATTCATCCATCTGATATCAAGCTAGAATTTAGAGGCTCCCACCCAGGAGAGAGGAGCCCTTAGATCCACCAAGGAGGATCCGGTACTCTGGCGAGCGAAGAGAAAAGAGCCAAGAGTTTTCCCTGTATTTTCCCAAATAAATCTCACCAAAGTTGAAGAAAAGCCACCGAGTTGTATTTATTTCATTCAGCTGGAGCGGATGTCAAACCGCGATAGTTCGTCAGGAGAGACATACATGCAGTGAATTTAATACATTTTTTATAGAAAACAGAGCTGTCAAAGTTCAAATTTCCCGCCTCCCGCCCCTCAGCCGGCATCTCCCTGATTGGCTGGAGGGGAGGCGCGGCCGGCTTAGCTGCACCTCGGCCAATCAGAAAGCCAGCACTGCTTCGGGCCCTCAGCCAATGGGAGCAGAGGATGCGATCCTTGGGAAGAACAATGACGCAAATGTCCAGATGATTGATTTAAAGCAGGTAGGCTGTTAGGAATTGTGGGAGTTGAAGTCCAAAACACCTGGAGGGCCAAACTTTGCCTATGTCTGATTTAAAGTAACTTAATGTGTCCAAATGGCCAGTGATAAATCTAAGACTAGATTCCTCAAGCTGGGCAAGTTTCTTGAAAGGTTGAGATATGCAGATATGGCTGCCATGGTCGCCCAGCTCTGGTGTTTCCTTGTCACAGATATGAAGTTCATTTGGTTATCTTAAGCTTTACTCGGTCCATGGGGAAATGTCAAAAGGGAGGAAAGCTGGGACGTCTAGGCTTCCTTTGAAAGCAGGATGACTCTTTGTTGGAAGATGACTGGTTTACCAGGTGGCTCCCCCAAGCGGTCCTGCTCCGAGACTCAAGGGGGCCGGGTTATTGTCATGCAATCAGTCCTTGCTTGAAACCTTGAATCAATAGGAATAGGCCTTGGAAAATGGGCTACCCAAGGCTGATGTCATGCTGGAGGTCACAAAAAAGGTGGCTTTCCATATTTCATATACAGACATACACACAGGGGTCAGGGAACTTCATATACACCTATCCCACCCACCAAAGTCCAAAAGAATAGGTCCATAAGTACGAAATCATATCATCCCTCAATCATGAGAAGGGAGTCCATAGGGCTTGGGGAAAAGTTCCTTGAAAGTTTGGGAAAGTTGTTAAAAGTTGTAAAAATCCAAAAAGGCAAGTGGGGAAAGGTGTCCCAGTGTCCACAGAGTCCTTATGGCCGTCCACCAATGCTGAAGATCAAGATCTGTGGGGAGAACTACAGATCCCTCCACACCAAGGACCAAGATGGCCCGCCGACATCTTAGGGGTCCCATGGGGTGACTGCGACAGTTCCCCGGGATCTGCAGGATCCTTGGACATCCACAAAATGGTGGCAGCGGGGCAGCATCTCCAGAAAAACAGCTGGACTCCAGGACATGGTTTTTGAGGCAAAAAAGGTTATTCCCGGGACAGAAAGGACAGTGGAGTAAAACCAAGATAGCCATTAGTCTTAGAATTCTCCCAGGAGAAGACTGACACCATTTTTGAAGCGATCCGTTGACCCGCGGATACGGGGTTTCCATATCCACAGTTTAAGGGGACGCAATTTCGGCCTCCCCAGGATGCGAAAATCGCATCCCAGGAGGGCTGGCAGCCATCTGCAGCCCGGGAGAAGAAAGGTTTATTGAAAGAGAAGTTTTGAGGCAGTAAAGACACAAAGTAACTCTATGGAGAGGGAAAGGTTACAATTAATTGATACGTTTTATTGGGGGGATTAGTTACAATAACTGAATGGGTTTGAGAAATGTGGGAATAATATAATATAATCATATATAATAATATAATAATGAATACAATAATAGGTTACAAAGTAGATAAATGAATGGGTTTGAGAAATGTGGGAATAATATAATATATAATAGTTTACAAAGTGGATAACTGGATGGGCTTGAGAAATATGGGAATAATAATAATAAAATACTTTACAAAGTGTTTTGATGGGTTTGAGAAATGTGAGAATAATAATAATAATATAATGTGAGCTGGGTTAGAGAAATGCAGGAAAGAAGGAAGGAAGGAGGAGAATAGCAATGAGCTGGAGGGGAGGAAACAGCCTTGTAATGTTCAGAAAGCGAGGCTGTCCACACTGCAGAATTAACGCAGTTTAATACCGCTTGAAAAGACTGCCAGGGTTGGAGCCCTGGGAACTGAAGTCGGGTGAAAACACCAACACTCTTTTAAAAATATTGTTTAGTAGAGAAGGCTAGGAAGACTCTGCCAAAAGTCCATACATTAGTGGTATCAAACTGCACTGGAGACGCATAGGGTTAAAACCAAAAAGCGGTGGCTTCCTAGAGAGGCTTGGGAAATGTATAGGCAGGGCGGAAACGAGGGGGCGGGGCGTCCTTGGAGGGCGGAAGTGGAGGAGGAGGAAGAGGAGACGAAGAAGACCCACCTTCTTCCTTTTCCTGTCGGGATCCTCCATTGCAGGCACAGCAGGGAGCTTCTCTCTGTGAGAGGTGGCTGAAGGTGAAGGAGGAGGAGGCCAAAGGCAAAAGGGTGAGTGAGTGAGTGAGTGAGTGAGTGAGTCTCCATTGGGAGGGGAAAGAAAGAAAGGGAAGGGAGGAAGGAAGGAAGGAGGAGAAGACGAAGGCCATTTCCTGCTTAGGGCAACCCCGTGGAGGTTGGGCCCTGGCCCCGCTCTGAGGCTGAGAGAGTGTGACTCATGCCCACAGGGGTGTGTGTATATATATTATATCAGGCCTGGGCCAAGTTGGGCCCTCCAGGGGTTTTGGACTACAACTCCCACCATTCCTAACAGCCTGTCGGCTGTTAGGAATGGTGGGAGTTGTAGTCCAAAACCCCTGGAGGGCCCAACTTGGCCCAGGCCCGTATTATATACATTTGTAAGCTCTAAAAGGCAGGCACTTCAATGCATATATCTGCCTTGATGTGTGTGTATTATATACACACACACTTGTAAGCTCTGAAAGGCAGATACTTCAATACATATATCTGCCTTGGGGTGTGTGTGCGTGTATTAAATACATATTATATGCACTTGGAGGCTTTAGAGAAGGTAGGCACTTCAATACATATATCTATCTTGGGGTGTGTGTGTATTAAATATTATATGCACTTGGAGGCTTTAGAAGGTAGGCACTTCAATACATATATCTGCCTTGATGTGTGTGTATTATATACACACACTTGTAAGCTCTAAAAGGCAGATACTTCAATACATATATCTGCCTTGGAGTGTGTGTGTATTAAATACATATTATATGCACTTGGAGGCTTCAGATAGGTAGGCACTTCAATATACATATCTGCCTTGATATGTGTGTGTATGTGTGATATATATATATATATATATATATATATATATATATATTATACACTTGGAAGTTCTAAAAGTCAGGCACTTCAATACACATATCTGCCTTGAAGTGTGTGTGTGTGCGTGTATATCCACTTGGAAGCTCTAAAAGTCAGGCACTTCAATATATATATCTGACTTAGTGTGTACCTGTATTTCTATATACAAGGCAGGCATTTCAACACATATACCTGTAGTTGTGTATGTTTGTGGGTATATTATATACATATTATATGCACTTGAAAGCTTTCAAAGGCAAGCACTTCAATACTTTATTTGCATATTATATAGTATGCACTTGGAATATCTAAAAGGCAGGCACTTTAATAAATATACCTGCCATAGTGTGTATGTTTGTGTGTATATATTATATACATACTATATGCACTTGAAAGCTTTAGAAGGCAGGAAACTTCAATACATATATCTGCCTTGATATGTGTGTGTGTGTGTGATATATAATATACACTTGGAAGTTTTAAAAGTAAGGCACTTCAATAAATATATGCCTTGATGTGTGTGTATTATCTATATCTATCTATCTATCTATCTATCTATCTATCTAATGCACTTGGAAGCTCTAAAAGTCAGGCACTTCAATACATATATGCCTTGATGTGTGATATATATATATACACATACACATACACACACACATACATACACACACACACATATATATATATCACTTGTAAGCTCTGAAAGTCAGGCACTTCAATACATATATTTGACTTAGTGTGTACCTGTGTTTCTATATACAAGGCAGGCACTTCAATACATATACCTGTAGTGGCATATGTTTCCGGGTATATTATACACATATTATATGCACTTGAAAGCTTTCAAAGGCAAGCACTTCAATACTTTATTTGCATATTATATAGTATGCACTTGGAATATCTAAAAGGCAGGCACTTTAATAAATATACCTGCCTTGGTGTGTATGTTTGTGTGTATGTTATATACATATTATATGCATTTGGAAGCTTTAGAAGGCAGGCACTTCAGTACATTATTTGCATATCATATAGAATACACTAGGAAGCTCTAAAAGGCAGGTACTTCAATAAATATACCTGTCTTGGTGTGTATGTTTGTGTGTATATGTTATATATATATTACTTCAATACTTTATTTGCATATAACATATACACATTGTGTGTATATGTTATATACATATTATATGCACTTGAAAGCTTTAGAAGGCAGGCACTTCAGTACATTATTTGCATATCATATAGAATACACTAGGAAGCTCTAAAAGGCAGGTACTTCAATAAATATACCTGTCTTGCTGTGTATGTTTGTGTGTATATTATATACACATCAGATGCACTTGAAGCACTTCAATATATTATTTGCATATTATATAGTATACACTTGGAAGCTCTAAAAGCCAGGCACTTCAATAAATATACCTGTCTTGGTGTGTAGGTTTGTGTGTGTGTGTATTATATGTGGGTATATATATTTTCATATTATATTATTGACACTTGAAAACTCTAAAAGGCAGGCACTTCAATACATATATCTGTCTTGGTGGGTATGTGTGTGTATATATATAATATACCTATTATATACACTTGTTCTGAGTTTTAAATTGTTGTTTTATGTGCTATTGGTTTTACTTTTTTGTATTGTAGTGTGTGTTTATTTTATGCGTTGTTTTAGGCACTTTATGTCATACATAAGCTGCCCGGGTCCCTTCGGGGAGATGGAGGCGGGATACAAATATAAAGTTGTTGTTGTTATTGTTGTTGTTGTTGTTGTTAAAGCTTTAAAAGGCAGGGACTTCAGTGCATATATTTGCCTTGGTGTGTATATTATTATTAACTTTATTTGTACCTCGCCTTTCTCCCTGTGGGGATTCAAGGTGGCTAACAATCCACACTAGACAAGTTTACAAAGTGCAATACAAGAGTTAAAAACAATAAATTACTATCAGAATTCAAATATAATAAATGCACTAAAATTGCCTTAAAACTCATATCCCATCCAACCTCCCCAAAGTCTGCCTGTAATATACATATTAGAGACACTTGAAAGCTTTAATTTTATTTATTTATTTATTTACAGTATTTATATTCTACCCTTCTCACCAAGGCAGATTACAATGTACATATACATGGCAAACATTCAATGCCAACTTTAAGTGGAAAACAAACAAATATTATTATTTTTATTTATTTCTACCCTGCTTGCTCTCTCCCAAAGGAGACTCAAAGTGACTTGACATAAAAGCACCAGCATACAATTTAAATATGCAAACATTAAAACAGTATTAAACATAAACAATTTTAAATAAATCCTAGTTAAACTCAATTAAAACATATCCAAAGTTAAAAACCACAGCACCCCCTGACTTGATCCATAAAAACAAAACATAACAATCCCCCTCATATTCCCAGTTCACTACATCCTCTCCTTATCCCTGCCACATAAAACTAACAAATTATATCTCCCTTATTCAGAAAGATTATAAAATAAATACAAATAAAAAAAATGTGCCTCTTTTGACAAAGTGCTGCATTCTGGAACTCCAGTGACACTTTAGAAATTGAACCTGAGACATTGTTGTGTACCATAGAATATTTTTTAATGATGAGGAAAATGCAGATGGATTTCTTTTAAAATTCCTTTGTGAATTTTTTCACTTTCAGACTTCAAAGGCTAGAGTGCGTTGCAGTAATCTATTTGGGATGTAACAAGAGCTCACATTAGTGAGCTTAAGTCAAACTTTATTCTTATAGCTACAACATCCTTATGAGCTTGGCTAAACTTGGATAATTAAAAAAAATAAAAAACCCACTACTTCAAAATGTTTAACACAATACAATTGTCTTGTTACATCAACTACTCCCAGATTTATACTCCCACCTCCCCATCCCTTCACACAGGATTATAAAAACACGGCTCTGTCAGTTCTACTACCTTTACTTATTCTAATTGCATCAATTGCATATAATTATTATATTTTCTCATTGTTCATCTGCAAGCTTTCTTGGTCATTTGGTGGTTTGAATTTATCATTAGTTTTACACATGAAGCTAATACATTGCTCCCTTGTGTTATCAAATAGATCTTCTTTTATTTCTCTCCTTTTGTTAATCTTATAGATCAGTGGTTCTCAACCTGCCTAATACCCCTTAATATAAGGGTGTCCTCTCCCCTCCTAAACAGCCCTCCCCTTGGCTGAGAGGCCGGCCAATCACAGCGGAGAATTCTGATGGTCTTTGGCAACCCCTCTGAAACCCCCTCATGACCTCCCCCCTCCCCTCGGTGTCCCAACCACAGGTTGAGAAATGCTGTTATAGATAGATTGTGACAGGGCTATTGCCCATATCATGTTTAACCAATTCTTTATTGGTAAATTCTCTAGCTCATTCCAGGTTCTGACTATTTTGAGTCAATTATTATTATTATTGTTATTATATCTATACCCCCACTTTATCTCTCCTAAAGGAGACTCAGAGTGGCTTGACATACAAGCATTAGCATACAATTTTATATGAGTAATATATGATTTTATTTACCAAATCCGTATTTTTATTTTCAGATAATGAAATTATTAGTAGGGTTCTCTTGAGGTGTATTGTTTCCCCTACTACTTGGCTTACCTTTGATAAACACTTCATCTCAATACTTTTTGGGTACATTAGCCACATCCAATCTCCTATTTCTCCACACTTTCTCCAACATAGTTCAGAAATTCCAATATTGATGTTATGTAGTTGGAGTGGAAAATCATGCCAGCTATGTATAACTTTCAAAGTGTTTTCCTTTCAGGTGGGATGAAATTGATTTATATGCTTGGGTTTTCCAAATTAAGTCCTGTTGTTTCTCTTTTATTTCAAACGCTAGATCTGATTTGCATAGTAATCCCAATCCATTTTATGCTCCAAATTTTTTACCCTGGAGGTTTTGAGAGACCCAGGTTCTTCTGATAAGTTTTCACGCTCAGTTTGGAATATCGAACTTGGATCTCCCCTATAGTGTACATGCCGCCTGAACTACCAAATTGGGAAATATAACTCAAATCATAGGCAGCCATATTAGTCACTGGAATATAGAGGAGTGAACGTATTACACCATTATTATCAAAAACCAATCCACAGGCAGTCAAATCATTTGTGGGCAGGTATGCAACCTCACTTGTTCCTTTCCAAATTCCCAAATGGTTTGGGTCCAGTCTACTTACAGGATCTCATTCCCTCATATAATCTTTCCGATACACTCAGGTCTTTTTGAGGAATCTCTACTTTCTGCTAAATCCAAATCTACAACTGTTCCCCAAATGGCATTTCTCCTCCTTTGGCCACCCGTAGGTTATAGAACAGGCATGGGCAAACTTCTGCCCTCCAGTTGTTTTGGAATTTAACTCCCACAATTCCTAATAGTCTACCGGCTGCTAGAAATTGTGGGAGTTGAAGTCCAAAACAACTGGAGGGCCACAGTTTGCCTACACCTATTCTATAGAGCCGTAGCAGCAGAGTTGTATGGTCCCTGTAACCCAGGCATGTGCAAACTTTGACCCTCCAGTTGTTTTGGACTTCAACTTCCACAATTCGGAATTGTGGAAGTTGAAATCCTAAACATCTGGAGAGACAAAGTTTGCCCATTCCTGGTATAAACTGTTCCAGTTAATGGATGCAGCAGGTTGAGGAAATTGGTACGCCCTTTAACTTAGGCAACACATAATATTGGACTGATTTTGCTTTGGAGTGGTTTGGTTTGAAATTAAAATGTTGTTAGAACTTGGATGTGTGAGGACCCTAATTTCACTTGTCTGTTTCTCTTTGAAGGAACAGTAGCCAGCTTTCCATGAAGCTCAGAAAAGTCACCTTCTCCCCAAACTCTCCATGGTCATGAATGGAGAAAGAGGCAGGAAGTGTGATAAGGAGGCGAGCTGATTGAAGTGAACCAGGAGGGGAAATGAATGCCGAACGAGAAGAAGTGAGCCTTTTGGCTTGCAACGAGTATGAGGTCGTAACCGAGAAGGTGAAAATTGAAGAGCAGGAGACCAGAGGCCCTGCGCTGTTGGAGAGTCCGAAGCGGTCCAGAAAGACCTCTCACCCCGTCCAGATTGGGAAGATCGGAGAACGCCTGAGCTGGGTGGCGGCAAAACAAGCCGAACATGAGCTGAACAATGGCCTGTTGTCCCAGTGTCCGGATTTCCTGAAGACGATACAGGTTCCTTATTCAGGTTGGAGAAGCCCGCAAAGGTCTAGGACCCCTTTCCCATCTCCTTTGGGAACTCTGGCCGGCAAGTCTCATGGGCCGGATGAAGAGGTGACGAGCAGAGGTCTGCAAAGCAGTCCAAGTACAGATTGCGGTGAAAAGGCAGGCAATGACAACGGGAAGGGAGATGTCTCGCAGGAAGAAGATCTCACCGTCGAGATGCAACGGCAACGCTTCCGGTGGTTCTGCTACCAAGAGGCTGAGGAACCCAGGCAGATTTGCGCCCAGCTCCGTGAACTCTGCCTCCAGTGGCTACAGCCGGATCTCAACTCAAAGGAACAAATGGTTGACCTGATCGTCCTGGAGCAATTCCTGGCCATCTTGCCAGAGGAAATCCAGAGCTGGGTGGGAGATGCAGGACCCGAGACCTGCGCCCAAGCTGTGGATCTAGTGGAAGAGTTCCTTCTGCGGCAGCAAGAGACGGAGAGGTGGAAACAGGAGGTGAGGGCATGCAATCTGAGGAATCTCAAGTGTTGCTTTTGCTCTGATTAGGCTTTTGGGTAAGGTTGCCCTTACTCTGAATGAGCAACCCGTTTTCACCCCCTTTCCCTGATGATGATGATGATATTTGAATAAGGAACTATGCAGGTTCCTTATTCAGGTGGAGAAACACCCAAACAACAACAAATAAATAAATGATTTTTATTTATTTATTTACGACATTTATATTTTGCTCTTCTCACCCATAATGGGGCTAAGAGCATCTTACGAGTTATATGTAAATACAATATATTATATTATTAGCATAGCACAATATTAATAGCATACATTTCCATATTGTACTATACCACTATATGTAATATTATTAGTAATATTATATGTAATATAAAATATATAATTCTTACATTGTATTATAATATATTACATAATAACATTATTATCAATATTATATGTGTATACAATATATTATTAGCACGGCACAATATTAAGAAAAGGCTTATATATTAATATAATATACTAGCCATCCCCTGCCACGCGTTGCTGTGGCCCAGTCTATGTATATGTGTGTTTGCGTGTGTATGTATATATATGTGTGTGTGTGTGTGATTTTGCGCATATGTTGTAGTCTTTATTTTTTTGGCTTTTTAAGTTTCTTCTGCTGTATTTTTCAATGTTTTTATGAGTGATGGTCACTCATTGGCCTGATAGGTGTATTGTGTCCAAATTTGGTGTCAGTTTGTCCAGACTGACCGTCCCCTGCCATGCGTTGCTGTGACCCAGATTGTGTATATGTGTTTTGTATGTGTATATATGCATATATTTGTGTATATACTGTATGTGGTTTTGTGCATGCGGTGTAATGTATTCTTTATTTTCTTGGCTTTTTAAATTTCTTCTGTATTTTTCAATGTTTTTATGAGTGATGGTCACTTGTTGGCCTGATAGGTATATTGTGTCCAAATTTGGTGCCAATTTGTCCAGTGGTTTTTGAGTTAATGCTAATCCCACAAACGAACATTACATTTTTATTTATATAGATTAAACATTAAATCATTACATATAAATCAATCATATATAAATAAAATTGAAATAGAATTTAAAACAGCTATTAAAACAACCATAAAGTCCATAATCAAAGCCCGTGAACCATTCGTTACAGTGATGTTGATTTCTAGCTGTCTATTGCATTGTAGGTAATCTCTGAATGCCTGATTGAAGAGGCTGATTTCACATCACTAGGAAGGGAGTTCCACAGCCGAAGGGCTACCACTGTGAAGGCCCTGTCTCTTGACCTCAACAGCTGCAAAGGAGAGCAGGACCTCCCCAGAAGATCTTAACAACTGTCATGGTTCTGCCAACCTAGCAGTTTGAAAACATGCAAATGTGGGTAGATCAATAGGTACCGCTTCTGCAGGAAGCTAACAGTGCTCCATGCAGTTATGCTGGCCACATGACCTTGGAGGTGTCTATGGACAATGCCAGCTCTTTGTCTTATAAATGGAGATGAGCACCAGCCCCAAGAGCTGGACATGACTAGACTTAATGTCAGGGAAAACCTTTTCGTATATATTTATTTTATTTAAATGTTTTTGTTTATACCCTACCCTATATCTAAGGATCTCCAAGCAGGTTTCAGTAAATCAATTTAAAACAAACAATAGAGCAGGTCAAGCTTCCCTCCTCTGGAAACTTGAAATACAAACTCTTCCCAAATTGTCCCCATGGTGACACCTTTGCTTTCTGATGGTTTATTGTGAACAAATGTTGTTTAATAGTTCATCATCTTGTTCCATGTGTCCTGTCCTTATCTTCCATCTTCTTGCTTCTCACCTTTCAGGTACTGGGGGAATTCGAGGAAGTGGCCATGAGCTTCTCTCGAGAAGACGATGCCGGCGAGGGACAGCTTTCCAGGGAGATCAAGCGGGAGACAGTGACTTTGTTGGGTAAGAGTGTTCCCAATGTCTGAGTGAAATTGATCCATGGTGGCTGGGGTATTCCATGCTAGTGGGGTTGCTCTGGATTTTACATGGAACTTTAAAGGAGCTGTGCCAAACTCTATCCAGAAAACAAGAGAATGGCTCCTCCTGGCATTTTGCTTCTAATAATAATAATAATAATAATAATAATAATTATTATTATTATTATTATTATTATTATTATTATTATTTATATTCCACTGTCTCCTTGAGGGGGCTCAGAGTGGATTACAGAGTACATATATAGCAAACATTCAGTGCCATTATACAATTGACAACAAAGACAGACAGTACATAAACAGAGGCAAGGCTTCCCTCTTTTAATCTCCGGCATCTGGGTGCTGTGCTCAACTTGGCCATGGGGAGGTGCTGTTATTTTATTTTTCCACACCGAGGAGCCTGTAGTCCATGGATGCCTTCCTGATTGAATTGCCGGCATGTCTTCAGGGACGCCTTTTACCTCCCCGCCAAAAGCAGTACCTATTTATCTACTCAAATTACTACTTTCAAACTGCTAGGTAAGCAGAAGCTAGGGCTGATGGCGGGAGCTCAACCTGACCCGAGGCTTGAACTGCCAACCTTCCAGTCAGCAAGATCTTCTGTAGCTGGCGGTTTAACCCGCTGTGCTAACCGCGGCCCCCTTCCAGTGGAGGAGGCATGGTGTATGCTTTGGCATTCATGCGGCATTCAAAGCTATTCCTCTGTCGTGTTGGCAATGTATGTTGGGCGAGTGGGCTTACTTTCAAAAGACCCTCCCCATAAATGTACAGCAGAGTGACTTAATAGCTGCAGCGTGACCCAGCACCAGTAGCCAAACTGATACAAAGAAGAAAAACACACAGACCAATGATATCTCTTCCACAGGAGGCTTTTCTTTGTAGTAAAATAATATCGCACTATTTACAACAAGGTTTCCATAACGCAAATAAACGAATACATAGTAGCTTTACACAAAGCAGCCTTCACACACTGGAGCTTCACACACAAGGCTTCTCTCACACAGAGGTTTACCTCACACTCCTCAGGACAACACTAGCTTTGGCCCACTGACTCTAACAGGCTTCGGCCTACTCAGCCTCCTCAGGATGACTCTAGCTTTTGCCTACTGACCTTAACAGCCTTCGGCCTACTCAGGATGATGCTAGGTTTGGTCCACTGACTCTAACAGGCTTCGGCCTACTCAGGATGATGCTAGCTTTTGTTCACTGACCCTAACAGGCTTCGGCCTAATCACTCTACTTGGGACAACACTAGCTTTTGCCCACTGGCCCTAACAGGCTTCGGCCTAGTCACTGTCCTCAGGACAAGGCTAGTTTTGGCCCACTGACTCTAACAGGCTTCGGCCTACACACTCTCCTCAGGACGACGCTAGCTTTTGCCTACTGACACTAACAGCCTTCGGCCTACGCAGGATGATGCTAGCTTTGGCCCACTGACTCTGTCAGGCTTCGGCCTACTCAGTCTCCTCAGGACAACCTTAGCTTTTCCCTGCTGACCCTAACAGCCTTCGGCCTACTCAGGATGATGCTAGCTTTGGCTCACTGGCCCTAACAGGCTTCGGCCTAATCACTCTACCTGGGACGACACTAACCTTTGCCCACTGGCCCTAACAGGCTTCGGCCTAATCACTCTACCTGGGACGACACTAACCTTTGCCCACTGGCCCTAACAGGCTTCGGCCTACTCACTGTCCCCAGGACAAGGCTAGCTTTGGCTCACTGACTCTAACAGGCTCTGGCCTACTCGCTCTCCTCAGGACAACATTAGCTTTGGCCCACTAACAGGCTTCAGCCTACACACTCCTCAGGACAATACTAGCTTTTGCCCACTGACTCAAACAGGCTTTGGCCTACTCATTCTCCTCAGGATGACACTAGCTTTGGCACACTGACTCTAACAGGCTTCGGCCTACTCACCGTCCTCAGGACAAGGCTAGCTTTAACCCACTGACTCTTAACAGGCACTGGCATAACCACTCTTTCGGTGCTTGACTCACACTTTTGTAATAAAAAAAATACCCATTTAACTTTTAATATTTCTGACAATGTAAACCTAGTATAACAGTCTTCAAGTAAAAGCAGGGAAAAACTGGTCAAGGTACTCACAATAGTCCTATTAGACTATGTAACAAAATTTGGAGAAAAAAATCTGTTCCTATTTTGAAAGTGTTATTTCCTGTTAAATTGTGCGGTACTTCCTTTGACAATAATTGTTATACTCCAGAAACTTCTTTATTTTTGGTTGCCACAGATTAGGTTGAATTGGTGGAGACTCTGAGCTATTCATTGAGAAACCCAAATGTGCTGCAGGGTGTCCCTCCCTTCTATCATAAAATATAAACATTTTCTATATTTTTATGATAGAACCAATTTGGAAATTAGGAAATGACATAACTTGGGAACAATAATTGTGTTACACAGTGTTATTGCAGTCTCTTCACAGAAAGATTCAAAGGCATCTCCTCACATTCTTTCTTACACAGCTGATGGTCATCAACATGTCTTGAGCCACAGCTTGTATATCTTTCCGTTGTTTTAAAGGAATATGTTTTCTTTTGTTTTGGGGCGATCCTTCCTCACACTCTTACTCCTTAAAGTTCAAACCACATCCATGATCAGACCCATGGCCCCATTCACCCAGGAGCAAAGGATTTGCTCTTTTCACATTTGCAGATTTGATTATTCACAGATTTGATTAAAAATATTCTATCTAGGAATCTCCCATGCGTGCCTATGGTCAACTTCAGCTGGAGAACCTAGAGATCCTAGGGACACCCCAGTAGAAATCTTTACACCCCCAGTGAGAATCTATGGGCATCTTCCAGTGGAAGTTAACCATAGGGCAGGCATGGGCAAACTTGGGCCCTCCAGATGTTTTGGACTTCCACAATTCCTAAGACCTGGACGGCCAAAGTTTGCCCATGCCTGCCATAGAGTCATGCTGGAAGATGGAAGACTTAGAAATTCAAAAAAAAAAAAAAAAGATGTGCACTCAGATTTTAAACATTCCGTTTCTGTATTTGCAGTTTTTTTCTCTCTCCTGAGAATCCCATACCCTGAATGTGGAGGGCTGACCATGGATGCGCCACCTAGTTTTGGGAGAAATGTGGTATACAAATAATGAGTATGTGTTGTCGAAGATTTTCATGGCCAGAATAACTGGGTTGCTGTGAGTTTTCTGGGCTGTCTGGCCATGTTCCAGAAGGATTCGGGGCTAGCTAACACCTCCCAACAGAGGATTCCCCCAGGCAGGAAGCAACCAGGCTTTGAAGCTACAAAGCCATTCAATGCTAATCAAGGTGGCCAGTTGCAACATTCACACTTGCCTCAAGCAGGCAAGAGTTTTTCTCCCACCCTGAATATTTCACAGATATATAAACCCCACTTGCCTAGTTTCCAACAGACCTCACAACCTCTGAGGATGCCTGCCTCAGATGTGAGTGAAACATCAGGAGAGAATGCTTCTGGAACATGGCCATATAGCCCAGAAAACTCACAGCAATTCAATAATGAGGATGAAGATATTTGTCCAACTAAAACCAAAACCAAATGAATATAGTAAAAAAAACAACACTCTGTTTAATAAACCATCCTTTTAAAAACTCAATATTAGTTTAAAACATTCAGAATATAAGTGCAGAAGACAAGCTGCATGAAAAAAAAGCTTTCTGCAGCAACCAGTTGATTCCCAAAACTTTGTTTAAATAAAAGATTTTTGCCTGCTGAGGGCTCTAGAGCAGAAAAGGAATATAAAATCATAGAAATCCTATAGTTGGAAGAGACCTCGTGGGCCATCCAGTCCAACCTCCTGCCAAAAAGCAGGAAAATCACATTCAAAGCACCCTCGACAGATGGCCATCTTTAAAAGCCTCCAAAGAAAGAGCCTCCACCACACCAAGCTAGCTGTTTGTGTGAGTGTGTTCCATTGACTGGAAGCAGCTACCAAGAAAGCCTTGTCCTCACTAAATGTGTTCGTTGAGGTTGTTTTCATGTTCTTTTTAGTGTCATAGTGGCCCCCTTTACACTGCCCTTATATGCCAGGATCTGATCCCAGGTTATCTGCTTATCCCAGGTCATATGGAAGTGGAGACTCATATAATCTAGTTCAAAGCAGATAACCTGGGATCAGATCCTGGGATATAAGGGCAGTGTAGAAGGGGCCTAATGCCTAACATTTGTTATGTATTATTTTGCTTTAGTCTTTTAAATGTACATTGAAGGTGCAGAAAATATATACTAAGGATATATCTGTGCTGTAGAATTAAAGTTTGACACCGCTTGAACTGCTATAGCTCAATGCATTTGTAGTTTGGTGAGGCACCAGCACTCTTTAACAGGGAAGGCTAAAGACCTTGTAAATTTATTTATTTGTTTACTATATTTATATCCCACCTTTCTCTACCCTGGAGGGGATGCAAGGCGGCTTACAGATAGGCAATAATCCAATGCTTTCACAACAATTTACAGTTAAAATAAATTAAAATTAAAATCAAAATTAAATACATTAAAACATTATAGAGCATTACTATCAGTATAAACCATGTAATTAGCAATTGTAATTCAGATCATTCCAGCAGTCATTGCACATAGTTCCAGTTAGGCAAATTGCACTTTGGTTCTTCTCTGAAGGCTTGATCCCAGCGCCATGTTTTCACTCTTTCTGAAGGTCAAGAGGGAGGGGGATAATTAACATCGATAGGGAGGGAGTTCCACAACTGAGGGGCCATCACTGAAAAGGCCTTGTCTCTTGTTCTCACCTGCGAAGGAGGTGGGACCAAGAGCAGGGCCTCTCTGGACAACCTTTGTCTCCGAGGTAAAACTGCAGCTCCCATGTTTCCATAGCATTAAGCTATGGCAGTTCAAGTGGTATCGAACTGCCTTAATTCTGCAGTGTAGATAATAATACTTCTGAATACAACAGAAGATACACCTTCTGTTAGAGCTGGATTTGTTTATGCTGCGGGGCCCACTGAAATTTATGAATATTATGTCCACGATGATTAATACAAACCCTATGGATTTCAATGTGTCATTCCAGCAGTAAATCTGGTATTTCCTCGGTTTTCGTGTCCCTTTCTAAAAAGGCGACTCCTTTTTATTCTGGCAGACAACGAGTGGGAGACTGAGGAGGAAGGATCATCATTTGACCCATCATTAGAAAGAGTCGAGCCTAGAGACCCTGGAGAAAATGTTGAGGATCAAGGTAGGCCAGGTTGGGAGCAGAGAGTACAAATAGACCAGAGAAGGAGTAAGCCCATGCTTTACGAAAATGGTGGCCCCGATGGTACAGACCTCCAGCAAAGGATGTACGCAGTGAAGCGGAGGCACATTTGCAATATTTGTGGGAAGGCCTTTACTCAGAAATCCAACCTCAACAGGCATCAGCGGACCCACGTGGGAGAGAAAAGATTTCATTGTTTCAAATGTGGGAAAAGCTTTAACTGGGAAACGAGCTTTATTCGACACCAGCAGTTCCATACTGGCGAAAAGCCGTACCCATGCTTAGACTGCGGGAAGCGCTTTAGCCGGACCGCAAACCTGATCATTCATCGGAGAATTCACACGGGGGAGAAACCGCATCAGTGCTTAGACTGTGGACAGAGCTTTAGCCAGATCTCCAACCTTGTTAGACATCACAGAGTCCACACGGGAGAGAAGCCTTACAAGTGCACCGAGTGTGAAAAAAGCTTCACCCAGAAGTCCAATCTGATCAAACATCAAAGCATCCACTCAAGCGACAGACCAAACACATCCTCGGATTATGGGAGAAGGCTGAATCAGAGGCCAAGCCGCAGTGGATTTGATGAGATTCCTCTTGGCGAAAGCCCGTGCATATGCTTCAAATGTGGGAAGACCTTTTCCAGGAGAGGCAATCTTCTTCGTCACCAGACCATTCACACAAAAGACAAACCCCACAAATGTACTGAGTGTGGGAAACGATTCAACCAGAGAACCAATCTGAATGCTCATCAGAGAATCCACACTGGAGAGAAGCCATACAGGTGTCCAGATTGTAGCAAAAGCTTCAGGTGGAGGGCGCATCTCATTATCCACAAGAGGTTGCACACTGGGGAGAAACCCCACAGATGTGCCGATTGCGGCCAGAGCTTTAGTCAGAGATCCAACCTTGTCCGACATCAGCGGACCCACACCGGAGAGAAGCCCTTTCAATGCACCGACTGTGAGAAGAGCTTTGGTCAGAAATCGAACCTCATTAAGCACCAAAGGATTCATGCTGGAGAGAATGAATTTCGTCAGAGCCTAAACGGCATGAGCCAAGACCAGGTTCTTCTGGAAGAGGAGCCATATAAATGCTTTCGTTGCGGCAAGGTATTTTCTCGGAGAGGGAACCTCCTCAGGCACCAGAGTATCCACACCAGAGAGAAACCACACAAATGCCCTGACTGTGGCAAAAGATTCAACCAGAGGACCAACCTCATCAGCCATCAGAGGATTCACACAGGGGAGAAACCTTTCCAATGTCCGGAGTGTGGAAAGAGCTTTCGGCAGAGCCCACACCTTATTAAACATATGAAAGTTCATACGGAAGAGAAGGCATTGTATGGAAGCTTGGATTATGAAGGAAATGTCCATCCAGAGTTGAACCATGAGAGGACCACCATGGGAGGGAAGTCATATGAATGCCTTAAGTGTGGTAAAGTTTTCAATTGGCAATCAAACTTTATCCGACACCAGAAAATCCATGCCAGCGAAGAACCTCATGAGTGTGCCGAATGTGGGGAAAAATTCAACCGGCAGAAAAACCTCATTGCCCACCAGAGAATCCACATGAGAGAGAAACCTTACACCTGTACGGAGTGCGGGCAGAACTTCATGTGGGAGGCTCACCTCGTCATCCACCAGAGGATCCACACAGGAGAAAAGCCTCATATGTGCTCAGAGTGCGGGCAGAGTTTTAGCCAGAGGTCCAACCTGATCCGACACCAGAGGATTCACACGGGTGAGAAACCCTACAAATGCTCCGAATGCGGCCAGAGTTTCAGCCAAAGGACGCACCTTGTTGTGCACGAGAGGATCCACACTGGGGAGAAGCCACACAGGTGTCAAGACTGTGGGCAAGGCTTCAGTCAGCGGGCACACCTTATTGTGCACCAGAGAATCCACACTGGAGAAAAGCCACACAGGTGCATGGACTGTGGGCAAGGCTTCTGTCAAAGATCTAACCTCCTTAGACATAGGAGGACCCACGCCTGTGAGAAGAGTAACTAGAGAGGCAGATGCTTCAGGACGGCCCATTACCCTCTCTACTGGCCAAAGATGGCAAGATGTGTCTTTGGATGGTAGGACTTCTGCAATCCAAGGCTTCTCTCAGTGAAAGAGTTCTACAAGGACAGGACCAAAACCATTCAATATTCATGCTTGGATTGCAGGAAATTGAAAAACCCAAGATATCTCTCTGGAGAAGAACCAACATCATTCAATATTCCAGAGCAGGAAAGCTACAAGAAAGAAAAACATAGCGATCTCAATGAATTACTTTGGAAGGAAACAAGGATGCAATGAAATTACAACTCAAATGTAACATAATAGCTACGAGAAAAGTTATTTGACTGGTGTAAATAGTTTCCACATTCAAAAAGTTGCTTTCAAAAGGCATTTTAAGAAGTGTTTTGGAAGGAAATGTTTGTGTCTTAACAGTGTTCTCTTATCAATTCTAAGCATTTTTCTTTCTCAAAAGTGACATAATAAAAATGTAATAATGCAACAAGGAATCTGGGTTACTTTCCCAACATTGTCAGGAGGAGGGGCAGTTGTTTACTTTTCAAACAGTGGGCTGTAGATGGAATTGAGGGAAAGCTTTGTGAAAAACAGCCTGCATCTACACTAGGCATGGGCAAACTTCAGCCTTCCAGTTGTTTTGGACTTCAACTCCCACAGTTCCTAACAGCTGGTAGGCTGTTAGGAATTGTGGGAGTTGAAGTCCAAAACACCTGGAGGGCTGAAGTTTGCCCATGCCTGATCTACTCTGCAGAATGAATGCAAGTTTAATGCTGCTCTGGTTGCCATGGCTCAATGTCTTGGAATCATGGTTATAGTTTTTTAAGGTCTGTCACCTTCTCTGCCAACGAGTGCTGGTTCTTTATCAATCTACAACTCCCAGGATTCCATGGTAATGAACCATGGCATTTAAAGTGGTGTCAAACTACATTCATTCTACATGTACATGAACTTATAGTATTGTTTGGTCCCTTTTTCTGGCGGCAGAGAAGAGAAACCAGGGGCAAATAGCTGTGATGGCGTAGGGCAGAAGGAGATCCTTTTGTGTCATGGCTCATGACACCTACTTGTGACCCCTTCTTCAATGGAAACTGTTGCCTTCCATGCCAGTAGGATGGTAAATCCTTTGTGTCAGCTTGAAGTGTAACAGAGCTAGATCCCCTTCCACACAGCTGTATAAAATCGCACATTATCTGCTCTGAACTGGGTTAGATGGCAGTGTGGACTCAGATAATCTAGTTCAAAGCAGATACTGTAGATTATCTGCCTTGATATTCTGGGTTATATGGCTGTGTGGAAGGGCCCTAAGGGTGCATCTACACCCTGTAGAATGAATGTACTTTGGCACTATTAAACTGCCATAGTATAGAAGCTTGGCAGTTGTTGTTGGGTGAGGCACCATCAATCTTGTGCAAAGAAAGTAAATACCTTGTAAAACTAGAACTCCAGGATTCCATAGCACTGAGCCATGGCAGTTCAAGTAGTGTCAAACTGCAGTCATTCTATGGTGTTGATGGCATCATGGGTCACTCCTTTTAAAGTTCACACTAAAGCCCAGACAGATTCACTGCCAGACGTTAGCCAAGGACATTGGCAGGGTGAGCTCTGGAAACCCTATGTGACCTAGATTTGGGGGGAAATAGATCCAGCAGCATTTAGAGATAGTGTGCTGTTGAATACCTTAAGTAAAGTCATTGCGGATCCTTGATTTGCATTCTTTTCAGTTTGGATATTTCCACAGTATCCTCCTACTTTCCAGTTTCTTGGTCTGGACATTATTCTGCTGGCACTAAACCATCAAAGTCTTAACATGTCTCCTCCAGCTTTGCCTTCAGTCTTGTTTCTTTCCAGTTATGGAAAGGGCCTATCTTACAGAGGTGCCAAACTTGTGGCCCTCCAGATGTTTGGGCCTACAAGTCCTGGAATCCAATGGCCAGGAATTCTGGGAGCTGAAGTCCAAAACACCTGGATGGCCACCAGTTTGATGCCACTGGATCATATTTCGTCCTATTCTTGTTCCACCTGCCACCGCCATCCAGCAACACTGCCCAATGCTTAATTTCTTAGACTGAACACCCCCTTTATAGACCTGGGGAAAATGACTTTTGTATGACAGTGTTCCCAGAATTCAGCAAAAATAGCTTTCCTCAACTCTGCTCCTTTCCCTTCCCACTTGGCTGCCTTCAACATGTTCTTTTACAAGACTGTAAACCTGCGGGCAAAGGGCTTTCATCTTTCTTGCTATGGTTGTAACACAGCACATAAACACAATATTTGAATCTGAAATGCTTTAAAGGTTTTTCAAGTAGCGTTGGTTTGAATTGGGAGTTTCTGGTTGGATGACAGCCGGTTTGACGGCAACTTGAATAACCCCTCATATATGACCACGTCATTGGGACTGAGCTGGATTTCAATGATATTTGGGGCCCTTCCACACAGCCATATAACCCAGAATATTAGGGCAGAAAATCCCACAATACCTGCTTTGAATTGGGTTATCTGAGTCCACACTGCCATATATTCCAGTTCAAAGCAGAAAATTTGGGATTTTATTCAGCTGTGTGGAAGAGGCCTTGGAGGCCGACAAATTTCCCACCCAGAACTGAGGAATTAAGGACCGAACAAGACCGCACAGTCAGCTCTGCACATTCACTGGGGTTAGAGATGAAGGAGCACTGAAAAATTTAAAAAGCTGCAAATAAAACCAATACATTTTTAAAACTTTAGACAACGCCTCTGTAGGTCCTCCAGAATGACTCTATGGCACATGTGTCAAGCTCAAGGTCTGTGGTCTGAATCCAGCCTGCCATGTCATTTTATGTGTCCCTCTCCCAAATGCCAAACAGCAACTCCTATATTCCTATCATTAGGCATCATGACTAGAGCTGATGAGAGATGGGATACAGGAACATCTGGAAGGCTGCAGTTTGTTTACTCAAGGGAGTTGGGTTTGAAATTAGGTAC